TCAAGAGGATTCCTCAAGAATTAAGTGGAAAATACTATAAACATATCACTCTTAAAGTTAGAGGGATTACATGTTATATGTATAAAGCAAATCTTATTGATTTTAATATAAATTTCCTCTTGTACAGATTATTTCATTTTTTTTTTAAAGGAATTATTATTTATTCTTACTGATTATATACTAGTTAATTTGAAAAAATTATAATGTTCAGCGAAAAGTAATATGTGTGTAAAGATGTACTTCTGGTTCTAGCTCTACAACAAGTATAGGCACGAATGAAATAAGATGAGAAAAACAAATAAATTCCAATCAGTTTTGTTACGGACTTTATAGCTGCAAAGATGTTCATCACAACCAATTGTACGAAACATAGTTAAAAAAAAAGAATATATTACTCAACATCTTGCAATAGATTATAAACTGTATGTCTGACCATACTGAGAAAAGATTGTACAGATTAAAATTAAACAGATATTTGTGTTGGAATACGACTGTGAATAAATATATTCAAATTAAGCGACTAATTTCTAAAATAATCTAAAATAAAATCTAAAATAAAATACAGAGATTCTCTGAATGTAAACTTTTTTCTTGAATTTTAGAAAATAATTGCTTAATTTAAGTAAATGTATTCACAGTCGTATTTTCGAACAAATATTTGCTTAATTTTAATACAATTTTTTGCTCAGTGCAAAGACGAGTAAATTATCTTCGTCATATGTTACAGCAACACACATCTTTTTCAAAAAGCGTTCCAAATATTTTGACCCATGAGCATATGATTATTTTTTCGTTCGTGTCTGGAAGTAGAGCAAATGAAGCCGACCTTCAAATCGACATATTTCTCTTCATACAAGAGGAAAATCAATTGATACAAGAGGAAATTCTCTTGAAATAAGAGGAAAACAGTTGGAATAATATCTAATAAATTTTAGGTGAATGCTTCACTTTAACCGTCTTATCGAAGGAGGGATCCTTTTTCTATCAAATGCTTCGCTTAGAAGATGAGACTATAAGAAAAATCACTTTACAAGTAGAATACTTTTTTCGGGTGTAAGCGCGCGTGAATAAATGCGCCGCCACGATGCGCCTTGAAATTCCTGCCGTCCCATTAGTCGCGGCGCCTCACGATTCGGAGTTCACGGCGGCTGTAAGGACACGTCGACATTTCAGCCACGGCCGAAGCACCCTCGCAGGATCCTCGGACATGAGGAATCGCGCGTTGTTTCGCCGTCGAGGGAAAAGACCGAAGCGAGATATCTCCGCTCGCGGTGAAAATCCGCGCGCGGCCGGATACCGCTAATAACAGAGCTCTCCTTCTCTCTCCCTCTCTTTCTCCCTATCTTTTTCTATTTCTCTCTCCGCGCAGGCCTATGCGATGCGTGCGCTACAAAATATCACGCATTTGTCGCCGGCATTCGGCCGTAAATCATAGACGTGCCGCGGTCGGCCGAGCGATTGCCAAAGCATCATTATCAGCACCGCCGCCGCCGCCGCCGCCGCCGCCGCCATCATCGTCGTCATGAACGGCGACGCGCATAAAAGCGCGCTGCACGACAAAAGTCGCGAAAAAGCGGACGCGCGCTCGCGCGGATCCGGTTAGTCGTTTTTCCACGGCGCACCGCAATTTCTACGAAATGGAGCCGCGCGCCGGTCACGCCTGAGCTGCCTAACGGAGGTAGAGAGAGATATTGCGTTAATGCGTTCCACGTGGGGTCACCCCGGTAGCCGGTGTGCACCGGCGAATACTACCGTATCCGCTTCGCGCGCATAAAGCCGCGCTGCTTGCTTGCTTGCTCGCTCGCACACACACACACACACATACACACACACACACACACACACACACACACACACACACACACACACACACACACACTCGCCTCGCTTACACGGAGAGTCACCACCGCCGCCGCCCCTGCCCCGCTGCAGTGCTTCTCATTACAAATCTTAGCGCGCTCGCGTATAGCGGTATCGCGAGACTACGTGTACCCTCTTCAGCGCACACTTCACCGAGAGCGTGATACCTACGTGCTGACTGAGGGCTAAAGTCCCTCTTCGCGGGAGATCTCCGACGTGTGAGCTGCAGGTGTTAGCGGAGATTAGCGGGTATTATTCGAATGGAGTGTTACTTCATTACCGTGGCGTCCCCCCCTCGTCTCGGGCTCGGGGATATTCCTTAACCTTCGGCGAGCGTTCGCCAACACTCCCGAGGGAGAGCCTCGCGCTTCCGTGGGCGCTCCTCGACCTCGGAGTGATTCAATTGTCGGGGCGGGAGCGAACGCGCGCGTCATTGTGCGACATTTTTCGTCGGCTTCGAAATTACTTCTAATGACGACGAGTGAATGAGGACGACGATCTGTTCGCTCCGTTCGGATTCTCGAGTGGGGAGATGAAGCGGGGGGGGAGGGAGGGGAGACGAAACAACAATCGCGCGGATTCGGTGCGAGTTAACGGCCGAGGAGGATCGAGAGGCGAGAGCGGGAGAAATTTTACCTGTCGCCGGGGTAATTTCTGGGGTTAAGAAGGTACGTTTATCTCGAGCCCCGCGCGCGCGCGCGTTTCCGCGAGCGTACAAAAATGCGCGCGGCGGGATGTCAGGTAATTCGAGCCGACCCCGGGAGAAAATTGTCGGATCGCGCGCGCGCCGATCGTGTACGCCGGATCGTGTGACGTCAACGCGACACGAGCGCGTTTCCCTCTGTTAACCCGCTCGTTAACCCATCCACTTATCGACTTTCAATTTTACCGTCCCTCGGCTCCGTACGGCGAAACGGCTTGGCGAATTCGCTGCGTTCGGCGCGGCGCGGCGCGGCGCAGCGCGAAGACGCGTCGACCTCAGCGAGCGCAAATTTCCCGAGGCGAAACGACCCGGCGCGATCGTAGTGTTCCGATCGGACAAATCGATGAAAAAGTAACCCGAGGTGTTATCGCCTCATTAGAATTACTTGACATCTTATCGCCTCGTTAGCCGCTGCCGCGCGACGAGCGGGGCTTTCCGCGTCAAAGGCGACGCGCGGTCGAAAAGAACGGAGGAGAAAAGAGGTACGGCTGGATTTTCCAATGCCGAGCGCCTCAGATCTGCCCAACGCGCGCTCGAATTGGGATGCAACGCGTGCGATGTGAAGCTTCCTCTCTCGCTCTCCCACCCCCCCCCCTCTCTCTCTCTCTCTCTCGTTCTCTCCCCACATTTTCCCCCGCTTTCCCCCTACTATCATCTATCCCGTCAAAGCGGAGGGAGCATCGCGCTCATGCGCACCGCGTAAATGGGCCAGCCACTCGATCGTCCACTTTAGGAACGAGGTCACGAAAATTAAATTTTCTGATTAACGACACACGCGCGAACGAGCGAGCGAGCGCGCGCGCAGCGGCCGGCGGCGTCGCCGCGACATTTTACGATTCTTTCTTTTTAATAGCTCGCTCGCCGTTTGGCGTCGTCCGCCGGATATGCGAGGTTTTGTAAGCTCGGGTTATCTCCGATTACTCATGAGATAGAGATAGAGAGAGAGAGAGAGAGAGAGAGAGAGAGGAGGGGGGAGGCGGAGGAGGTACGTAGACGGCGAGAAAGAGAGACCCTAGATATGTGTGTCGCGTTCCGCGAACGCGCTTCCGCGCGTCGTCGGGACTTTAAGAGGAATCGCCGCGCGATTCTGACGAAAGTGGATCACACTCCGGTGTGATTCGGTGACGTCACTGCCGACGTTATCGCACCAAACGTATCTCTCATCGCTCCTCCGGAGAAGCGAGCATTCGCACAATCATCGCGCGAGCGGGCGGTAGCGCGCGCGCGCGCGCACGCGCACTCAGCTTCTCCGCTCCGACGCGTGCTAACCTGCCTCTGCGTGTCGACGGCGAGAAAGAAAGAAAGAGAGAGAAAGAGAGAGAGGGAGAGAAAGAGAGAGAGAGAGAGAGAGAGAGAGAGAGAGAGAGAGAGAGAGAGAGAGAGAGACGGAGCGGCGTATACACCCGATGGGATGACGCCATATCGTCGCGCACGCCGCTCGTGCGATATTACACCGCCCGATTCGTTAATCTTCTTATAAGGCACGCGTTAACCCGCGCCGTTAATACTAAGAATATACCGTGTTCTGCAACACATCGTGCCTCTATAAATGGCTGCGCGAGCGCGCGAGCGAGCGCGAGAGAGAGAGAGGGGGAGGGCTTTTCTTAATTTCCGTGAGCCGCGCGAGCAAAAATGAAAAATAACGCACGTGCGTGCGACACGTCGAAACTCCGAGTTTCTGTCTAGGTTCGCCGAAGACGCTCCTTTGTTCTCACGAGAGAGAAACTCTTCGAGGAAGCCTTCTTCCCCCTCCCCCTCGCTGCGCTCTCAGGATTCCTTGGATGCGACACAAGCGCGCGTCGTTAATTCTTAATCGACGTGTTTTCCCGATCGCAAATAATTTGTCTCGCTACTCCCAGGCGGAATCGCTCAGAGAGAGAGAGAGAGAGAGAGAGAGAGAGAGAGAGAGAGAGAGAGAAAGAGTTGCCGGGATCTTGGAAAAATAATCCCCGTCGCGGAACAACGACGTTCGCGCGAGTTTCTCCCGGAGTCGATTCCCGGCTAACTTGTTGATCCTCGGAGTCACGGATGGCCCCGGCTCGCCGCATTTCGATATCGGCTCCGGCCGGCGCGGCGGCTTTCGCGCCGCTCGTAATTTCGAAAATAACACGTCACTCTCTCGGCGAGACCATGTCAAATTGACGCGACGCGACGTACCGCTGGATATCTAGCCGCGCGTGAGCGACAGAGAGCGAACGCCGGCGAGCGAGCGAGCGAGAGAGAGAGAGAGAGAGAGAGAGAGAGAGAGCCGGCTGTCGCTTTCTTCCTCCACGCTCGCGCGCGAGATTTACGGCGTGGCAACGTGCGATCGCTCGCGCGCGCGCGCGAGAGCGTTCGCCAACGATAAATTTCGCCCGTTGGTCGTCGCGCTCGCGCGCGGCGATGAAGAATTTACAATGCAAGTACAATGCTCATACAACGAGCCGACGGCACTCACCTCCTGTCCGTTCGGGGCAATGACCACGTCCACCTCGTCGAGCTGTTGGCGATGCTGCGTGACCTCCGCGTGTATCTCTCGGCCGTTGTACGTGAGGTAGACCTTCTGACCGGGCACAAGTCGCGTGCTGGTGACGGTGCCGAAGCCCGGGCCGATGAGGTCACGGTCCGAGTACTCGGCGCTCGGCGGGTGCCCGGCCGGCACGGAATCGAAGCGCACCGAGTAGAGCGTCTTCGGCGTGACGCTCTGGCCACCGGCGGAGTCGCCGGCGGCGACGACGACGACGGCGGCGGCGGCAGCGGCCGCCGCTGGCTGCGACGTCTTCACGGCGTAGATCACGCCGCAGTAGTACTTGCCGTCGTCGCCGGGCGCGCACACCCTGGTGCCGATGATGCTGCGCTTCGCCAGCCTCTTGCCGGTCGACATTATTCGCAGCTTCCGCCGCGGAGGCGACGATATCTCCTCACTCGGCGACGCGCGTCGTCGTCCTCGCGGCTCCTCGGCGGATCCTGCCGCCGCCGCTGCCGCGGCTATCTTTCTCTCCGCTCGCGCTCGCACGCCCGCGCCGGCGATCGTCCTCTCGCGACGCGCAAACCCGGCTGCCGCCCGGCTGTCGTCGTGCTGCGAGGCGGCACTCGGACGCGCGACACGACGCCAACTGCTAGCACGATACGCCACTCCGTTCATTCACGTCTTTTCGTCCACTCGCGACGATCGCGCGAGACTCGCGACACTCGTTCGTACGCTCGGATCTTCTTCTTGTTCGTTCGTTCGTTCGTTCGTTCGTTCGTTCGTCAGACTCCGCTATGAGTGATCCCGAGAGAGAGAGAGAGAGGAGAGAAAGAGAGAGAGAGACGGACGCGCACGCTCTCGTGCTCTCCGGACAGCGTACGGTAGTTCGTGGGGACACACACGGGGAAGAGAGCGGGATGAAGAGACGATCCGTAACGCGCTCGAGAACGGTACCCGAGATCTACAGAGTCACGCGGCGGCGGCAGCGGCGGCGGCGGCGGCGGCGGCACGTCGGTGAACACACGACACAAAAGTTGGAAACTCCGAGCGCGATAACGCACACCGACACACGCGTGCGCGCGCGCGCGCACACTGACTCAATAATGTAGCGCTCTCACTCACTTGGCACGCACTGTCGAAACAAAAACGGCACTGACCCTTCGGTGACGTCGCGCGCTGGCTTTTTCTCTCCCTCCCTCCCTCCCTCTCTCTCTCTCTCTCTTTCCTCGGACGCGCTTCCACCGCTGCTACCTGCCTGCGCTGTCGCCCGTACGTCCCTTAGGTCATCGTATCCTGCTTTTCCGCACGCACTTTTCCCGTGCGTGATGATGTCACCACGGCAAAAACCAGTGTATATCCGTGTGGGTGTATATATGTGTATGTGTGTGTGTTGTGTGTATATGTGTACCTGCCGCCCGGCGTAGACGGCCGGCGGGCAGAGCTTAATTCGCAGGGGTCGTCGTCCTGTTGTTGATGTCGTCGTCGTCGTCGCGCGAAATCACCCGCTTCTCAGACGCTGGTGGATGGAGGTGGCGGCGGCGGTGGCGGCGGCGACGGCGGCGGCGGCGGCGGCGGCGGCCTCCGCGGCCTGAACACAGAATTCAGCGTATCAACAAAGCGGCGTGCGCTGTCGGCCGGGTTCGTCACGCCGTCCGCATACTCGAGGCACTTCGTGATCGATTCGTGGTGATGCGCTGACGTGCACGCGGCTGACAGCATAATACAGAATTACGGATGCACGCCGTATACGCGACGATGGTAGTACACGCGGGGCGGGGGGACGGGCGGGGGGGTACACACACACGCGCGCGCGCGCGCGCGCGCACGACGTTAGACAGTGGCGGACTGACCGCGCGGCGGTCTCAAGTTGTACGTGCGGTGTTGTAGCGCGGCGGTAGTCGGTACGCGACAGAAGCTCGCGCGCCGGCCGACATGTGACGCACAGCTGAGCGACCGGGGAAGGACTGAGGAGAGCGCGACTACGAGGCGGCTTTCACTGCGCCGCGCCGGCCGGCCGACCGTCCGGGAAAAACAGCTGATAGATAACAACAAAGCCACGTGACCCGGCCTCGAGCGCCGATTGGCCGGGCGCGCTGACCTACTTACTCCGATTGGCCCACCGCCCGGACAACGAGAGGAACGGGAAAAAATCGCGAGCTAGAGCCCTAAGCAGAGACAGCCGCTCGCCGAGACGCTCCACTCCGATCTCGTCCCCGTCGCCCCTCGCCTCTCGCCCCACCGCTCTCCGCCCCCACGAGCTTGCGTACTCGGCTCGCGTTCCTCTACGGGGCCGACGCTTTGCGACGTAGTGCATCTGCTCGAACGCTCGCGCGAGATGCTTCGAGGAAGAGAGCGTGTCTCTCCTCCTCCTCCCCCCCTCCCCCCTCCTCCTCCTCCCCCCTCCTCCCCCTCCCCCTCCTCCTCCTCCTCCTCCTCCTCCTCCTCCTCCTCCTCCTCCTCCTCCTCCTCCTCCTCCTCCCTGCCGCCGCTGCAAAAAAGGCGAGAGTGGACGCGCTCTCTCGCGGTTCTCCGTTCTCCGTTCTCAGGCCGTGCGTCGCCGCTCGGCGGCGATCAGCTGTTGACGCTAAATACACCCAGGCGGCCGCTTCTCGCCGTCAGCTGAGAACGCCGGTGACGAAACGACGCGAGTGACCGGCAGCGCTCTCTCGGCAAAGCTCCTCGCTCCGCTAGACATGCCGCTCTCTCTCTCTCTCTCTCTCTCTGTCTCGCCGCCGCGATACCATACTGCGCGGAATTGCCCGCGAAATACGCCCCGCTGCGGCGGCCCGCGGCCGCCGAGCTCCGGATACGCGCGGATCGGTCGCGCGGTCGGGCCGCGTGGCATCGCGCGTCGCGTTTCCGCAGAGAAAAGCGCGCTCGCAGCTTCAGCTGTCAGCGCTGGTCGGCCATTTTGCGTCAGCTGAGTCGCCCGCTGACGACACACGGCGAGTAGAGTGGAGCGTCTGCGCGCGCGCTCGCCTCGCCTCGCGGACACGGAGCGGCGAGGAACGCTCCGCCGAGGCGGAATCGCCTGCGCCTGCGACGTTCCCGAGGCTCTGTCTGCGTCGCTCTCTCGTTGCGCCCGATCGCGAGATCCATCATCCGGTCGTCCTGTCGCGGCCAGCAGCTCGCGCGGCGCGTCGGGATCGAGCGAGTCCTCCTCCGACTCCGATCGAGCCGGATGCCGACACATCCGTCGACTTGCCGTTGGCGCGGCGGCGCGCCTGAGGAATGCGCACGTATGCACACGCGCAGCTGTGTGAGGACGCGCCGTCAGCTGAGGGCGCCAGTGACGAAACGCGGAAGAGTGTGGATGGTCTTGGAGAGCCGCCGCTCCCGGCACGACGCGTCGTTCGCGTCCACCCGATGCGTAGTAAGCGCGCTTTTCCTCAATTCACCGGCGAACCCGCTCGTCGGCCCCGTGTCGCCCATGTCGGACGACATCCCGCTAGCGTCATCATCGTCGCCATCGTCGAGTCTTCATCTCGATCATGAATAATCCGCCGGCTCTTGGGATCTTTCGAGACCTTTTGCCGCGCGCGTCGGCCGATCGATCGATCGGCCGCCCGGCGGCGTCGCGCTCTCGCTCGCCAGAGGTGAGGCTGCGTTACGCGATCGTTACGCGGCCGCGAGCGACCGAGCGAGCGATTGAAAATGGCCGGAAGATGTTGCGCGGCCGGCAAGCAGGCGGCCAGGAAGGGCGGGGGAAGGCTGGCAGAGAGGAGATAGACCGGCGAATGGCTAAGGCCGAAGGCAACGGTCCACGCGTTCCCAGCAGCTTATCCTAGATTTATTTCCGTGGACGCGTTGCGCAATGCCGCGCTGCTTGCTGTTAGCTCTCTCTCTCTCTCTCTCTCTCTCTCTCTCTCTCTCTCTCTCTCTCTCTCTCTCCCTCCCTCCCTCCCTCTCTCTCTCTCTCCCTCTCGAGTATCGCTGACCCTTGCTGTAGGTACGGAAGAGAAATGCCGAGTGGAGTAATCGGGAGCGTCGTTTGCCAAAATCGCCGCGGCTGGCTTCCTCGCCCTGTCCCCCCCCCCTCCCCGCCCCTTTGACCCGCGCTCGACGATTCCGCGATCTTTCCGCGCGTCGTCCGCCCGGCGGATTCTCGGCGAAACGCCGGCGCGTTGAATATGTCGGGACTCGCGCGATTGCGTTGATCCGAGCGTATAATGTGAGCGGATCGAGGATTCGCCCGTAAAGTTACGAGTTACCGCGATTGAAACCCGACAATTACGCGCAGTAAGCATGCAATATTGCGCGGCGAGCGAAGCTGCTCGTCGTGTTGACATCGGCTGGTTCCGCTTTGAAAAACTGTAAACACCACGCTGCGACCCGCCGGCAAAAAATCGAGCGGATCCGCCGAGCACTGCAGGTAGAGACAGAGGCAGAGAGTGAGAAAGAGAGAGAGAGGGGGAGCCGGGGAGCCAAGGATAGAGAGAGAGAGAGAGAGAGAGAGAGAGAGAGAGAGAGAGCGGATTTACCGTTTCGTAATCATTTAAATGCCGTATTGACCCACCGGCGCCGCATTTAAAGTCATTTAAATACAGAGCCGAACTGTATATCTCGAGCGCGCGCTCCAAGTCAGCTGAACCTGCTCGCCTGCTCGCTTACGCCGGCTCTCGTCGAATGGTCGGAGGATCCCTCTTTTGTCCGGGCTGTCCCGCTAAAACCGAGAGCGGCGAGCGCGCAAAGTTCCTCGGTAAGCGGCGCGCAGAGTTTATCGCGCGCCGCGGTGGTTCCTCCTGGTTTGCGGTAAAGTACTGTTTCCAAGAAACGCCTCGGCGTAGGCCATTGTTCTTCGCTTTCGTCGAGCGCGCGTCTCCCGCAGCGCGATTTTGCGGGAAAATCGCGAGGACCTGGGGGAGGAGGGGAGAGGGAGAAGAGGACCGTCCGAAATGGAGCGCCGAAATGCCGTTTTCCCGTGACGCGACTTATCGAAGATACCCGTCTGTCTCTATCGCTCGGTCGATTCGCAGAAGGCAAAAAGTATAAACAGGATAAGGCCGAGCGGGCATGACGCGCCTCGATATACGCGCGCTTCGTCATACGAGAATTGGCGAGATAAGATTACGCCGACACACGAAACGGGGATTCGTGCCTCGCCAAGAGCGCGGCCGACGTTGCGTATCAGACGTGAAATTACCGGATGACAAGGATGATCCGCCGAACGTCGCGCTCGATCCTCCGCTTCGCATTTTGATCGGACGGCTGCCGCGGCATGACGCGCCAAGTGCTCGAGACTCTACTCGTCGCTCTCGTCCTCGACGCGCTCGCAAACGGCGCGTCGACGCGCTTCGCCGTCGCCGGCTCGTGCCCGTCGTTTTGCGCGTGCGATACGTGGTACGAATTGCAGCGCGTCTCCTGCACCGGCCGCCATCTTTACAGTATTCATACAGGTGCGCCGAGCGACGTGCAGGCGATGGACGTGTCGAACAACACGATATCCGAATTGAACGATTACGAATTGACGGTGAGTACGAACGAGCGCCGCCATCGCGCGCTCCTTTCCTTTCCCGCTGGAATTCCGCGACCGCGGGAGATCCTCGGCCGTCCCGAGAACGGCTTCGGTCGACGGTCCCTGGCGCGCAAATCGCCCATCGTTGAAGCATTTGTCTCGAGCCGACTGAAGGCTCGCTGTGTCTCACGTGTTTGTGTGTGTACCCGTAGAACATAGGATTGTCGAAGCTCAAGTACTTCAATCTCTCAGCGAACGCGATCAGCGACATCAGCCTGCGCGCTTTCGACGGGTTGCTCGAGCTGGCGGTTCTGGACCTGTCGCAAAATCGCCTGCATTACCTTCACGCGGAGACTTTCGTCCCGACGGCGAGTTTGCGGATTCTCCAGCTGTCGAGGAACGACTTCAATTCTCATGTGCCGAAGCTGCGGTCTCCTTCGCTCATGGTAACAATGACAATATTTTTATCAATGATATTCTGCTCTTAGAGCATCGCGTTCCTTCCTTATTGATATCCTCAAAATATTACTGCACTTAGAATCTAGCTATGGACTCGTGCCAAATTAGCTACATTCCAGCGGACACATTCGCTGGACTCTCGCATCTTCGGAGCCTTGATCTTTCCAACAACCTGATGATTCAGTTGGACAGCATTACGTTACAACCGTTGAAATTGAGACAATTGGCGATAACAGGGTAAGACGACGAGCGAAAAATTTACATAGTTTCATGCATTGTGCGTATATAGCGTTATAAATTTCTTGGTATCCTTAAGAATATATTACGCTTCAATGATTCACATGTTTGTATTATGTATTAAGTGTTTCGGTTAACATTTTGAAGGTTAACGATGAATGGATTGCTTCTATAAAGATCAGTTTTTCTTTCTTTTTTTTTTTTTTTTTTTTTTTTTACCGTAGAATCCATTTATTGCCAGATGGGGCAAAGTTGCAGCAAACGGTGGAAAACGGTAGCTTGATTGCAACAATTTAAGTAATAAATAATGAACAATTCATTCCATCGTCAACCCTTAAAATTAACCTGATACATCTATCACTTTATTATTTTAGACAACTATACGAATTTACTTTTGTTTAATCTGCCAATAAGAAATAATTGTTGGTGAAATTGAGTTACTTTTTACATCACTCGTAGATTGTTAATAATTCGGCAGCGTTTGGAAATCATTCAAAGTGTTATTATAATTTGTTAAAGAAATCCCTGGTCTTGCAACAAACTTATGCACGATTTGGAGCTGTATCTGACAGGCAAAAACATCGAACACGATACGGTGTGCGGCAAGAATACAGGGCCGAAAAAATTTGAGAAGATGATCGTCTACGATCCGCACGTGAAGTATGAGAAACATCGACCGTCGATAATCGCAAACGTAAACACGAAGAACGCGCTAACACCGAGGAAGGATCTTACGCCTGTGCCGACGATAAAAGACGCGAGTATCTGCGGTAACGCGACAGCGGAGTCAGATTTGACAAAAACGCTAAATGCCATCTCGCCGTATTGGTTCTTCGTGTTTGGATTTTTGCTCGGCAGCGCTTGCGCCACGTTTACGACTTACATTTGGCTGACGAAGAGGATAATATGTTGTCGCCGATATCGCGAACGAAGGAACAACGATATTCAGAGAGTTTCACTGCTACAGAATCTATGGCAATTTGACGATCCCGCCTTCAACGACAATGAGACAAGACATGAGACAAGATCTTGTCCAGGCACTCCGCCGCCGCCGTATCGCGAAGTGATGTCGCGACCGGGACTTTATCGCAGCCCCTCGGTGAATACGAATAACAGCGCAGCGCGTACTTAGGTAGCTTATTATTTTCAGCCGAGTTACTTTCGAGAATCGTTTGAAACGATTGTCGACTTGCTCGTTGGAATGGGCACGTGCGACGCGTCTGAAACACTTCACACTTATCGTGTAGACGCCGATGAAGCCGACTGATATGTGTACATTCTCAGTAATGCAAAAAGATTGTAGAATTATTTACGATTACTCGCGGAAGCATCGACACGAGTACGCATTCTTAGAGTCTAGTCTTTTATTATGACATATTTAAATAAACATCGTATATTAAGTAAACATATTGCATTGATAACGTCCAATATACTGCCGAATAACAAACCTCTTTCATATTTTCTACGGATATATAAAATACTATACACATATAAAAAACGTAATATGTATGTGTATATATATATATATATATATATCACACGTACATTTACATACTACATATTAATAAGCGATAATATTACTTGTTAACCGGTAACTGCTGTGAAGCCATTTTAAGTACGCGCACACTGTTCACCGGTCAAATTGACCGGTGAACGGTAGGAAACGGAATTGATGAATATCTTGACAAATAACACGACCACACAACTGCGCGTATATCAGTCGACTGACATTCAGAATGTAAGAAAATACACTGACGGATGAATACGTAACTAGAAAATTAACCGCGTTATTTAAATTTCAAATAGTGCAATGGTCAAATTGACCGGAGAACAGCAGTTACGGGTTAAGTTATGTCGAGTCACATCGCTTTGCGTTAAGACAGATATCCCGGAATGTTGTTTCTCTCAATTACCCTTGTTTGAACACAAGAAAAAAGTAGTAAGTACACGCGTGATTATGTCCGATCTACTGCGTAACCATTACGTTGCTTTGGTCCTCGGTGTGAATCGTGTTTGACGTGTCGATTTTACAACCGATCGCAGCGATTATGTCATCGGTTATTTCGTGATTGTATCTCGTGCCGCATAAATTAGTGATCACGCTCGCGTCCTGATCAAAGTCGGCCGATGCCAATTCGTTGGGCAGGCTCATACGGACCTCTTCCACGATGCCGTCTTGCACGTCCAAACGTAAATTCAAACGATGCACCTTACCGTCGTGTGCGGTGACTTCGAATTTCCGAGTGACCGTGAATTTCGGTGTTTTACCGAAATTCCAGCTCCAGGAACGAAAGTCGTTGGTCAACTTATCCAATCCTGCAAATCCATCGGAATATTTTGAAGCCAATATCGTCTGATTACTTCACCGTCGGTAATACCGCGCGCTCGATACAAACAGTTTGAAATTATCTCACACTCAACCGTTATCTTCGGCGATATATGTTTCTAATAATACAATATTTATTTTTAAATAATCAGCGTCTGTTTCGAACGTACCAGGAAACCAGCCTTCGCTCGGATTGATAAATTGGAATCCCATTTGCTTCTGCAGCAACTTTTGCCCTCCATCTTGAAGAACGAGAGCGTCGGTGCGCAGATACTCATTGCCGACAGCGGTTATAAGTTTATCTATTCGAATGTTCGGGTTCACGTCAAGCAGATTCTTTATTGGAGAATGCACAGAAGTTGTCGCATTCGTGATGATGTCATCCTGAAAATGCATTCGTAATGTAACATCGATGTCGCAATACCGCTGCGGCCATCCACCGTTGCTGCGTTACGAAAGCGTTTTGCGTTCCGCGAGGAGAACAAAATATACGCTCTAGTATATCGGAGAAAACTCTACCTCTTTTCGCTCGAGAGCCAAGTTCAGATTGTCCTTATCCACACCGACCAACAGCGTGCAGTGGTGATAAGCATTCGGTCGGCCCAACTTCGCAGCTGTCCCGGATATCTGTAAACATTGCAATATAATTAATAAAATATGATCGACGAGGCAGAGGTGAAGTTGCTTCTCGCTCCGCTTTTCGCGAGTCGACGGGGAAATTTTTTTCATAGACGGTAAGCTTTATCGCACGGCGATACCGCGCGTTGATGTACGGCCTTATCGAGGCGAAATCCGATAGCCAGCCACGAAAATAAATAAATGTGCGATGCACGCCGAAGTAAACATATATAGTTTCGCAAGGAGATGCGATAACAACATCTTTCTCTCGTTCGTTACATCGCTCGTATCGCGCGCTACCATGTAAAACATAATTAGTCGTACTTTGAAGCGATTTTTGTGAAACATGAGCGTCTACTAAAAGACACTTGGCAGATAACAACAACCGAGACTCTGACGTCACGTCTATTCCGTTTGCTTTCGCCTCATCAGCAATAAGCAATAAGCGCAGCTAATACTCGATATCGGTTTAACGGTGATCGATGTGCTCATTTCGTGTTATTTTCCGAATTTCTTTCGCTTAAGCGTCAGAACGGTGAGAGAACGCAATAGCATGCGGTTTCTCGTTGAAACTCCGTCTCTCCATCGCGGAGTGCGTTCATGAAGAGAGCAAAACTTGGTGCGACGAAAGAGAGAACACAAAGCGATTATTCGCAGCTTGCGGCTGAAGGGTACCTTGTAGTCTCCTTCGACGACGATGTCATCGTGCTCGTCGATCACGCTCTTCAGCCGCCACTCTCGGAACAGTGCCCTCGTGATGATCTGCAGGTTGTACTTGCGGTTGTACCGCTCCCGCGGCGTGAAGAAGGACAGATTGAGATTGCCGTTGTCGTGGTAAACGGTACCGCCGCCGCTGTTTCGCCGCGCCAGAGCGATCCCTCTCTTCTCGGCCGCCTGGACGTTGCACTCCTTCCACGGGTTCTGGTGACGCCCGTACACCACGCAGGGGTCGTTTCTCCAGAGCAGCAGCATATGGCGATCGTTGAAGTCGTAGTTGCGGTAGAACCAGTCCTCGAGCGCCAGATTGGTGAACACATCCGCAGACTGCGATATGAATACTGATTTTCTGATCGACGGCTCGGACGGAGCGCCGTCGTCGCCGTCGTTGGTGTAGTCGGCGTAGGTCGACGCGTACCTGGAGCCGCGCTGGACCCCGTCGCGGGATACGCAGCGTCTGGCGATGAGGGTCAGTCTACCGAATAGCGACATCCTGTCGGAGAGCGAAGAAACGACCGAGGGTCTGCCGGTTACGCTTCAAGTGTCTTGCCTCTTTCTTCCCCGCCGGACTACCTATTTCTTTTCTTTTCTTTTCTTTTCTTTCCTTTTCTTTTCTTTTGATGTTAAACCGCGACGTGGACTACCGATATATGTTATCAGTCTTCGAGTCTAATGAGTGTATATATATAGCGCGAGGTGTATTTATATCTTTTTTTCTTTTCCTAATATACCTCGTGTCGCACGTATCAGCCTTGAGTTAACGGTCAATCTCTCGGTGAACAGAGAGTGGCCTCTAACAACGGGAACGCCTAAAGACGTTGGTCTGGCTGGCAGTTATGGAAATCAGGTAGTCGTGCAGGGCGATGGTCTGATGCAACCACTTCCAGGTCTGGTCCAGGGTGTTGATGCGGTACCGGATACCCAGACAATCTCGACAGTCTTTTTGCATTCCTCTGTGTGTTGACAGTTTGAACCGAGTTAAATTTACCCGCTGCCGAGGTGAGTCCGGTCTGCCTGCGACTTCCGTTACGGCTGCGTAACGCTGGACGGTGGGTGGCTGGTGTTTGTCGACTTTGATGACACGTCGATGCCGATGAAAGGCACAGAAGCGGCCGTCTCACAATGCCGTCGTCGTCGTCGTCGTCGTCGTTGTTGTCGAGCGATGCGAGCGAGGTCGGTGCGCGGGTACACGTAGAAGACGTCGTGCTCGAGTCGCCAATTCGTAATGGGTGCTCAAGCCTTCGGATTTGATATTATATTAGCGCAGCGCATCCACGTACTTGATGCTGGGAGGCGTGGTGGGGGCACAGATGGGAGGTCCTTTCGACATGTGCGGGAGGTTAGGTTAGGTTATCTGAGGTTCGGAGCGCAAAGTACAGCTGACCAGCACGTGATATTGCCGCCGATGACGCCGGCCCTCCTCGTCTACGCCTCCGTCCGCGCTCGCCGTCCATCCCCACGCGCGACCGAATTTTGCCCCAGGCGCGTAAATAGCGCGATAAGGACCCCCCGTCATCGGGAAAAAGTTCGCTGATCTGTCGTCGCGTTATCGGCAGCCTCGTTCGCGGCACGACTGGCTACGCAGATTGCGTTAATTCGCGAACACAAGCTCGCGATAAAATTAACTTTATAGCCGTGAGTGCCGGCGGGACATGGGAGTTTGGCGATTTTTTCTTTTTCTCCTCTTCGTGCGCTTCGTTATGTCATCGAAATACGAGGGTAGTCCCAGAAGTACCTGACCTAACAAAGAAAGCACAAAAAATTTGGAAAAAAATATCTTTATTTCTCTACATAATCTCCTCATAGCTCAATACACTTTTCCCAGCGATGTTCAATAGCTTCGATACCCTGTTTATAGTGGGAATCGTCGAAAGGGGATTCTCCCTTTTCAATCCATTGTTTTGACTGTTCCTTCGTCTCAGGTGTGAAGTGATGGACCCATGTTTCATCCATGGTTATGAATCGACGCAAAAACTCGGCTTTATTGCTGCGAAACTTCGCCAAACACTCGATTGAAACATCCTTACGACGCTGTTTTTGTTCCAATCGCGGCACCCATCTTGCGCACAGCTTTCTCATGTCCAAATTTTCAGTCAATATGCGATGTGCAGCACTTTTTGAAATGTCTACCATGTCTGTGCTACGTAACTCGCGCACTTTCAGTCGACGGTCATCCAATACCATTTTGTGGATTTTCTTCACCATGTCTGACGTGGTCACCTCGTTTGGTCGATCACTGCGATGTTCGTCTTGGCAGCTCTCGTACGGCCTCGTTTAAACTCTGCCACCCAATATTTTACTGTTGTAAACGAAGGAGCAGCTCCCCCAGAGTAGAATCTAGCTCCGCGCTTTCATATTGGTTGGACTGAGGCCTTTCAAATGAAAGTATCACATAACGATGACCAATTTTTTCCATGTTTGCAAATTCACTTCGAGAGCGTTCACTATTGATGGCTGCCAAACTAATACTAAACGTAGCGTCGTCAAACTTCAAACTTAGAGCCAGAGCACAGACTTCTGCATAACGCATAATACATAACGCATAAGAGAATAAACCAATTAGTTTTCTTCATTTCCCTCCTCAGGACAGAAATGAAGAACTCTGATTGGTTGATTCTCTTATGCGTTGTGTATTATGCGTTATGCAGAAGTCTCTGCTCTGGCCCTTAAGCTTTATAAGGTTGGTACTTTCTACCACAGTCATTCTTTTCAAACAACAACCGCTATCTATACGTCAGGTCAGGTACTTCTGGGACCACCCCTCGTATGTACATGAATGAAATGCGTGCGACGCTCTTCTCGCCGCTTCGCACGCACCTAACCTTCGACTAGCGCGGCTTTTGTTTTTCAGTAATATTGATCAGATCGGCATACTACACAACATTCTACACAACGTTTATTTATATCTTTCATTGTTGAAGCGACGAGACTACATTCCGCGTGTATTTTATTATTGTATGCCGAGTAAGAGAGATAACACGCAGAAGACAACTTTTCGAGTAAAACTTACAAAATGACGTGGCCATTACGCGCCATTTCGTTCTCGTGTTATTCTGTCACGAACGTTGTTTGCGCAGACTCATTCGTATTTATCACGTGTACGACTCACCGATTCATTCTGTTCTTTCATAAAGATCGCCGTGTCTGGTCGTGTTCGTCAAATGTTTAAGCGCTGAATTATTATCGAGCGAGTGCGAAAGTTTTGATGGGACTCGCGACGGAAAAAACAGACCGAGTCGATCTTATCGAAAACCAAATAATTTTATCATTTCCTCCACGTTCAAACAATCGCCATTGTTCTCCGCCGCTTCTGGTACTCGCAAGCGCTGCCGTGAAACTGGGTCAGTCGCGGCACCTTCGGAAAAGCCGTAAAAACTTTTGCACTCATTCAATACAATGACTCGCGTTAATATTCGCGAATACAACGCGTGCCGCGCGTTTTATTGATCTAATAAGCATCGAGACAGTCATTCCGCCCATTCGAGGGCGATGGCTCTACGCGAATAGACCAACGAATAGACGAAGCGATTCACAATGATACTCGCCCGTAGACATCATACGTTCATCATGTTACGAGTGAGGGATTCCCGGAGGGGTGTGTGATCGTTCAAATCGAGCGCGATCTTTGAGCCCATCGAACGAACGGCGAAGGTCGATCGATTATTCCGATATCGAATCAGCGATTTCTGGATGAGCCGACCATTTTCGCGCAGGGTTTCGTCGGCGTTTATTTCAACCTCGATCCAAACGCGAGGACTCGCACTTTGCAGCATATATATATATATATATACAGGGTGTCCCATTTTAAAGGATCCACTCAAATATCTCAGAAACACCGCGTTAAATCGAGAGATGTTTCAGACAAAAGTTGTTTGGTTTGAAGGGAGACATGAAACAACTATATCAGTTTGTTTCATGTCTGGCGCCACTTTCGAGATACTCACTGATCATCAATTTTCTTAAACGGAAACCCCAACCCCAATTTTATTATATCATCTTTTTCTACCAATTAATTTGAACAACTTTTGTCTGGAACGTTTTTTCCATTTGCCTGATATTTCTTGAGATATTTAAGGAAAACTTGGTAATTCTTTAGCTTACGATATCTCGCTAACTATTTGTCGGAAGAAAAAGTCGTACTAGACTTTTTTATTCTACTTGCTGTCAAGAATATACTATTACAATAGCGCCCTGACTGTTGTTAGTTTGATAATCTTCAAATTTTCGAAAATTGATAAGTTAACAAAAATTAGGGCACTATTGTAACAATATATTCTTGAGACTAAATAGAGTAAAAAAGTCCAATACTATTTTTTCTTCCGACAAATAGTCAGCGAGATATCGTAAGTTAAATGTTAAAAAAGTTGCCAAGTTTTCCTCAAAAAATATTAGGCAAAAATAAAATAATGTTTCAGACGAAAGTTGTTCGAAATAATTAGTAGAGAAAGATGATGCAATAAAAAATTGGGGTTTCCATTTAAGAAAATTGTGAATCGTGATCGGTGAATATCTCGACAAGTGGCATGATCTGTAAATTAACTGATACAATTGTTTTATGTCCCCCTTGAAACCATCGAACTTTTGCCTGAAACATTTCTCTCCAAGATGTCGCGTTTACAAAAGAATCTCGGCTGGTATGGGTGACACCCTATATACACACCCCGATCGCCGCGATGATTGTCGCGGTAAACAACGTGAACGTTATCGTTCGTCGCCTTCGGGGCTCGGCGTGATCCCGCGCTCTCCCGTGTTTATTCGTCGTATATTATACATGCTCATATGCATATGCGCACTTTCAATATCGTCTACGACACACTGCGTGTGTCTATATGCTGCGTCGTTCCGATTATGGAAAGTCTTGTTCACGTGTCAATTACTATCGCTTACTATGAGAGGGGGCAATTAAGGTCTGCAGATAAAATAGATAACGCTGCGCGTGTTATTCCGCCTCTCGGATCAGCGATGTCGACTCGTGCCGGATATTTATACGCGTGCGTAAACAAAAAGAAAAGGGATGATTCGAGTCCCGATGTGGAATCAAACGTCGCGCACATCCATGCACATGCCTCTTCTCCACGCTCTCTCGCGCTCTCGCGATCTCGAAGCGTCGGACACGCACGATTCGCTCGGACCCTGCTGATTTCGCGTGACATCGCGTGACGTTGCGTCGACAAGTAAAAAAAAGGAACAGATCGTTTCGATTTAGTCCGTGGTTTGATTACTTCGTCGACTTCGCGCACTTAGATCGAAGAGAGGATATATTTAGAGTTCGCGGGAGCGGGGCAGATCTCAAGAGAGCGAGCGAGAGAACGAGGAGGCTAGGAGAGATAAATGGCGAGAGATGTAAAAAATACAGACGCAATGGTCGACTTACAGAGAGTGTGGGTTCCAAAGTCCGGATAAGGTTGCAGCAAAGTCGATTGACTGGAGAGCTCGGTATTTACCAGAGGTATTCCCGTCCCGTCTGTGCCGCAAGTGGTACTCCGATGCAGAAGTGGGATCGAAACCGGAATCAATTTGATGTGTCCAGATCGTGATTCTTGTAAACTCAGTGACGGCTCAGCTCGCTCGCGGGCCCTCCGTTACGTCCGGCAAAAAGCGCTCCGCTGCTCTCGAGCGTGCGGAAGAACCAGCCGTCATAAGTAAGCCAAAGTCTCGCTGCACCTGCATCACAGTGAAGGTTGAGCAGTCGATGTTAATGAGTCGATCGCACACGTCACCGACACGAGCGTGATTTACAAAAAGATCATTAATCCGATCGTGATTTGTTGTTTTTCTCGAAGCGCGGATTTCTTTTTGCATCACATGATTGATACATGTCAAACTGTGTATCTGGATCGACAGATTCGAGGAAACGATCGTCTAAAATTAAAAATACCGATCGGCAATAACTTTCAATAATCAATGTGACTGTCGGACAAAACATGATAACGACGAAGAAATCTCCGCCACGTTTACACGCGAGCGGAATCCGCGAGCGTACAATTTCTTCTCTTAATGCGACACGATAAGGAGACCGCACGAAAACATGAAATACCATCGTGCCGTTGTGATGAATTTTTACATCGGATTTTTACACCGTGTAACGTGTTTACACTTCACATTCACGGCTCGCCCGGAGGAAGATATCTTGTCGTCGATATCGCGGCAAACGATATTAACGAGGACAGACGAATATAGAAAAGCACAGTGTTGATTATCATATAGTTATCCACGCTTCTACGCGCGATATGTATTAATATAACATATAAACAAAGAGAAAAATAAAATCTTTCTCACGACGGACAAAGTTCTGCTTTTTTCTTTCCTTTTGTCCTCTTTTCTCTTTTATATGCCTTTATTGTTTGTTTATCGCCAGTCAAGATTTTCGGGATGCGATTATAAACCGATGACGAACCAATTACCTTGTTTAATCAATTTAGTACGTGTGGACACCGTAATTAGAAAATTAAACATATTCGTGTAATAGATAATGTGTACTTGTAGCTTATTCTAGATTATAGTACAAAAATTGAAGGATTTTACTTGCAAGATAAAAGTAACAACATTTTATTATGACATCCTTAATAAATGAATATTGCATTGATCGGTGACTACTGGTAGTACCATGAATAACAGATTTTCTTATTCTCTTTGCTGTGCACAATAACGTGCGAACATAAATTATTATATACCTGTCATTTGTATACATATATACATATATACAGCTATCTGAAGAATCGATAATTATTTATTAAATTATGTTCATTAAATCACATCACTACATCCAGCAAGTAGTGTGTGCTTTAGATGTCGTTCAATTAACTATTTCTATTAATTAACTATTTTGAAGATAATAAAACTACAAGAATAACTACAATTGTCCCATTATTGTTTGATAATTATGTTGCTCTTGTCTTCGACTTGACTTCTCAGCGTGACGCATTTACAGTCAATCGCGGCGATTATATTTTCTATTATTTCATGGTCGTATCTTATGCCGCAAAAATTGCTAATCGCGCTCGCATCTTGATCGAAATCTATCGAAGCTAATCCATCAGGCAAGCTCATCTTGACTTGCTCCACGAGACCTTTCTGTACATCCACGTGCAAATTCACGTAATACACTTTATCATCGTGATTGGTAATTTCTAACGTTCGAGTGGCCGTAAATTTCGGTGTCTTACCAAAATTCCAGTCCCAGGAGCGAAACACGCCCGTCAACTCATCCAATCCTGCAATACAGATTTACTGAGACGCTTTACAATCGTTATTAGTTTATAATTTTACGCTTGATTATTGCGTTTTATCAACAGAATATCTCTTGAATGAAAGAGCTATTTTCCGTTACATACCAGTGAACAAATCTTCCGTTGGATTGATAAGCTGGAACTCCATCTGCTGTTCAGACAAGACATGTCCTTCATCTTCAAGAACGAGAGCGTTTGTACGCAAATATTCTTTACCAACGACAGTTATAAGTTTATCCATTTTGATGTTTGGATTCACGTCGTTCAAATTCTTTATTGGAGAACTTATGGAAGTCGTTGCATTCGTAAGGATATTATTCTGCAAATATATTCAATCCTCGATATATATTTCACATGCAAGTTATTGAAACCAAAATTTTCAAGTTACTATCTTCTGGCTTAAATATAATTTTACACAAACCAAAAAGCATTATTGACGCCTTCTGTACCTCTTTTCTTTCAAGAGCTAATTTCAGATTGCTCTTATCCACACCGACTAATAGCGTGCAATGATGATAAGCATTAGGTCGTCCTAATTTTGCAGCTGTTCCAGATACCTATAAAAAGTTTTGTATTACGATCGGTGAAACGATTCGTTTATAGATATTTTACGTTTAAGGATACCTTATAATTTCCGTCGACGACAATGTCGTCGCGCTCGTTGATCACGCTCTCCAAGCGCCATTCACGAAACAGTGCCCTCGTAATTATGTGTAAATTGTACTTTCGATTATATCTCCCTCGTGGTGTGAAGAAGGATAAGTTGAGATTACCATTATCGTGATAAACAGTACCGCCGCCGCTGTTCCGCCTCACTAACGTTATTCCTTTCTTTTTAGCTTTTTGGACATTGCACTCTTTCCACGGATTCTGATGACGCCCATACACTATGCAAGGATTGTTTCTCCAGAGTAGTAGCACATGGTGACTGGTGAAGTCATAATTGCGATACAGCCAGTCCTCCCATGCCAGATTGGTAAATACATCCATGGATTGCGATACAAATACTGACTTTTTGATTGGCGATTCAGAAGAAATCATCTTGTCGTCACCTTTACTCTTGATGACAGTCGACATATATTTGGTTTGTTGAATTTTACTATAGATCACTTGGCTCCTGGCCATGACAATCAATCTCTTAAATAGAGGCATTGCGTGTGAGAAAGAAGAATCGTCCGTCTATATTCCAAGTAGTCAAGTAGGCTGTTGGATTATTTGATTAACATTTCTGCAATACACGTTCTTGATATCAGTATTTATTTCATGGATAATGATGTATTTTGTACTAAGAACAAGGTTGTGATAGGAAAGAAATTGGATTATCAAGTCATATCATTTAATAAAATAGTATGACTTAATAGATACTACACTTTGAACAAATAATGTTATAAATATGCATATGTGTAATATGTTTGAGTAATATGCTATAAGAAGGATATTAGAAAAATTTGTTATTCAATATTATTTATTCTATTGCCTGCCTATCATTCATTTAATAAAGCTGTCATAATACGAGATTAGATACTTCTTCATATTTATGTTGATGCTCTTACGACACATGTATCTATTTTTAATATTTGATTGTAATTAAGATTTATCAATATTATAAACATCATATAAAATGATAATAATAATAATAATTATATAATTATTTACATTTACTTAATAATTATAAGTATTTACATTTACATAATAATTATATAAGCATTTACATTTGGGTGTAATCATATAATATAGTAAAAAAATTATATTTCTTACAAATTTTATATTTCTTACATATATTTCTTAAAAATTATATTTCTTACAAATGTTAGGAATGTTGTAGTTAAAACTGGTAAACAATATATATACAAAATATAGGATCATGCAAATTAAAATTTCGCACGCGATTTATCCTACAGTGCATGCTTATATTATTCACCGATCACTGATGATTTAACCTAAACTGTTCAAATTTCCTAACCTCAGAAAAACTTCAAACAATTAATTACTTTTGTTAATCGTTTAGCAGCCAATGGTAATTTTCAGGATTTATCTTTTGAATCAAAAAACGTCGAATGAGCATGCTTTTGTCGAGACCTGTAGAATTTGAATCATGCAAAATACATAAATATTTAACCTTAAATTAAATTAAATTTCTAATATTCATAATGGGTAATTATTTAGAAGACGGGCCTCACCTTGGATTTCGCTCAAACTCACCTATCTTGTGTATTTTGACGTGTAGAAGCCGAATCTGAAAGTTAAAATAGCCGCTCGGCTCTACTTTGCGAGAAAATGACACACGCCAGATTAGAAAATCTGTCATGCCGGTAATACAGAGACTTATGTGGTCTGTTCTTTTCAGCTGCACTGCGGAACTAGTGCAATAAGTTAGAATGAGACAATAGGTCTGTTCTTTTTCGCTGCACTGCTGCACTGATGTCATAAGTTAGAGTGAAACAAATATATATTTGTCTCACTCTAACTTATTGCATCAGTGCAGCAGTGCAGCGAGAAAGAACAGGCCTTATATTTTTTCTCACTTTAACTTATTGCACCAGTTCAGTAGTGCAGCTAAAAAGAACAGACCAATGGTCTATTCCTTTTAGTCGGAAAGTGTTAGATAGTACATGTAAACGGGGGAGGGGCAGAGCCCTTCCCCCACTCCCTTCCCATAGAAATCCTAACCAGAGAGAAGAAAAAAATAGCCTCATATTAATATGATCCAATATATTTTATAATTCTATAATGTATACTTTACTACCTATATAATATATATATATATATATATATAGATCTACAAAATGATACATTAAATAATAATAAATGAAAAACCGCAAAAATGTAAATGAGATGATGAAACATTGAGACCAAATCTATTTCAGGCCATTATGAACTAATTCCGGAGATTGCTGTTGAAGCAAAAGCAACAACATCTTAACCACTACTGTATGCAAGATTCGTTATTCCGTTCGTTAATTAACCTTCGTTAATCGTAAGTATATATATACAGGGTGCGTACGGTATTTGAGGACACTCATATATGTGAATGTAATTTCTGGAGAACAATTTTGTTTGTTTTTTTCTTGTCAGATCATCAAATCATCAATGCAGGACTATAAAATAACGCAAGAAATGAAGAGACATGCAGTTATCATCGCTATATGCGCGAAACACACCGATTTAGAAATCTCCAATTTTCTCAATTGCGCCCGATCATTCGTACATAAGGTTCGTCGTGAATTGGAAGCATCAGCTGGCGATGTAGAAACTGTTGCAAAACGCAAAAAACATGAGGAACGTTCGGACACTACTAGAAATACACAATTCGTCCAACAAGTGCAAGAGATCGTTGACGAAAGCTCTTCAAAGTCCATGAGGGCCATTGCGAGGGACCTGAATGTCTCTGAGAGCCTAATCCGTCGAGTTGTCCACGAAGACCTCCGCTATAGATCCTATGTTATGCGCAGAGGACAGTTTATGTCGGCACAAACTCGGAAACAGAGACTTATCCGAGGAAAACGTCTTTTGGACAAGCTTAAGCACCCTGAAGTTCCTAACATATTGTGGTTTTTTTCTGACGCAAAAAATTTCGACCAAGAAAAAATCAATCGGAGAAATGATAGGTGGTTATGCTCACATCCTACAGAGGTTCCCCCTATTATGCACACGAAGTTTCCAGCAACTGTCATGGTTTTAGGAGTTGTAAGCAACGAAGGACATGTTATGCCACCCCACTTCTTTCGTCAGGGGCTTCGGGTGAATGCTGCCGCTTACATCGAGGTTTTAGAAACAGTTGTGAAACCCTGGATTGATAGTATACGTGGGGACAGACCATACATATTCCAGCAAGACTCTACTCCTTCACACAAAGCCATGACGACACAAGGTTGGATGACCAAAAATTTCTATGACCACATTACCCCAAACTTATGGCCACCTAGCTCCCCAGACCTTAATCCCATGGATTATTACGTATGGGGCGTAGTTGAGCGGGAGACCAATAAACATCCTCCTAATAATATTTCATCACTGAAGGATGCTATAACAACAACAATGATAAAAATGAACAAAGAGCATTTGATTCGGGCATGCAATCGTTTCCGACCCCGGATTGAGTCCGTTATTGCCGCTAATGGGGATTTTATTGAATAATTGTATAGTCTAGGAGTTAATTAACGTCGTGTAAAAATTTCATGGAATTATAATAAATTTTGCAAAAAATATAAACAAATTAGTTTTAACGTCAATTTGTCCTCAAATACCGTACGCACCCTGTATATATAATTCAATTCAAATACAAGTGTACAAAACAATATTCATACTTATACGCAGAGTGCGGCGCTATATGAAAATATATATATATCATTTGATTTTGTCACTGGCCAAAGTCTCCAATCGTCTGATCACTTTCGCGACATCGGCGTTCCTGTTCAATTTCAGATAATCGATCTTCCGCACATTATGTATACTAGTCCAAGTGGGTAATAGCTTACACAGCAGCCGTAAATGTTCATCCATTTCATTCGGCGTTAACTTTATCCTGAAGGAGTTATCTAATCGTTGTACCACTGTCTCCATTGGTAAGACGCCCTTTTTTTCCGACATGTAAATATTGCGGAGTATTTTCGCCAGTTGCGGGAGTTTCGAGTATAATGTAGCCTCCTTGTCTGCGCTTGGTGTTTTCGTCATTCCCTCTAACGCTTTAGCCGCCTGTCTCGCGCGTACCTAGTGTTACAAGTCATGAAGAGACGTGAGATAAAAGATGTACGTTGTAATAAACATGTTAAGTGTTACTTCTCAAGATATACATTTGGTTGATCGATTTACCTTTTCGAGTAGAGATTTGGGAATACCCTTGAACGTTTTAGTGAGATATATGTCTTGATGGACATTTTGTGTAGTCGATAGGGTATCAACAATAGCACTATTAACTTTCGGAATATTATTTTCTGTAATTTGGGTCATGGAATTCTGTGTGGAAGACGCAGAGATCGATTTTGACTCGATTATTCTTGCTTCGGCCAGTTTCTGCAATGCCTTCGCTATACGAGAACCAGAGTTAAATAAAGATTTAACTTTGTCTGTAAAAAAGAAAACAAATAAGGGGATATGATAAAAAGATTGATAAATGGAATATATTCGGTATTTTATGAATGCCTCATTCCAATCAATAATTAATTGGCTTAATTGGACGCTTACATATTCTATTGATTGCTTGATCTTTTGTGAGAGAAATCTTATACCCATTCTCTATAGTTAACTTATTAATTACAGAACGAGTCGGATAAGATGAATGCATTCTGTATACAACTGTTTGAATTGTTACACTTAAGCACTGTTGCATATGAGGCACATGCCATTTACTGTAGCTGAGGAAGATGACTCCTTTGAATTTCAATAAATGTTAAAGGTATCGCCCGGTGAATGTCGCGATTAGGGATAGTAAATTTTCGTTGTAAATCACAATAAAACCTATCACTAAACTCGAACAAAATTTGTGTTTCTCGTGTGACAGACGATACAAGATTGCCCGCACGATCGCGTACGAACTATGTGTCCACAAACAGATTAAGAAGCGACTAGAACAATCGTGGTGCACGAACAAAAATCGTGCAATATATAAATTCCATACTAATACCAAACAAGCACTTTTATATCGATTGTTTCGTGTTATGTGCTGATCAATCAACAAAGTCTTCCGACATCGGAACCGAACGAAAAAAGAATTTCGCAAATATTTGAACGCATTGTTACTGAAACCTCTTGTGCAATATTTTGTCCTACTTGTCTTCGAAATTAGGACCACGTTACATCATTGTACATAACGCATGACAGGCAAATTTATATGGATGTTTTCAATTCCTGATGTAACATTCCTATGTCTTGAAATATGCCTTCAATATTATATATTTTGATACATAAAGAATTAATGAATTAAATTTTGTAGGTAATATTCTTACTCTCATTGATATTGACATTCTTACCAGGAACATCTTTAATAGTTGCCTTCTCAGCTTAGAGCAGCTTTCTTGATATCTTTATGTTTTTTCTTCAAGCCTAATACACCAGTGCCTTATCTTCTCCTTCTCTTTTTATATAATTACCAGAATCTCCAAGGTCCAAAATTAAAAATTTCTTATGCTCCTCTTTAACTTTCTCTATGACAAAAATATTAAAAATAATATTCAAATACACAAAATCCATGGTAGTTTCAAAGAAATTTAGTGTAACAATCTCTCTTCTGGACAGTATCTAGCAAAATGTTATAAAAAATGTTATAAAATTTCCCTCTCCTCTCTGGTAATATAGTAAGTCCCATGCTATTATTGGATGCAGATTTCAACAAAATTTTAATAAACAAATATATTGTAACATAAGGACTCTATACAGAAACATTATTATTTCTACAAATCTGAATGTTTCAGCTGAGAATCTATAATTAAGGCAATATTAATGATGTCTTGGTTTCACCAATTACCTGATATTTTTGATAAGCTGATTGCTTAATGGATTTAGTGATATTTCCTTTGAGGGTTTATTATTTCTGAAATGTCTATTGGTTGAAATAGATAAGATCTTGGTTGGAAATCTGATCATTTTTTGTGTGCTGTCAAATGAGAAAGAAATATACTTATAGATCGTAAATTTCAACTCATTAAACTCCATAAAATAATAATACGGTCACAAGAATTTATCTCACAGGAATCTCAAGTTCTATTTTTCAAACTTCTGCATTTGAGACTTATTGAAGTCATCCTACTTTTGTATCTTTTCCAATTGCTGATCATAGCTCTTAAGTCTTGCTATGGAAGCTTTCAGCTCCAGCAATCTAGAAGATTTGTTGATCCTGTCCTTGATGTCATTTAAGCTTAAGTTCTCAGTAGTTGGTCTCTTCATTGTCGAGATCTTTGAAGTTTCTAACTCATAAGACGATGAATCTTTTACCTTCTCTTCCTTAATTGTATCATACTTTGGAGCATCATCAAAGGAATTTTTCTTAGGAGACATCAGCTTCTTCGTATTGAAATACGTTATTACGAGAGCTGCGATGTTTTTTCATATATCAATATATAAAAGTATGTAAATAAGATGTACAAGATGTAAATAAGGTTACAACCAACCGTTATAACCTGCGTTTTTACTGTTACTTGTCAAATGGTCGACGCACTTGTGGTCTGTTCTTTATAGCTGCACTGCTGAACTAGTGCAATAAGTTAGAATGAGAAAAAATATAGTTGTCTCATTTTAACTTGTTGTACTAGTTCAACAGTGCAGCTATAAAGAACAGACTCTTGGTCTGTTCTTTGTAGCTGCACCGCTGAACTGGTGGAATAAGCACTAGAGTGAGAAAACCTATATTTGTCTTACTTTAACTTATTGCACCAGTTCAACAGTGCAGCTACAAAAAACAGGGTATCAATGGTTGCGTTCAGAAAACAAAGCGCTCACTGAGCACTTAGTAACTATTGGTCTTTACTGTTAGATCCTTACATTCAGACCAATAACGTTGACGAATTACTCAACCGTTGTGTAACCGTTGTGTTTTCTGAACACAGCCAATGGCCGCGTTCAGTAGACTCAACAGTTGGACAACATTACTAGATTTTCCACTGAATCTCGCTCCTGATTGGTAAATACTTCTGGGTCTGTGAAGAATCTAAAAGAATGCTTCAATCACAGACAATAATCACTAAGCGCTCTCTGATCACTTTGTTCTACTGAACGCGGCCAATGGGTATATTCCATTGGTCTGTTCTTTTCAGCCGCACTGCGGAACTAGTACAATAAGTTAGAATGAGACAACTATATTTTTTCTCACTTTAACTTATTACACCAGTTCAGTAGTGCAGCTAAAAAGAACAGACCAAGTACTACAACCGCTCACTGAGCGCTAAGTGAGCTCTTGCGTCTGATTGGTGTATATTTTTAAATCTAAAGGTATATACCAATCAAATGCAAGAGCTCACTTAGTGCTCAGTGAGCGGTTGTAGTACTGAATGCACCCAATCACGTAACTTTTCCTCTAGAGTGAAAAGTGAAAAGTGAAAAATTAGTGGTGGTCCACAAATATTCATATTCATTAATATTTTATAAACTTTAATATATTTTTTAATACTATTTACAATAACATGTGTAACATTTTATTTAAATTTATTATTTGCTGCAGTTTACTTACCGATATAAAAGAATAAATTGACTCTCCAATATTTCAAAAGGATTAGATATATCGCGTAAAATTCTTCTTTGTATCCTTAAATTTCTTCTTTCTTCTTCTTCGTTTGCAACTTGAAATAGTCATCATGCTACAGCCATAATAAATACTAATAAATGCTAATAAATACTAATGAAAATATTAATATAATGCAATTCGTGCGAAGATAGGGAAATTAATGCGCGAGCGATCGATTGATTTTCAACGCAGTAGTAATAATATTATATTCGTCATGTATTCGTCATTGCACTAGATTTTCACTTTTCCGCTAACAAGTTTAATGACGAAAAATTTAGTGAAAAGTTGGTGAAAAGTTTACGTTTCCATGTTTCCCCTAGTTGTATGGATTATAGCTAAACAACATAAAATTACAAAAAGATGTTTTAAGAACATCCAAATGACGTTCTATCTTTTTTTAAATGTGTTTTAGACACACACATGATATTTTGGAGTATTTTGTGTTATCTGGGCGACTTCACGAGAAAATTTTCACTTTTCACTCTAGGGGAAAAGTTACATGATCGATACCCAGACCAATTTTATTTACATTACTTTTCCCGCGCGTTTATGATATTGTTACTATGGGTGCGTTCGCTTTGGACGCTTACACGCTTTAAGCGCTTAAGCATTGCTCATATCGTTCGCTTGGCGCTATAAGAGTGCGTTCGGGGAACGCGCTACCAACGCTACTGCATTGTGCCATCTTTATATTTAAAATATAATAAGGACAGATTGACGCGGTACTGCTAAATAGTGCTAATCCTGAGCTCCCCGAACGCACCCTAAGGACAAGAGCACAGGCTTTTGCATAACACATAATAACACATAAGAGAATAAACCAATTAGTTTTCTTCATTTCCCTCCTCAGGACAGAAATGAAGAACTCTGACTGGTTGATTCTCTTATGCATTGTGTATTAAGCGTTATGCAGAAGTCTGTGCTCTGGCCCTAAGCGCTCACAAACTGTACGCTGACGTCATGTGTGATGTCATGATTCGCTCTTACAATGGCCACGTTCAGTAGAACAAAGTGATCAGAGAGCACTTAGTGATTATTGTCTGTGATTGGAGCATTCTTTTAGATTCTTCATAGACCCAGAAGTATTTACCAATCAGGAGCGAGATTCAGTGGAAAATCTAGTAATGTTGTCCAACTGTTGAGTCTGCTGAATGCAGCCATTCGTTTCTTCTATCGAGGTAAGGCAGTAAAAGCGTGAGCGCTAATGAGCGCTTATTTTCCAAAGGGAACACAAGCGCATTATTTAACCAATTTAAGCAATCTAACCTTCAATTCAAGGGTCTGTTCTTATAGCTGTACTGCTGAACTAGTGTGATAAGTTAAAATGAGACAATTATATTTTTTCTCACTCTAACATATTACAATAAAGAACAGATCCCAAATTGGAATGTCAAAATGGCTTTCAACGAAACTGAAGGTCATTCTACAATACGTGTCGTAAGTTGTAAGCCGTAAGAATTGACCAATTATAGCCGATTATTTTTGAAATAATCGACTGTGATTCGCCAGTTCTTACGGCTTACAACTTACGACACGTATTGTAGAATGATCTTAAAGCCAGCGGCACACGGTGCTTGTTTTCGTGCTGAATTGCTTGCTGGATGAAAATACTGCGTTCTGATTGGTACATTTCCGAAGATGGATGGAAATGCACTAATCCAGCAAACAATCCAGCACGAAAATAAGCACCGTGTGCCGCTGGCTTAATTTAGCCAGAGGCCCTAAGGGCCAGAGCACAAACTTCTACATGACGCATAATACACAACGCGTAATGGCCCATCTACAATAGCTGCAAGAATAAGTTGTAAGCGTAAACAGTAAGAAATGGACCAACCATAATCGATTATTCTTATAATAATCGATTGTGGTTGGTCTATTTCTTACTGCTTATGCTTAGAACCTTATTCTTGCAGCCATTGTAGATGGGCCTTAAGAGAATCAACAAATCAGAGTTCTTCATTTCTGTCCTGAGGAGGGAAATGAAGAAAACTAATTGGTTTATTCTCTTATGCATTATGTATTATGTGTTATGCAAAAGCTTGTGCTCTTGCCCATAAGCTTTTTGTCCCACTAGACGATGCAAAACGTTTGGAAACAGGTAAGTGTATTAAGCCAGCGGCACACGGTGCTTGTTTTCGTGCTGGATTGCTTGCTGGATAAAAATACTGTGATGTAATTGGTCACAGATATTTATACTATACCTACTATAGATACCTAACTTCTAAAAAGAGCTATGCCGAGTGTATTTTCCGGTTCGGCCATGAAGACCGCCAAGACATGGCGGCGGTGTGTGTTTGTAGCGTATTCGTGAGTACCCGATGCGTATATAGTAATACGTATGTGATACTTGATGTGTTCATATCTACTGCTATTAATATTAATGAAACTGCAAATCTACAAATGAGATAATGCCAAGTACATGTTGCATTGTCAATTGCAATAATACAAATTAAAAAGGATATCACTTATTTAAGTCATAAGATCACTTATCACTTATTTACCTAACCAAATGTGTTGCAATTCAAAGCTGCTATGAAAAGTTTACTGGTAAAAAATTTGATTTCAGCATCAGATAAGTTAATTGTGTCAGTTTTGATACAGAAAACAATGCACAATTCAAATTAAAATGGGCGAAGAAAAAGTATGTTCAAAATTGGCACGATAACATTGATAGATTGACAGATTATGAGATGTATGATGATTTATATGATGAAAATGAAGATATAGACCTAGATCATAATGCCACTGTGAGTGAAAATAGTTCCCTTAAAGACAACATTTTATATTATATGGCGGGTTTCATAATCAAAGCAATTATTCGTACATTAATGTGTAAAGGCTGCATTGCCAACACCATCGGTGAAGTCAGCGATAAGCAACATAACATTTCGTCATACACTATGTTAATAGATATAAAAGATAAAGGAGATTTAGTATACGCATAAAATGATGTATACAAAATTGTCCGTGCAACCGAAAAAGAATGTTGTCAGTTATTAAGAAAAATAAGCTACCAAAAGATGCATATGCTAAAATAATTTGCCGAGTTACACGCATATATGCATTAGACACGAATTTATTTCCTACTCATCCTGAGTGTTATGAAGGATTTGAGATAGGTAGAGATAGGCCATACCGTTTGAATTAATAAATATTATTTGTCATAAATACTTAACACTTAGAATGTATTCACTTACAAAAACAATGAAAGATAAAAATCCTGCAAGTAATAAACACAAATTTACAAAATTAATATTATTTAATAAAACAAGTTGTATTTTATTCTTTATATGTATGTAAGAAATATTAATATAAATACTTTGACATATTTTGAACTACCAGGTATATAAATATGAAACCGGAATTTTTGTATAGAAAATACACTTTTATTGTATGAAAATGATAAAAAATATTTTATTCGAAGTATTGCCCATCGCTAGCTATACATTTTTCCCACCTGTCTGACAATGTGTGGATGCCACGCCAAAAAAACTGTTGCTCTTTTGAGGCAAACCAGTCATCGAGCCATTTTCGTACATTTTCGTAAGAAGTAAAGCGCTGCTCAACAAGTGCGTGTTCCATCGATGCAAATAAGTAGTAATCGGACGGAGCCAAGTCTGGTGAGTAAGCCGCATGCGAAAGTATTTCCCAACTAAACGCCTCAATCGTTTCCTTGACCAGTTTTGCTGTGCGTGATGGTGCATTATCATGAAGCAAAATCACTTTGTGTTGCCTTTTTTGATATTCTGGTCGTTTTTCACGCAAAGCTTGATTCAAATCGATCATTTGTTGTTGGTAGCGTTCAGTATTAACGGTTTCGCCAGGTTTTAGCAGCTCATAATAAATTACACCCTTCTGATCCCACCAAACACAGAGCATTGTCTTCCGTCCATAGTGATTTGGCCTTATAGTCGATGTCGATGGTTCGCCTGAAGTTACCCATGATCTTTTACGCTTAGGATTCTCAAAATATATCCACTTTTCATTGCCAGTCACAATTCGATGGAGAAATGACTTTCTTTTGTACCTGGCGAGCAGCATTTCGCAAGTGGTTTTTCGGTTTTCCTGCTGTCTTTCATTCAGTTTATGTGGAACCCATTTTCCCATCTTCTGGATCTTTCCCATGGCTTTCAAACGTATGGAGACAGCTTCTCGTGTCACATTTAATTGATCCGCGAGTTGTTGTTGCGTTTGAGCGTCATCCTCATCCAACAATGCTTGCAATTCGCTGTCTTCAAACGTTTTCGGTGGTCTTCTACGTTCTTCGTTTCTCACGTCAAAATCGCCATGTTTGAATTTTTTAAACCACTCAAAGCACTGTGATTTACCTAGAGCATGCTCACCGTAAGCTTCGACAAGCATTCGATGCGATTCTGCAGCAGTTTTCTTCAAATGGTAACAGAAAATCAATGCTGTCCGCAAATCGTAACTTCCAGGCACAAAATTCGACATGTTCAACGCTATTACAAACTATGCTGTTGTATGAAACTTGTATTGTTGTGAGTTGAAAATCTTTGTCAGATGTCAACAAATAGAAATGGCGCTAATAACGCGGTTTGACGGTAACTACATTGACAGCTAGGGCCATCTGTGGGCAAATTCCGGTTTCATATTTACAGACCTGGTATATGTAATTTAATTTTAACCTGTACAAAACACTTAGATAAACGGCACCTTATTAATACACACATCTTTAAATGATATCCTTTCTTATTCGCACTTTTGCAATTTACAACACTTATTCGGCATTATCTCGTTTGTAGATTTGCAGTTTTAATAATATTAATAGCAGTAGATACGAACACATCAAGTATCACATACGTACTACTACATACGCATCGGGTACTCACGTACACGCTACAAACACACCGCCGCACTGTAGTCTGGATCTCGAAAAGGGTGGCCAAAAATCGAAAAAATGAAATTCATCATAATGAGTTTAGTACCATAGAATCTTATAGAAAGGGCCTTGCTGCATGTTATTCCAAAGGGGTAGTGAGATATCTTTTATATCTGAGACGCTACGTTAGTTCAAAGTGACCGTTCTCGGAACACCGTGAGTCACGCATAGCGTCTCCGAAATATCACGGTTATTTCAAGTGCGTGTAACTTTTTATTCGAGTGTCCTTTCTCAATTCTGCTTGATGGAGGGTGTGACCTTGAAGGAAGGTATGTAGAATATTTACGTATATAAAGTTTTCATTAATTTATACTCGCGTGTATTAGCAATCATGTCAAAGACCTGTCTACATAATTGTTTCTCTTTTAAAAATTTTTACCGTAAATCGTCGAAAAAGTTATATATCTACGGGAATCCATGAATTTGTTTTATTGAGCACATAGGTTAGGATGTTGTTTTGTAATGAAATTTTGAAAAAAATTCTGCCCGTCACTGCCTCTGTCGTTGTGAGGTTAGGAATACGCGACGCCGAGGCAGCTGCTCGGTTAGGTTAGGCTCGACGCAGAGGTACACAGCAGGGATCCGGGACCACGGTCTTACATACAGGCTGGAAATTCCGGTGGTGGGGGTAGTTCCCTTATTGAAGCCAATTTTATTTTCTGTAATAGCCACTAGAGGCGTTGCGATCTAGCTCGCTCGGAGGTGAGACGCTGGCGGGGACGGGTAAGAGCAGAATGGTAAACTCGCGTATACACAAATATATCGATTGAAAGATGTTAATCTGGTCAACCTGAATTAATATACTAAAATATTTCTCTGGGTGTTGCTTTAAATTATTTCGCAAAGCAATATAAAAAAATGAACGCTTTACATGATATAAGATAAATTAATGAAATAAGTATATAAAAGAAATACACAAGTTTTTCTTTTAAAAATTAAGTACAAAAAACGAGTTATTATTTTATATGTGTAATTTGGTATTTCTAGTTTTACGTATTCAAGTTGTCAAGTCAAGGTAAATATGAATAAAAACCAACTCTTCCATTTTCACATTGAGCCAAGAATCCAAAAGTGTTAAAATCCATCTAGCTATTTTAGAGATATTGAACTGTAACATTTTATTTGGCCCACTGTGTATAATTATGATATATTTATATTCACATTTTACCGATATCTTTATTGACAAACAAAGCGATAGCAGTAGACATGTCACCGATAAATTAGTTTAATATAGGAAACTGTACGTCTAATCAATATTTCAAAGATACCACATGATTGTACATACTTCATTGAAAAAATAGCCTCATATTAATATGATCCAATATATTTTATAATTCTATAATGTATACTTTACTACCTACAATACATCTATATAAATCTACAAAATGATACATTAAATAAAAATAAATGATAAAACCTAAAAAATGTAGATGAGATGATGAAACATTGAGACCAAATCTATTTCAGGCCATTATGAACCAATTCCGGAGATTGCTGTTGAAGCAAAAGCAACATCTTAACCACTACTGTATGCAAGATTCATTATTCCGTTCGTTAATTAACCTTCGTTAATCGTAAGTATATATGTATATATAATTCAATTAAAATACAAGTGTACAAAACAATATTCATACTTATACGCAGAGTGCAATGCTTTGAACGCTATATGAAAATATATATATCATTTGATTTTGTCATTGGCCAACATCTCCAATCGTCTGATCACTTTCGCGACATCGGCGTTTCTGTTCAATTTCAGATAATCGATCTTCCGCACATTATGTATACTAGTCCAAGTGGGTAATAGCTTACACAGCAGCCGTAAATGTTCATCCATTTCATTCGGCGTTAACTTTATCCTGAAGGAGTTATCTAATCGTTGTACCACTGTCTCCATTGGTAAGACGCCCTTTTTCTCCGACACGTAAATATTGCGGAGTATTTTCGCCAGTTCTGGGAGCCTTGAATATAATGTAGCCTCCTTGTCTGCGCTTGGTGTTCTCGTCATTTCCTCTAACGCTTTAGCCGCCTGTCTCGCGCGTACCTAAAGTATTACGAGTCATGAAGAGACGTGAGATAAAAGATGTACGTTGTAATAAACATGTTAAGTATTACTTCTCAAGATATACATTTGGTTGATCGATTTACCTTTTCTAGTAGAGATTTGGGAATTCCCTTGAATGCTTTAGTGAGGTACATGTCTTGATGCACACTTGGTGTAATCGGTGGGGTATCAACAATAGCGCTATTAACATTCGGGATATTATTTTTTGTGGTTTGAATCATGGAATCCTGTGTGGGAGATGCAGAAGTCGACTTCGAAGTCATCTTTGCCTCAGCCAGTCGCTGCAATGCTTTCTCCATACGAGAACCAGGGTTCAACAAAGATTTAACTTTGTCTGTAAAAAAGAAAACGAATAAAAGAATATGATAAAAAGATTGGTAAGCAGAGTATACTCGTCAGATATTTTGATATAAATCCTTCATGCCAATCGATAATTAATTAGACGCTTACATATTCTATTGATAATTCGATCTTTCCTGATAGAAATTTTAAATTCATTTTCAATGGTTATCTTATTAATTACAGAACGAGTCAGATGAGATAAATGTATACTATATGTAACTGTTAAATTGTTATACATAAGCACTTTTATACCGATCATTTCGCGTTTTGTGCTGATTATTCAACAAAGTCTTGCGACATCGGGACCGAACGAAAAAATAATTTCGCGAATACTTGAGCGCATTATTACTGAAACCTCTTGTGCAATATTCTTTTTGTCCTACTTTTCTTTGAAATTAGGACCGTTATATCATTATACATAACATATGACAGGTAAATTTATATGGATGATTTAAATTTCTGATGTCATTCCAAGGTCTCAAAATGTTTTCAGCATAATGCATTTTGATAAACAAAGAATTAAGAAAATTAATTTTTTGTAGGCAATATTCTTACTTTTGTTGATATTGTCATTCTTACCAAGAACATCTTTGGCAGTTGCCTTCTCAGCTTGAGGCGGTTGTGGTAATTCAGCTTTTTCAATTTCTTTACATGCTTCTACATCAAACTCAGGATGCCAACGCATTATCTTTTCCTTCTCTATAATTATCGGGGTCTCCAAGCTCATCAAAAATTTGTTATGCTCTTCTTTGACTCTCTCTGTAACAAAGATATTGATAATAATGTTTAGATATACAAAATTATGGTAGATTCAAAAAATTTATAGTGTAACAATTTCTTTCCTAAACAGTACCTAGTAAAATATTATAAAATTTCCGTTTCCTGTCGAGTAATATAGTAGGTCCCATATTATTGTTGGATGCAGATTTCAATATATTATCTTCATCAATTATATTTTTGCTATCACTTATTTCGACTGTAGGCGTCAGAACCAACTCATACTTCTCAGTTTTGGATACTGAACCAAATTTACGATGCTTCTCTTGTTGGTAGATATATGCCTCAGGATAAATAGTCTTTATTTGAGCCATATGATCCTGTGTGAAATTATGTCGCAACAATTCTTGGACTGCAGGTTTCAACTTACTAAATGTTATCAATTCCTTTCTGTTATATAACATTGCTGACACCTGAAAGTGGAAACAAACAACTATGTATTATATCATAAAGCAGACATGGACAGTGTATAGCATGCATAAAATTTTAATTTGTTTTAAGTGAATATTGTAATATAAATATTCTGTAAGACAGAAATATTACCGTTTCTACACATCTGAACACTTCAGCTAAGAATCTATAATTGTAGGGCAATATTAATGATGATGTCTTGGTTTCAGTAATTGCCAGGTGCTTTTGATAAGCTAGTTGCTTAGTAGGACTGCACTTCATAGGGCTGGGTGTTGTTTCTTTAGGCTCGAACAAGATTTTCTTCTGAGGACTCACTGTTAAGATGTCTCTATTCTTGGTTGGAGTAGATAAGATCTTAGATGGAGATCTGGCAATTTTTTGCGGACTGTCAAATGAGAAAGAAATATATTTATAAATTATACATTTTAACTCATTAAACTCTAGAAAATAACAATGCAGTTGCAAGAATTTACCTCACAGGAATCTCAAGTTCTATTTTTTCAAACTTCTGCATTTGAGGCTTAAGGTCATTCTGCTTTTGTATCCTCTCTAATTGCTGATCATAGCTTTTAAGTCTTGCTATGGAAGCTTTCAGCTCTGACAATCTAGAGGATTTATTGATTCTGTTCTTGATGTCGTTTAAGCTCAAATTCTCAGTAGCTAATCTCTTCATTGTCGAGATCTTCTTTGGAGTTTCTAAACCATTAGATGATAAATCTTTTACCTTCTCCTCCTTAATTGTGTCATACTTTGGAACATCATTAGAGAAATTTTTCTTGGGAGTCATCAGCTTCTTCGGGCTGAGACTACCCTTCTTCTCGAAGGGCACTTTCTTACTTTCCACATCAGTAGCTTCCATCTTTTGCAAGCTTTCCCGAATGTCCAACTGATGTTCATCCGCGGAAAACAGTCTGCGTGAACGCAGCACGCGTGTCTTGGGTGTCTTGGCAGTCTTCTCTGTATTCGCTTTTGGTGAGTCAAAGTGGATATTACGAACCGCATTCTTTATACTTGGGGAATCCTTTACCGCGTGCTCTGCATTCCTCAAGATGATTTTTGGGCTCACCATACTGCTCTCATCGAGGTCCTTGCCTCGTTCTTTATTGATGTTGTACGCTTCGTCACTCGATTGTTCTCGCTCCAGCAACAAAACTTTGGACTTACCTCGTAAATCTTCGGACGCTTGACGCTTTCGCGTATTAAAATACTCTGTTATCGAGGGTTGCGACATGATTTTCTTATATATCTACTTATATATAAAAATACACGCAAAATGTACAAGATATGAATAAGATCACGACGAATCGTTACAGCTACCTGCGTCTTTACCCGTCAAATGGTCGACGGTCAACGCAGTATCTCTGTATTTCTTTTCCCGCGCTTTTATCACATTATTACTATGGCCGTGTTCTAAAATTCACTGTCAGTACTGAAAATATATAGTTTGTGTCACACAAATTATAACTTTCCAGCGCTGGCAGTGAATTTTGGAACACGGCTTTCAGTTTAGGGCTAATGATTGCGTTCAGAAAACAAAACGCTCACTGAGCGCTTAGTAACTATTGGTCCTTACTGTTAGATCCTTACATTCAGACCAATAACGTTGACGAATTAAGGCTCATCTACATTAGCTGTAAAAGTAAGGCTGTAAGGTTGCAAGACACGAAATGAAATATTTTCATTCGCTGACAGCTTACGTTACAGCCTTACAGCCTTAAGGTTCGTCTACATTAGCTGTAAGAGTAAGGCTGTAAGGCTGTAACGTAAGCTGTCAGCGAATGAAAATATTTCATTTCGTGTCTTGCAACCTTACAGCCTTACTCTTATAGCTAATGTAGACGAACCTTTACTCTTACAGCTATAGACGAGCCTTTACTCAACCGTTGTGTAACCGTTGTGTTTTCTGAACGCGGCCATTATTACATGTGTCGGCTGCGTTCCGAAATCGACTGCCAGTATTGAAAATACATAGTTTGCGTTACGTATACTACAGATTTTCAGTATTGGCAGTGAATTTTGGAACGCATATGATATCGAAACTTGTGTATGACAAGTTTGTCGGACGATCCGATTGGCTGTTAAGGCTTGTGTCCACAATGCTAGATCTCGATTCGTGTTCTCAATCTGAAATAAAGTTACTAGATATAAAATCGTGGACACAGATAACTTGAATAAAAATATAGTATAGAAATCTCGAAAATTTGTGTCCACTATGATAGAACTCGGTTCAAGTTGTCGATCAAGAAAAAGTTAGTAGATATCGTATTGTGAATATGTACACTCGTGAACTAAAAGGCAATGTTTTACAAATATTAAAGAATTGAAAAAAACGAAAAAAATTATAATTAAAGAAAAATTAAAAATAAAAATTTAAAAATAAAAATTGAAAATTAAAAATTAAATAAAAATAACAAATCAAAATTAAAAAATACAAATTTTTAATTTAAGAAATAATTAAGAAAAAGGGATGCCAAGCGGATTCTAAATTACGATTTTTGAACATAAAAGTGGCTATAACTCGGAAACGGCTCATTTCCGGACCTATGTTTGTATGAACTTTTTTGCTTGTTTTTGGATCCCGAATCACCTCCCGAAGTGGAGTAGGCGATTTTTCGGACACCCTGTATATTCACTTATAAATATGTTTTTTGGATTTAGGGCTGGTTGTTCCAACTTCTCGGTAAGTTAACCGATAGTTAAATCATACGTTTGTCTTTGTTTTTCCTTCAACTTGGACAAAGACAGACATATGATTTAACTGTCAGTTAACTTACCAAGAAGTTGGAACCGACCCATAGCTGGAAAACGGCCCATGAAAGCACTATTTCGCGTTCTCGCCGCATGAGGTCGCCAAAGTCAATTTATTTGTTCTTGGCTCCTATAGACTTAAATTCGAGTAAAACTCTATATAGCTGATTAATGAAAAGCTCATATAAATTCGGCACGATCTTTTTGAATGAGATATGTCAATACACGTTACTGTGAGTGGGAATCCTGTAAATATACGCCGTGGAAGAATGGTGTTGTCGGATTTGGATCAAATTAAAAAGAACGAACGTGATCGCCGACGAAGGTTACGTTTGGAACAGGTATATTTATAATGCGATTTAAAACTTTGGAAACCTAGTCCTTCTTGCAGATGTAAATAGAATATAAATCCACAAAACACTATATAATTTTTAAGTTTCTCCTAACTCAACTAGATTTCCAATTTTTAGTTTCATATGAAATTGTGAATATTAGTTGCAAATGTTATTAAATAACCATGTATTTTACACATATTTTACATTGAACCAAATCTCTGATCTTTTTGTAAAAAAACTCTGTCTTATAGGTTCGTCAGCAATCAAAGGAAATATCAAATAGACTTTTAGAACGTGCTAAAAAGATAGCAAGAGAGGAACTTAACAAATTAGAAAAAGATGCAAAGTCAGAACTTAGACAAATGCATGATAAAAAGATTATGGAAATACAAGAAAAGTGTCAGGAAGATTTGGAAGACATTGGTCAAGCTCATGCTTGTGCTGCGTTGCAACCAGATATTGATGCAATAAGGGAGGAAGAAGGAAGAAGAGATAGAGCTATGGCTATAAAAAGAGGAAAAGATGCTGCACAACATATGAGAGAAATAAAACAGGTAACAAGAGTAATGTTTATATGTTTATATTATTAATGCTACATCTATAGAAAATAATTTTAAACAATATAATCAATTATACCTTTAGAAGGATAGTACAGAAGTAACTCATCAGGAAAGATTACGTAAAGTACGGGAAGAAGAAAATATTAGGGCTGCAACAATAGCTAAGCTTCCAAAACCAACAACAATACTTGAAGATAATAGTAATTCAAAAATAAATTCCTCAACAGAAGATTCCAATGAAGAAGTTATTTGTGAAAGGTTAACACCAAACAAGAAGAGTAACAAAGTTCTTCCTAAAAAATCACCCAAGAAAACAAAAAAATCTAGTTCAAAGGTGTGTTTATACACTTATGTTTATATGTGTTATATTCATCTAATTTGTCTATGTATCTATATCTTTTAAAACAATGGAAAATATTATTTGTTTAGGAATATCAAAAAACTTTATCGCCAAAACCAGGTCCTTCAGGCTTACAAAAACAATTTCGTAGAATGGCTTCTAAGAAGAAAACAATTGACACTGACCGTATTGAACATATCATTGATAATGCAATTGATGAGCACCAGCCACGAAGAACAGTGCCAGTTATAAGCACTACACCAGCTAAAGCTGACAAAATAACAAGGTGCATTGTTACATATATTGTAAAGTATATATAAGTATAATCATGTAATAACCCAGTATTTTTCATAAAGATGCTTCATGATATTTCAGGTACAATCCAGAGGATTATACACAAGATACATCGGATACAAGTAGCATTAGTAGTAGTGGCTCTAGTTCAGTTAGTGACGACTCCTCATACTTTTCTGATGGTGCAGAACAGGTTTCTTATAGGAAAGATGCAAAGACGGCTGTTTTAACAGGCAGCAAAGTACGATTATATGATCACGATACACGTCAAAGAAATGTATACAACACGCCTCTTGGTATAGTTGAAAGAATTGATATTGGAAATGAGGTTTGTTCATTATTGTATATTAATTCATGTATTACCTTAATTCTCACATGATCCTCGAAATCATTGCAAGTTTTTATTACAATTAATTTATAATTATATGTTTTCTGTAACAGCCAAGTGCGATAGAAGCAGCACAAGCAATGAAAGATGTAGAGGATGCAAAAGCACATACAGTCATGTGTCGTAAATTAACTGCTCAGCGTCGTGGTCAAGATGCGATTTTACGCGAGAAAGTACGGAGAGATTATCAAGCGCTTATAAAGAATCTTGAGCATCTCACACAAGAAGAACGAAAACTAAAAGCTAGTCAAATCCATTCTAATGCGGTAGGTAATATATTGAGGACTCTAGAAAAGATTTTCAGTGTTTTATATAGAAATGTATTTACGTAGAACTGTATGTTTAAACATTTTCATGCTCAATTAGGAAGAAGATACACACGCACGATTACATCAGAGAACTAAATGCCAAGAGGAACATCGAAAGAAGATGAATCGTGCGGCTAGAAATGTTCTGAGTACAGATAACACGCTGAGTCGATATTCTCATCTCGCAGAAAAGACGACCTCACCAGCTCAAAGGAAGGATGAAATTTGTAGTGACGTGCCTAACTCAACGTGGCAAGAACCTTACCTGGATAAAGAGGAAATTACAGTATGTCATACACAAGATCAGGATAGCGAAGTATCACGCGAGGAACAAATATTAGATATGTTGAAAAAAGTCGAAAGACAAAAAAGACTACTGCTAAAAGAGTTTGGTGCAAGTTTGCCGGACAACATATTCAATGCCAGTGTAAAACCGCTGTTTGGAGACAGAACACCGGCTCCAGCAACAGCGCAAGTTGCAGATACTGCCAAGCTTTCGTCGCCTGAAATTACAGTCATCAACATGTCCAATTACAATGAGTGTGCGAAGAAGGATCGCAAGGTGAAGAAGAAGCCGGAGAGCTTGTCTACGAAAAAGATCGAGATTGCTATACAGACATCATTGGACAGAATTAGTCCAGCGGAAGACAAGAGTATACAGGTAGAATTACCTCAAGAAAACGTCGATATACCACATTCTAGTACATATAAAGATGTAGGCACTGGTCAAGCATCTCATCCGATTGAACCACAAGTTACCGTCATCACGCCAGAGACAGATGACAGCAGTAACGATTCAACGAGCTCTGACATTACCGGGATGATCATTGAAATTGATAAAAAGGAAGTAACGGTGACACCTAAAAAGAGGAAAAGTAATTTGAAGGTATCAAAGCGACCGTCGCCTCGAGTTTATCAAAAGATTCGCTCAACGTCCGTTAGTTCTAAAGCTACGTCGCCTATGAAGAGGTTCTCGAGGTCTCATTCGAGTTCTCGCCTAACTAGTCCTCAGAAAAGGACGAAGTGCACGGATGCACCGGATACAGCTAGTAGAAGAGTTGATATACACGTGAGCAAATCTGAATTTAACGACGAGACTGACCCGTCGCAAGAGACGAGAGTGTCGATAGACGCCAGCGCGGAAAGTTCGCAGACGTTTTCAGGCGTGAATGATCAAGATGGATCCACGGGCAAGCCGTATCGTATTCGGACGCAAGTGAAAAAGTGGATCCGAATAAAAGATACCTCAGACACTACTTCGACGTCGTTTGCAAGTCCACCGCCGGTAAAACCTCGATCGATGCTTGATGCTTTGACTAACATTACACCGATCTTAGAGATGTTGGATTCCTCGAGAACCGAGGAATTGAGAAGATTACGACAAGACATCAGTCCAGTCTCCACGCCGGAAACTCCTTCGCCACGTACAATGAGAATGCCGTCGAACATTCCACATCGTGATAAGATTAGCAGAATGCTTAGATATAATTCGAATAATTCTCAGAACAACAATAGCGTAACATTATCATCAACTCAAAACGATCAGACTTTATCAACAGATCCATCAGATCCCCAGGAGGCTGCAACGTCGAAATGTGAATCCGCTTCTTTGCAACAACCATCGGTATCATCCAAAGTTTGTATATGCAAGAATCCTAAGTGCAAATTATTACATATAAAACTCGATGACATTCACGATTATGCGCTGAAGAATTGTCCTGAGATATTGCAGAAATACGAGGATCTGCAGAATTTATGCGCGGAACGAATAGCATCCTTAACTGATCTCATTGAAAGAGTGCGAAGTGAACAAAAAGGTAAAGTGTCACTGACGATATTATTTACTTATTTTTATATTACATATTTTTATCACTTTCTCTATCAATTCGATTCTCTTTATTGGATGGAATCAATTTCTACTGCATAAGATTGTCATTCATTTACGATTTCCCCTAATTTAGTAGAAAATATCCTTTGTGGGAAATTTTTAATAATATAAATATATATATGTATGTATGTATATATGTATATGTACGTATATTGTAGATATGGACTTTTCATTAATCAGTCCCAGTGATGAGACGAGTTTGATGCAGTTACCTACGTCCAAACCAGTGCGCAGTGATGTGCAAGCAATACGAAAACTGATTGAGAGTATAGAAGCAATTCATTCTCAGCTTGCAAAAACTCTCTTTGAATCGCAAAAAATTATAGAAAACGGGGCAACTTCCGATAACGAAATCTCACGCGATGCAGAAGTTCAAGTGACCACTTCTACTCCTAGAAGTAAATCAATAGATACAATTACAGCTCCTATACAGAAATCTGAAGTAGCAAAAGCTAAGCCAAAAGTTATAAGCGATGAAAAAGTTAATATACAGCTTAATCGATTTAAAATACAGCAAAAACCTCAAGCAGTGCCCGCAATAAAAACACCAGAACGTAATTCTTGGCCCCCATGTGCAGTTTCTCTTCATGAAGAGGAGGTGATAGAGAAATTATCGAAAGAAATTCTAGAACAAAGTAAAAGCTTAGATAAAGCAAGCACTGCTTTTGTTAGCTTAAAAGAAAATGATGAAATTTCTATGCAACGAAAAGGATCGCTTTCTAATGATGCTAGTTTGAAAAATAATTTATTAGAACACAAAAAGGACAATAGCATTATAAATCTTGTCCAAGAGGTAATAATTTAGTATATATTTTTGTTTTTATGGAAAATACATTAATTAACTTTACACCTGTGTATATGTATCTGATACATTTAATGTTTAAAAGTTACAGTTTAATGTTTAAAAGATAAATTTAATGTTAAAAAAAATACAATATATGAGGAAAACTATAATATATATTTACTATTTACTATTTACAGAAATTAATTTAGATATATAAGTAAGATATAAGCATCTTTTTTTTATATTTTACATTCTTTTAGGTAACAAAAGAAAACGATTTCACTCCCATATTAGTAGCTATTCCCAAAGTAGCACGTGCTCACGGAACTGTGACATCAATAAGTGCAAGGCCTAAACCTCCTGTTACATTGTTAAATGCACCACATTGGTAAGGTTTTCCTAACGTATGATTGTGTATAAGTTAAAATCTTCAATTTATATTTTAGCTTTAAATTTTTTGTATTTAAAGCAATTTAAAAATTTTTTGCATTAAAAACTTAAAATATACTAACTTAAAATATACTTTCTAATATATACTTTAAATACTTTCTAATATGTATTTAAAATATACTAACCATTTCTTTGTTTCATTTAAACATAGGCAAGAATTAGAATCATCAGGGCATGAATTGTCAACGATAGTGGAATTCGACACGACAGATACTGTCAATAAAAGCATCAAGAGCCCGACAAAATCTAAGAATATGGCTGTAGATACTGTGGAAGATTTGCAAAACATTTTATTAAAAGGAACAATAGATGCGGAATCTAAGTCTGCTATTACTGTAAAACCGTCAGTGCATGTGGCTCCTTTATCTGTTCAACAAGATCAAAACATTCCCGTACAAATAGCGGATTCTACAACCGACATGAAGCATTTTGTCGATTTAATTTCTGCACAAAGATCGCAAGAAGCTACAACCATCTACGATTCTCCGGGAAAATCGAAAAATGCGACTGATTGCATTGCGTCAATGAAAACTGAAGCTGAGCGAGATTGGGTAGATTGTACGCTTGAAAACAGTAATAAACAGTTACAATGCAATACAATCACCGAAGATCCTATTCTTCAAGCAAAAGATATACTTGCACTTGGTTCTTCCATAAGTACCGATTTTAATAATCAGCATAAAAATAGCCAACACAGAACAACATCCACTAGCTTGAATAGCTTCTCTGGATTGTCTGGCATTTCTGAGATAACGAGTTCTCCATCGTCAGAACTTTTAAAGTATGCTTCATCCCCGGAAGAAATGGAGACTGCTCTGAAGAAGTTGGGTTTGAGCTGGGCTGTTACGACGTTAAAGAAAACTCGAGAAGCAAGTGCTCTTAGTTCATCATCAAATTCGGATGTTACACCGATAAATACGGCTAGAAGAATGATTTCACCAACTAAGAAACATCTGGATCCAAGTGGCCTTCCTGACATTAGTGATGTGTCGTCGATATCGATCAAAGAAGCCAATAAGAGTACAGAGCAAGCTGTGCTTATGAAAGGAAGAACTTCCACGCCTAAATTTCAAAACTCAAATTCTAACAGTGAAAGATCCAGTACTACGAATACATCTGGAAGTCTTCAAGAGCCAAGCGATAGTTTAACTGTACCTAACGTGTCGCTCACAAAGATAAAATCTGATAATAAGCAATTACAAAATCTTTGACATAAAGTATTTTGTACGTATAATTTCATTAATTACTTATTAGAGATGTATATGGCATTTTGGTGGAATTTTATGGGGGATTATAATTGCATGTATGAAGTAGAATATTTTCTATATGGCACTATTTTCAAATGTTGATATATAAATAATTTTTATCTTGAACAAAAAAAAGAGATACTATATAATGAATAGTGTGCTCACATTGTTATTACAAGTAAATCAAAATAATGGAATATTATAAATATTATGGAGACTTATGAGGATTATTTATAGTATAAATGAATAAATCATGGATTTGCTTATTTGATGTACGATGAATTATGATAAAAGCCAACAAAGCAGATGACATAAAATTTATACAAAACCTTATGTGTGTGGAAAAAAGCAAGATTCTCAATTATTAATAAAAATTAACGAAGCTGAATGAGCACATCCGTGACTTACCGATAACGTATGTCGAATATCTATCAACTAATTATAGTTTTCTAAAAAAGTTATCAAGATGTTGAGCGATTGGGACATGTCTCGGTGTATTGTTTGAATTGCATTGAAGTAATAATGCTAAATATTGTAGCCAGTATCTTGTTTTCTAATATCTTGCAATTGTTCCATAGAAAACTCAAAAATTTATTTTTCATCTTATATAATTTTCTGTAGAATAGAAATAGTTATATATATGCGATATTAACTTAAAGAATGATTTTATGCTACAATTATAAACAAATGAAACTGAAAATAGTAAATTATGCAATTATTGTGTTCAAATTAACAGAATACTGTTTATATAGTATTGGAATATTGTGTCTTTGAAAGCATAAGAAATTAAGGCTGATAAAAGATTTTAGATATCACTGGTTTTAAAAGAGCAATTTTAAATGTGAATATAAGAGAAATATTTATAAGAATTTGTAAAATAGAGAATTTTTATGAGATGAATGTACTTATAAGAAATAGAAGATAATATTCTACAAAATATGTATTTTTATCATCCAAATTTAATATTTTGTATTTTTTTAAATATACACAAATATATATATATATTTATCTATATATTTGTTTTCTTCTATAAATTCAAGAACAAGACAAATGGGCATGATATATTACATATATATATATATATACAATATATTTAATTGATTAAACCTTAACACATTTATTCTCAGCCATATGTATTTAATCAAATTATTGAAAGATATTACAATATTGCATGAGCAGTAAAAGTTTTATATTTGGTGAGTGCAAAAATTTTAATGGATTGATCTGGTAAAAAAATATGTTTGTGTGCATTAAATGATTTAATTAAAAATGATCTATTCTTTCTTCTCTCTCTCTCTCTCTCTCTCTCTCTCTCTCTCTCTCTCTCTCTCTCTCTCTCTCTCTCTCTCTCTCTCTCTCTCTCCTCTCTCTCTCTCTCTCTCTCTCTCTCTCTCTCATTCCACCGAATAATCACCATTATATTTTGTTATCTTTGATATATTATACATATCAAAGATATATGTTTGGAAGTGCCTTCATAAACTGAATCAGTTACATTTTTGGAGTTTTCATATCAAAACTTTGCACTCCCCTAATATATAATTTTAATCGTCATGTGACATGGACGAACGATCTTCGGCCGTTCTTAAAGTCACTGAAAAAAGCAACGTAACTATTTCCGGTAGGAGAAGTAGACGATTGGTCACCATGTGACTCATGCACTATTCCCTAGCATTGTCACTTCCTATACTCTGGAGTCACAACGACAAGACCAATCATATCCGATTGTTATCATTGCAGTTGAGTAAATATTGTCCGTCGGAGAGGATTTCGAGACAGCTTGGTTATTTATCAGAGTTAAGAGTTTTCGTGGAAACTAGAATAGCATATTCATAAAAGAGTGAAAGAATAGAATAGTATATGCGGAAAATGTGATACTGTGTTTCAAAGGAGATGTATATCTGTAAGAACATGACATGAACACAAGAAGAAGAAGGAGAACTGTTGTCCGGCCGAACACGATCTCGACACGGTCGTAGTAAAGACAGGTCTGTCTCTTCATATATGTGCGATGATACCCTCAACTCAAATGAGGTCCTTACGCCGTATCTTGTATTATCATTGTATCTATAAATAAGAATGATCGATAGTTTCTCTCACTTTTGTTAGACGGATGTGCATAAACCGGATGATGATTTTCTTCCGCTTAATTTCCTCGAGAATCGGAGTCGTGTGCTCCGTTGACAACGTGGAGTTTACCCGTGGAGTCGCTTTGTACCGCTATTAGTCGGAAATAGACAGCTCTGAAACAGAAACACTCATTCTTGCTGAGTAAAATCCGATGTCGTATTTTCTGATACATGGCATGAGAGTACAAATGTTGAGGATTAATACGTGGACAAACGTGAGAGCGCTGATGGTTCTGTATTGTCAGTTGTAGACTACAGTCACGCTCAAAACAGAATCTTGGCACGATCGTTCTTATCGACATTCATTATTGCGAACAGTTACATTGTCGACGTTACAATTAGCTGTACAAGTGTGCAAATTTAATCCTTTACTGCTCCTTGGCTGCTACGTACAGTACGATACGATATAATAATAACTATGGTGTTTCGTGATATTTGCAGCGTGTCATAGCGTCTTTGCAGTTACGAGAGACGAGAGCTCACCCGACGCTTCCACCGCACGTCGTTGATAGCGCTGCTATTTCATTTGCAACATAGCCAGTTACAAGACGAGAGACGAGGCGATGCTGGGTCTGGGTGGTGATAGTATATACGTCTGAAATGTATATCGACGGTATACATTTCCATACACGAGTTCTTCGTACATATTAATGATGGATCTCTCTTCGGCGCGATTCATGCACGTTGGATGAGAATTACGAGCCAGCGCAAGAATTAACTGGAAGCCACGAGATCACCGAGTAGGTACAAGATCAACGAGTTTCCGATTGAGTGCTAAAACGTGACCAAACGTTCAGTGATTTTATCCAGCATTGCTGAGAGTGTGTTAAATGTGTATTCTGATCAACGGGAGAGAGCTCGATCGATGTGCATTGTGCGATTGTGCTTCGTCGAAACCAAATTTTTCGGTAGCTCCCAGATTCGCAGAATTTTCTCAGCCTAGTTGTATCAATGTTCTAGCAAATACGTTGTTCAATCGTGGATATGTCGATAAATTGGAGGACTACAAGACAGTGTTTATTTGGGAATGCATGTTGAATATCTCGAATAATGAATATTATCTTAGAATCGCAGAGTACAGTTTTAGAAACATACGGTGAGTAAGCTGTGATTATTCTTATTACTGTTTACTTAATAAGTAGGTGTACAAAGCGTATGCAATACATAGAGATCTTCCAGCTTTGCAAAAACTATCAATTTTGATGGGAAGTTTGCTTATAATATGTTATTTATCTGAAAGATTAATAGATTTCATAGGAATTGATATAATATGCTTAAATATCACATGAATTGTTACTTTCCAATGAAATTTTTAATTAATTTGATAAAGGTTATTTCATATTTTGTATTCTCTCTTTATTTTCTATACTTTAATTAAGTTGTATAGTTTATGATGACAGAATATGTTTTAATACAAATATATTATTGTATGTTACAGACATATGTATATAAAAATCATATTTTGTCACATGTATTTTATATAAAAAAATGAATGTATTATATTTCTTGTTTTAATAACCATTTCTTGAATACAATAAATTGTATTCTAATTTCATTTATTCCAGACTGAGAGTATATATGGAATCAAAATGGCACGCAAACGTAAAACTGAAGTTAAAGCATCTGTAAAATCATCTCATAGATATGTACCTGTACGTAAATCTAGTAGACAAATAGCCAAGAAGCAGATGGAAGAAAAGAAAAATGGAGAGATTTCACAGACATCTTACTTAAATAATTTCGACGATTCTAAATCTACTAATGAAGATCAAGTAGATTCCAAATCTACTAGTGGAAGTCAAGTTTCATCAAGGAAGAATCAAAATTTGCAGAAGAAGCATAATAAACATAAAGACACTTCTAATAACAGTGTAACTATAAATGATGAGAATACTATATATGATGCTTCTCAATGCAAACGAGATGCAGGAGACAGCGATAGCCAAGATGACACAGATAACATAATTGCTAAATCTGAGAAACTTAGCCCAGAGGATGTACGACAAGTTGTAGTTGGTAACACAAATCCAAGTAATGAATCCTTATCTGCACCAATATCAACAGAGATGGAAGTGTGGTCAGAAGATGTCATAGAGGAAACAATAATTTGTGAAGAAATGGATGTGGAAGAAGATGGTGCTAATTTGCCGCAAGATAATGTTATGGTTGAACAAGTACTGCTTGTGAATGAACCTAATCTGGAAGACAAGGATTTTGTGGAATTTACTGTGATACAAAATGAGGATGGTACTAAGTCTATGGTAATGGCATCTAAATCTGAGAATGTTTCAAATGATGAGTATTGTGCTATTCAAAGAAGTGTTAATAGTATGTGTACCAGTGCACCAGAAAATTCCATATCAATGATGCAAACAAACGAATCAGTGATTTCAAGCAGTGAAAATTGTAACATTACAGATCCCAGTGTAAACAAACCATATGTTAATAAAAAGAAAACAGTATTAGAAGATAAGTTTAATAGAAAACAAAAGAGTGGTAAAACAATTTACGACAAAATAAGAAAGGAAATTTCAGAATCAATATCTGATAAAGTTCAAATATGTTCTGTTAATGATTATTCTGGCTCCAGTAATGAGTTATTAGAAGATAACTGCAAGTGGGAAAGCAAAGACTTACAAACAAAAAATGTGTATAAAGATTTGTCAAAGGAAGACACAGTTTCCAAATTGGATAACAAATTGGCAGATATGCAGATAAGTGAATGTTCAAAGGAAATACAAAAATTGGTGAATGATCTTTCTAGTGTGGAAAATATTGACTCTCCAGTACAAACTCCTTTAACTATAGAAAAATTGTCACCAGTAAATATTGATGAAGAAAGCAGTTCGTCGATATTAGATAAAATGGAACAATTACATCATCCAAATAATTCTGTTAGCTCTCACATTACAGACATATTTTCAAATGCTATGGAGCCCAATAATATAATGAAAAATGAAGAACAAGATATTTTAAAATCTGATTCTTACAATGATAAAATACAATGTACAGATCAAATTTCATTGAAATCGAGAATCATACAGGATAAGAAAAATACACATCAGCAGAAGAACATGGAACATTTAGAAATTATTGATGAATTTCAAGACAGTGAAGGGGATAACAAAGTTGATAATGAAGATATGAAGCTATGCAGCAGCAGTGAAAATAGTAACGACACACTTTTGTCACTAACTAATTGTAAAACTCGGGAACTTGATGTAAAAAATATAACAAACAATGCAAATGATATTGACAAAAGAGTTGAATTCAGAAGTCGTAGTGGAAGCACTGATACAACAGGTTCTGAAAGTGGCTCAAATAGTTCGGGTGTAAGACGAAGTAGTAGAATTCGGTCTATTGGATTAATGAAACAAAGGTATATATTTAACTTACATTTTAACTTACATACAAACAAATTATAGAATAAATATTTAAATTATTTTGTTATTATATTTCAATGAGATTTTGCATTAATGAGTAGAAATATTATATTGGTATGTTATTGGTTGGCTCATATTGCATTAAATATAATGTAATTTATGGATAAATAATCTTCTAAATTTTAAAATAAAAAGTTTAATGTAAAAAAAATTAACTTATTTTTAGATCACGTGGACGTGGCTTGGTTACAAAGCCTAACATAGACACTTCAAAAGTAACTCTTCAGCAAGAAAAAGAAAAAGTAGTTAACAATATAAATCCTGCAATTACTCAGGAAATAAAAGTAGATAACTCCGAAGCGCAATGTGATAAGGAAAATAGTTCTAACAAGATATCGACGTCGCTTGATACTTTAGCTCCATTAAGTACTAGTTATAATACCACAGGATATGATTCTGATTCTTCAAAGCCAGTTAAAGTAAAATCTCGCTGGCGAAGATCGAGTGAGCTGGAAATGGGAAGTTCTAGTGCAAGCTTTGGATATCTTACTAGTTCTGTATCAATGCTTGGATCATCTGTTGCACCTTTATCTGAATTAGGACGTTCTACATCTGTTAATACAGGAGAATCTACATCTTCAGAATCAAAGCATAACATTATCAGCACAAATATAAAAACTAGTGTAGAAACAGAACAAGTCAAAGATACGTTATTAACATCTAATAATGTTTCTATTGCTTCAACAATTGCACAAAATCTAAAAGCTATTGGAGCAAAGATTCCATTGCCAATGGTTCTTGGAACAGAGGATAGAGAAATGGAAGAAAGACTGAGTCAGTTTGAGCATTTACGTGAAAATTTGTATCTTACTGAAAGGTAATTGAAATTAATAGTAAATAGAGTTAAGAACTAATATATTAATGATGTTCTCCATAGACAATTATTTTATATGTGTAAAATGTTACATATTTGTAATGTTTGTTAGATATACAAATAAGGAAACTAAGAGAATGGTGTGTGACTGTTTCTTAACTGAAGAAGAAATTGAGAGAGGAGAACTTGGTTGTGGAGAAGATTGCCTTAATAGACTCCTCATGATAGAATGGTAAATATCCATTTTCATAATGTAAAACATGAACTCAGTATTCTATAATTTGTATTTGTAGATCGTATAAGAGAGGTGTTGAAGTAAAGAATAGGAATAATGTTCCTCGTTTTTATTATAGTGGACCTAGATGTGTAGTAGGGGACAGATGTACAAATAAAAGATTTCAAAATTGTGAATACGCTAAGTGTGAAGTGTTCCGCACAGAGAAAAAGGGTTTTGGATTACGTGCTATCGTTGATATAATGGCGTAAGAAAAATCTTAAGATACTTTGATAAAAGAAAATTTTAAAATATTTTGATGAAAGATATGGGGTGATTTTGATAAAATGAAAATCGAATATAAAAAACGAAGTTTCTTATCTTCATGTTATTTTTACGATTACAGAGGCGAATTTATAATGGAATATGTGGGTGAGGTTGTAGATCCGAAAGATTTTAGACGTAGGGCAAAAGAATATTCTAAAGATAAAAACAGACATTACTATTTCATGGCACTAAAATCTGACCAGATTATAGATGCTACTATGAAAGGTAATGTGTCCAGATTCATCAATCATAGTTGTGATCCAAATGCCGAAACACAAAAGGTAGGTGTTTGCAGTATGTTGTATATTAATTTAAAATAATTTTTGATACGTTCAAATGTAAATGACAATAGTTTTTGATACGTTCAAATATATAATGGTATTGTATTGATCAATTATTTGTAGTGGACAGTAAATGGGGAATTACGAATAGGATTTTTTAATAAAAAATTCATAGCTGCTGGTGAAGAAATAACATTTGATTACCATTTCCAACGTTATGGGTATACTTTCTGAACATATATTTTATATTAATAATTATAATACAGAGATATTTGTTTACTTGCATACGACACATAAGTCTATACTAACTTTTATCTCTAATTGACTTTATTTATTTAAATATTAGGAAAGAAGCTCAAAAATGTTATTGTGAAGCACCGAATTGTCGAGGTTGGATAGGTGAAACACCTGAAGAGGAGAAGGAGAAGATTGAAAAGAAGGAGAAACGCGAAAAGGATACAAAGAAGAAGAAAGAAGAGAAGAAACCTGCTGATTATATGGAGGATGAAGATGTGAGCATTGTGCAATGGATAATAATATTATTTATATTATATGCTAGTTGTATTTTATATATTATTTTATCTTTTTATATTTTACTTTAGTTGGAAGAAGAAATAGATAAACTGTGCTCAGGTGGTTTGAAGAACCGTGCGCACACATTAACATTAAGCAGATTAATGGTTCGTAGCAGAGAATTAGAACACAGAACGCGTTTGCTACGTCTTATACAAAGTGGCGTACAACCGTGTCGAAGATTATTTCTGGATTATCACGGTTTACGTTTAATATGGAGTTATGTTATGGATATCGCAACGAATGACACAGAAGAAGCTCAACAGTTTCGCTTAGAAGTGTTGAAAACTCTAAATACACTGCCAATACCCAACAAGACGATGTTAATGGATAGTAAGATATATGGTGTAGTTGAGAAATGGGCGAAAGGGTTATATCTTTCTCCAAATGCCGATTCTCCAGAAGATGATCAGGTTAAATCAAAGACAATTTGCGAAGACTTGAGCAGCAATTCTGACAGCAACGAAAAGAAAAGCCCTGAGCACTTGCACGACATTCCAGATAAACGCAATAACAACATTGAAAATTGTTTGGCAGTTAACGAAATTAAATTAGAAACTCCTGAACAAGCTCTTATTCCCGATTTAGCTTCTAGTCTTCTTGCCGAGTGGTCCAATCTTAAAGAAGTTTTCAGAATACCAAAAAAAGAAAGGATTGAGCAAATGAAAGAACATGAAAGAGAAGCAGGTTGGTGTTGATTTTAACAAAAGATAAATAGTATGTGTAAAGTCAAAAGATATTAATATTAATTTATAATTATTTTAATTTTTTATAGATCGCGGGTATAGAGAAGAACTGGAGAAAGAAGATAAGAGAGGAACATCTTATGATAGGTATGTATTCTTGTGTACTTAATATTTAGTACTATATAGTGTGTTGTCGTATCAGCTGAAATAATGAAATCAAAATTTGTTTTACTATATATAAGATTAAATGTTTAATAAACATAAACATTAATTAAAAAAATTATAATTATACGGAATTACACAAAAAATATACAATTCAAACATCTATTGTAAAGTAATGCTTTTTAAATCAAGCATTAAATATTTCAGAGGCTAAAGCTTGCGAACTTATTGTTATTTTTTTTTTTTTTTTTTTTTTTTTTTTTTTTTTTATAGAGATGTAGAGAACAATGTGTACGAATATGTCTAAGGTATTTGTGGCATCTCGAATCAAACTATATTGATTTCATAAATTTTTAGGCATAGATCTGATAGATATACTCGAAGCGAAATGGAGAAACGCGGTGACAGAAGACGAGGACGAGAATCTCCAGAAACTGAACACAATAGAGTAAAAGAAAAAAGAGTAGAAGAACGAAGTAGCTTAGTTCCTATACCACGCATGACAAAATATGAGCGTAGGCAATTATTTGCACTACAAGTCGCAAAAGAAGAAGAGGAAAGGCAACGTCGTCAACAACAAGAATCGTGGCAAGAACACGAAAACAGATGTTTGGCATTGGGTATAGACCCCCATACCACTGCCATGGTTGATCCTCAAACTGGTTATCCTGTTTTTTATAATCCGTCATTAGGACAATGGCAGCATTATTCCACTCAAGGTAAATATGCAAATATGTTTTATATAAGTATATTGACTTTTTAAATGTTTTACTGATCTATTAGATCTATATCTATTAGAAGTATTTTGATACAGAGTGATGTATATATATATTTTTTTTTTATATAGAAGGAGGAGAAGTAACGCAACAGTGTACTCCTATATATGTAGGCCCTCAATCTACTAATATAATAGGGCAGACTTCTCATGTACTACCATCATCAATGACAACTGATATATCGTCCGGCATTACAAGTGGCATTTCGCCTGGTGTGCCATCAGTAGCTTATTCATTAAGTCAGACAACTGTGTTCAGTCAAACATCATCCTCCTATTCTTTGATATCACACCCACAACCATATTCCGAAGGACAACTACCTGTTCCGAATAGTTTAGTGTCTGTTCACGGTGGGACACCTCCTATATCAATTCAAACACCTCTTTATAATCACCTCGAGAAGCCTGCTGATCAATTTACATCTGCGGAAAATCGACCGTCGCAACCTGAGGTTCCCCCAATAGATTTACCACCGAAATGGAAGAGTGCAACAGACAGCAGAGGTAGAACATATTATTACCATGTGAAGGAAAGAATATCGCAATGGCTACCTCCACCACCTGATCATATTGGGGTACAACCAGACTCCTCGTCTACTTCGGAATCTAGTGAAGAATCTAGCTCGTCGAATGAAGATGATGAAGATCTCGATGATGACCATACCGAGGATCAAAGGAATGACGATATGGAGACAAGCAATGTTTCAACAGAAAGCCCTTCGAGCACATCTAGGCCAAATATGTCTAAAAAGTTAAGTGGTCACAATCTGACTGGAAGTTCACTGCCGTTTACCGAGCCTAAGAAAAGAAGAGAGGGGCTGGTACAAGAAAGAATTATTAGTGTGAGTATATATTTATTTTAAGAGTTTAGTTATGTTATATATACATTAATATTAATAAATTAAAAGAGACACATACAAACACACACACACACAAGATAAATTAAAAGGAAATTTCTTTTGTATATTTTGTGTATGATGTTAAAAATTTTTTGATATTAATACAATAGTTGAAGATTTTTATTTCATTTCCTGTAATTTTGAGCAATGTCTTTGTCGTTTACATTACAGCCACGTAGGGAAGAAGATCGTATCGACCACAAAGTTTATAAAGAAATAAAAGAAAAATTACGGCGGCAGAAAGAGAGAGCAAAACTGAAAGATCATGTTGAGAAGTTAAGGAAACATCGACGAAGTAATAAATCGAAATCACATTCGCGACATGGATTGAGCAAGTTGCAGTCAACATCAGCCGAAATGTCTCCTATGTCTGAAAGGAAAATCAAGGATACATTTAGAATAAATATGGCTAATGTAATGGTGCACTTTTTAAATCCATATAGAAAGAATGATTGCAAACAAGGTAGAATAACTAATACTGAAGATTTTAAGCATCTAGCTAGAAAGGTATATCGATTTTACTTTAGTACAACAAATTTGACTTACGACAATATCGATTGGTTTTATTTTTCCTTCTATCTATTTAATACGTCCTGTGTGTATTCTGTTACAGCTAACACATTTTGTACTTGCAAAGGAATTAAAACATTGTAAAAGTGTCGATGAATTACAATGTAATGAAAACGTTAAGCACAAAGCAAAAGACTTTGTACGTAAGTACATGAGTAAATTCGGCGCAGTGTATCAGAAAGGTACAGATGAAGATTAGCTGTGTAATTTATAAAACGAAATTGTTATTTATTGCACGGGCTCTTTACTTTGTCTATTATGACATATATTTAGGTAATGCTCGTATGTAGATAATACACATTTATAACTGCATTATTGTAAAATAGGCAAGTTTGTATATGCGTGATAAGCGTTTTCATGATTTAGCGGTTAATAAATTAGAAAATTTTTAATTTCCCATAACTTTATGTGTATATTTGAATACACATTCATTTACATGCTGACTATGCATGTTGTACCTTTTATAAATATTGTAACTTATATGCCAATACAGTGTAAAATACATACTTGGATAGTTGTTTAAGATACTACTTGACCTACCTTTTTCAATATTCATCTTATAGTATAAATATTCAGCCAATATTTATTTATATAATATTACGAAATGATTATTTTGTAAATATTAGATTATACATAAATTTTTAACTGCTTCACACTAAGTTGCTGTTGTATGTGCTTATTGGCTTGTATAATATTTACAAAAAACCAAACAAAGCTGAAGGGTAAATCTTGCATTTATAAATTTAACTTTATATTATCAACATATTTTGTCTATACATGGTACAAAAATTGATTCTGTGATGCGTGATCTTCGAAATGAAAGCAATGTAAGATATCAAATAAAAAGAACTATATGTTTATTATAGTAATTATTATTTATCAATCATGATGCTTTTTTTAATTCAGCCCATTTATATACTTTATCGGAATTTTAAAGTTGATCGTACTCTATATATATATATATATAATTGCAGAATATGATTTTTAGGTAAGTTAATATATAGTGGACAAGATATATAAAATTATATAGTAAAAGTATATTTCATCATAGGAGTCGTAAGAAAAACTTTAACTTTTTAGAATTTTTTTTTAAGATTTAATGTGTTATTAGAAAGCTTGTATATTTATTTATTGAAGTTTGGAAAAGGATTCATGGATATTTTGCATAGTGTCAATTCTTTAATAAATAATCATAATGCATAAGTATGTAGAGGAGATGTATATCCTTAAAAAATGATTAATCTAGTAAAAAGTTAAGATTTTTGATAAGAAAGAGCCATATAAGTGGCTTAAACTTTCCCTTGCACACAAAATACGGTGACGTGCCTTATCTTGTGAGCAAAGGGGTTAGGCCTGTTCTGAAATTGGTTTTGATTCAGTTATAAGGTTGGTATGCCTTAAACTAACTTAAGCCAGCGGTACACGGTGCTTGTTTTCGTGTTGGATTGTTTGCTAGGTGAAAATACTGCATTCTGATTGCTATATTTCCGAAGATGGATGGAAATACACCAATCAAAACGCAGTATTTTCATCTAGCACGAAAACAAGCACTGTGTGCCGCTGGCTTTAGATATGTTCCATAATTGATCAGCTAATCAATTATCGAAATAATAGGTGATAAAAAATCTACCCATCTTTATATCTAATATTACAAAATTAATGTTTGTGTTATCTTTAGCATAGCTAAAATATTCGGTATTATCATTGTTCTTTAATTACCTCCGGATCTCTCAGAACTTCCTTGGCTAAGGTCCAGTTCCATAACTTGCTTTAAACTCCGTTTAAAGCAAGTTGTGGAACTGGGCCTTAGTGATTATTGTCTGTGATTGGAGCATTCTTTTAGATTTTTCATAGACCCAGAAGTATTTACCAATCAGAAGCGAGATTCAGTAGAAAATCTAGTAATGTTGTCCAACTGTTGAGTCTAATGAACGCGGCCTATATTGAGTGTCGTGAACGCACTCATATTGAACTGAATTGAATTGGGGGTTGGCGTTAGTCTGGGGTTTTCCAGTCCACAGCCATCTATTGAATAAATGAATGAACTGAACTGAACTGAACTGAAAGTTGGGGTTAAGTTATTTACTGTATTGTATAAAATTAAAAGACAAATAAGGAAAATTTAACAGGAAGCAGTGTGAAATTAATATATTTAAAATGACGTCATTTCTAAAAACGATTAGCAGTTTCCAACTTTTTCATAAATGCTTAAAACAAAGGTATGACGTTTATTGTCAATCCATAACAAGTATTTTATTTTGCACGAGCAGATATGGTGTTAGCATGAGAAAAAATGCAAAACACGATATATTCAGAAAAATTAAAACGATTGGACTCACAGAATGCTTATGAAAACCTGTTTCTCTCAATTTTTAGTACCGATATGATGTTTATCCCAAGTCGAAGTAAACGAATTGGGATACCTAAATACCGTCATCCAGAATGGCTGCCAAAACCACAACGTGTGGTATGTATATATAACTAGTATATATAATACTTTTTAACAATATATAAGTACAAAGTATTATTAATGTATGAACATATACATCAAATGTTACCTATAAATAACTATTGAAATTATATCATAAATGTGTGTTACATTCGGCACTTAATTTTTTTGTGTAGCGATATGAGGAGCAGCTAACAGAGGATAATAAAGAGTTTCTTCAAGAAGTCATTCAAGATAAATATGGTCTACCTCATGCAGATCTTGGGATGAATCTTTCCCCTTTGAAATTAGATCCAATAGAACCAATTACAAAATGGAAGCCTGGTCTGAAACGCACTGGTCTGATTGCCAAAAAAATAGGAGTTTACCCATTATGGCTAAAGGATGGAACAAAAGTTTATTCGACATTACTTCAGGTGAACACAGGAGATTTGATTCTCAACAAATGGTATTGTTATCAATATTTTGAACTTTCTTTATCCTGTTATTCTATATTTTTATTTACAGGTGGTCGATAATGAAGTAGTAAAATATATACCACCCGAAGAATTTTACCCTGTAATAGGTAAAAAGCCAATACAGATCAAACGTAGACTCGGATGTCTTGTAGTAGGCGCAGGAAATATAAACCCACAATTAGTAATTAAAAAATTACATTTCACACATTTTTCTTTACTGGCTTATAAGCAAATTTATTAATGATTATTTCTTCCTATAGGTCACTAAAGAATATAGTGGTATATTCAAGGATTCAGGAGTTATGCCAAAGCTTGTACTGAGAAGATTTATAATATCCCCAGAAGCAGCATTACAACCAGGGACTCCTTTATTTGCTACACATTTTAAGCCAGGAGAAGTTGTGGATATTCGTGGGAAGACGTAAATAATTTTTTTACTATTATCTATCACATAATGATACCATAAGTGAAATCTTAGTGAAAGGAGATTAGATTAATGTAAAACATGTGAATCCATTAGGATAGATCGTGGATTCCAAGGGGTTATGAAAAGATGGGGCTTTAAAGGGATGCCTGCCACTCATGGTGTAACCAAAACTCATCGAAGGCCTGGAAATATTGGGTCAGGTGGCCAAAAGGCCCGTGTTATGCCTGGCACTAAGATGCCTGGACATATGGGTAATAGATGGCGCATTCTAAAAGGTGTAGAGGTAAGATGGTGTACATGTGCATATATATATATATATATATATATATACACATATATCAGATAGAAAATATATAAAAAGTTACCTTCCAAAGAAAATCTACAATAGAAAAGTTTAATTCGCGCAATTTAGAAGTTTTCTTTATATTTAAACACAAAGATAATTATTTCGTCTTTATTCTGACATTTCACAGATCCTACGGATTAATACAAAGTATAATGTATTGTGGGTCAAAGGACATAATATACCAGGTGAAACCAACAATTATTGTTATATCTATGATACGATACTTCCTCTGAAAAAATCCAAAACGGCACCCTATTTTCCCACATATTTACCAAATATGGACAAGGAATTGTTTCCAGAGGAACTATATGCAGATAAAGTACATGCATTCATGGATCCCTCATTAGAAATAAAAAAAAAATCTTAATTGTCTTTATATATTGTTAAATAAAAGATGTGTAATTTTAAATATCAAGAAGTATTTCGTCTTGGTTATATTTTCACCTCGTTAGTTTATAAATATACGTTACGTAAAAAAAGGGGGGAAAGGGGGAGAGAGAGAGAGAGAGAGAGAGAGAGAACACAAGGATATACTGCAAGCACATTCGATTTTTTAATATTGTGTAATATATATTATGTCTTATATATAATATAAATTATCATTAGATCGAAATAAAACTATCGACTGATGGTTGAAGTTTGTCGAGTTTCCGTTATCCGGCTCCTTATAGAATGTTTACAATTATGCTAGCAAAGAGTAGTCAATTGACTTTTTTATTTAGTAATTAGTTATTTAGTAATCAATATCATTATAAATGAGTCTTATAACTTAGAAAGTACTTAATGAAAAAATATTTTATTACAATATTTTGAAAAGCTCTCGAAATAAGCTATAGATAGAAAATAAGATAAGATAAGATAAATAACAATAGATAGAAAATAGAAAATGCCCAAAAATAAAGATAAAAATAAAAATAAGATAAAAACATTATTTTCATGTATGAGTATATACGCATATATTTTATATATATGCAAACGAACAAATGTATCATAATAATTTTTATATTTATTTCTGTCCTTTGACAAACATCAAGCTATTATTGATGAATAAAGGCTTCTTTTGCAAATCTAAAAAAGTTTCACATTTTTTTGTTTTGTTATAAAATGTGCAACTAGTGTAGTGTTTTCAATACACAATAGCATTTTTTCTGCAAACTAAATAGAGAATGTATATAAATTAATAACAATATTTCACGTAGCTACCGTAACTTATTCTTTGATTTGAATATTTTTAATAAGCATAGAAGAAGCCATGGGTGCATTCAGTACTACAACCGCTCACTGAGCGCTCAATGAGCTTTTACATTTGATTGGTATATTCCTTTAGATTTAAAAATATACACCAATCAGATGCAAGAGCTCACTTAGCGCTCAGTGAGCGGTTGTAGTACTGAATGCACCCAATATCTATAAATTCTGGTCAAAGAGCAGACGCTATTTTGAACTATTGCGCATTCTCGGAAATGGTTTGGAATCTTGTTTTCTTGCATGTAGTTAATGATAAAAATTCATCAGGAGGGAAGGATTTATTTAATTAATCTCGTTGACGTTAATAATAAAAGTTAGTTGAAAGAAGAAAAATATATCATAAATTAACTGTTCTATGAGTTTTACAGGTAAATAAATCAACATAGAAGCAAGTATAGAATGTACCATATATTAAAAGCATTAAATAGGTTAGGTATTATTTTGGTTTAAAAGTTGTTTTAAGTAATAATGTGACAATTATTGATGTAAATTAATTAAGTAATGAAAATTTTAGGAATTCCTATATAAAATATGCGTTTTATATAATGGATATATTAGAGCCAGAATTAATTTGGGTTAATGGAAGATGCTACAGATTTTATGAAAACAGTATCCGGAAAAGCATTCATACATCAGCCCCATACATGGAGGATAACGAATCAATTTGTTCAGATGAAGAAATTCAAAGTGATATAGAAATAATAGCGCATGATACATGTTTTAAACATAGTTTCTATGTGCCAAAGTAAAACATCTTTTTTAATAGTCAAAATTAAACAAAATATAGATTATTAGCTAATTGCATTACTCTTACTTTAGAGTTTTCTATTCACATATAATTGGTACAAAAGGCATGACACTTAAAAAATTAGAAGTCGAGACAAAAACATCTATAAATGTACCAAAGAAAAAACAAGATGGAAACATTGGTAAAAATAATTCTATATATTGCTAAGAATAATTTAACTAGAATTTTTAACATAATTTGTAATTTTTTAATATTGTGTGTTTATAGTTATTACTGCACAGAATCGTAAAGCTATAGCATCAGCAAGACATAGAATTGATTTATTAGTGGAAGCTTCAAGAAAAAAAATACATTATACACATTTTTTATCAATACCATTAAATACAGAGAAGATAATTGATAAATATCTATCTTTTAAAAATGATATATTGGAGAAATATGGAAATACTGTATATAATATTGATGAATCATTATTCCAAAATCCATCTAAGTTGCATCTTACCATTGGAATGCTCAAATTACTTGATGATAATGAGAAAAAGCAAGCAATTGATGCTCTTATGAATTGTAAAGAAAATATCATAGAGTAAGATAACACATGTTTTGACTTATGAATAATAATATCCATATTTTCAATTAAATATAGCATATATCTAATTTAATGCAGATATAACATTTGTATCATATTATGCAAAATTATAACAAGTATTTTATATGAGCAGTAATATTTTAAAAAATTCTTAAATTGCATAATCTTTTACAGCCCTATCCTTGAGAAAGCAGGTCCACTAAATATACATTTGCAAGGGGTTGCATGTATGAATGATGATCCTACTGAGGTTAAAATTTTATTTGTACAAGTTACCCATAATGAAAAATTACAAGAACTTGTTGATAAAGTTGCTGATTACTTTGTAGACATAGGTAAATAATATTTGTCACATAGAATTTAAATATAATTTTGTAAAGCATATACTTATGAAAATATACTAATATATTGTTTATTATATTTAAATAACTAATAACTAATTTTATATAGGTTTGAAAGAAAAGGAATATGAAAGAATAAAGTTGCACATGACTGTAATGAATACATCATTTAAAGATGATAAGCAAGCGCATAAAGATAGATTTAATGCAAGCAAAATATTAAAAGTAATAAAATATATTTTTGTAAACTACATCTATATGAATGATTTAAAAAGAATAATAGAAATATACATAACATTTATATCATATTCATTTTGTTTTAGATTCATGAGAATACTTTATTTGGGAAAATCATATTTAATCAGATTGATATATCTGAGCTTCACACTGCTACAAAGGACAATTACTATAAATCGATAGCCAATATTACTTTTTAAAGTACAAATACATGCTATGTTTATAGCAATTGTCTCTTTTGTTGCAAAAGAGTAAGTTATGCACAGAGTATATATATATTTTTATATTTTGCATAAAAAGAAAAATAAGAATAAATAAAAGAATATATATTTTTCTTTTTATGCAAAATATCAAAATAAAAAAACAATTCTAATATACTAGAGTGATTTTTGATTTTAATATAAATGTATATACACATACACACATGTAGTTTTTTTTTTAAGTAGTTACACAAATATATTCGTATTGTTTATATATAAATTACCGATATTTTGCATATGCAATTAATATAATAGAGACAATATTATATCTCATTGATATATCATTTGTATATCATAGCAACAGATATGATAACAGATAGTCACATATGATAACAGTGGAGTCCAAATCATGTAATTCCCTTATCAAATTTTCCAATGTTTACCTAGAAGTGGATAAAGCTCAGTTTTTATCTGTAGACTTATTAACGCTTAACCTCGTTATATTAGCGTTTAACAAATGTAATTAACATATGATTAAAACATCATAGAGTTATGGGATTTTTTGAATAACGACTTCGTAGAAACATGTAATTATTTCTTCCGGAAAAAGAAAAATATATAATGTGTTTAAAAAAATATATATATACTATTTTTATTTTGTACTTATAAGTAGGTATATCGTTTGAACAATATATGTTATCTTTTTTACGTATGTTAAGATTGTGAATTGCAATTTGTGATATTTGTAAATATAATAAAAGCTTAAATTGGAGTATTTTTAAAGATTGAGACATAACCTCTAAAATATTTATCAAATACAATATGCAAAAAATATACATTACAAATTAGAGTAGATGAGAAAGAAATTATCATTTTTTTATAAATTATATTTAATACATTACATATTACGTTAATTTTAATATAATAATCTTTTAGATGCATCTTATACATATTCTCTACATATATATGTTAATGTAACATATTTTTCAACATTTTGATATATCTGGATGTAAAAATGCTTTTTATTTTTTATTTAAAATAACATTCAGTAGTATATTAGTATTCGAAGATCCGTACATATTTACATTAGACTAATATCTTCTAAGTAGTATCATAGTATATCAGCTTTGTTAAGTATATAGAACATATTTTGTACATATAATTTCTGCTTAGTTATATACATGTTCCAACTAACATCGATAATTTTTCCCTAACATTACATTTTCTGTAGACGTAGTAAAAATGCACGGTATCAGAAGAATATTATTTTTCTGCACAATGATAGTTCTCTTACCAATTACGCTTTTAATAATCCCTCTGTATCTACGGCATAGTCTCTATGCAGATGTTGCATATGCTGTAACAGAATCTGATATCATGGAAATCAATGATGGAGTTTCATCTATATTCTGTTCAGTAAGAAGAAACAATTTAATTTTATCATTATTGCTACAATATATTTGATATCAAATAATATTAAAAAGTTCTGTATCATCCATAAGATAAATAAAATATTAATTAACGTATGAATTAGTGTATAATATTATATAAAATTAATAGAATATATTGTATTATTAATATCAATAATGTCTTAATTATACAACATTAAACCATTATTTTTATAGGAACATACTATACGGATGAATGGTACTTTCAATGCTTTTCAAATGTCACAACGACCAGAAGTAACGTCGTATCGAAAACATATAAGATTGAAAAAAAGTATGAATTTACCAGATGATACATTAGAATATTGGGGATTTTACCTACTAAAAGGTGCGACTGTAGTACTTTCTGTGTGCTCAAGGTAAGCAAAATAAGAAATATAAATGAATTATTGTAATATGTTAAATTTGCAATCTGCAAATATATTTTCTTATTTCATTTATTTATGAATACAATGTATTTATACAAAAATAATATTCATTTAGATTTGAAGGAGCTTCTATATTAGTGGTGAAAGGAGAGAAGAATTTACAAACCTGTGGCTTGTTAGAACACAACAATGAGAAAGAACAAGCACTTTTTATGCCAGGTGCCAATAAACAAGTTAAAATAATATATGAGTCAAATGCGCAAGAGATTGATTCCAATGAAATACCTGAACCTGTTAAAATGTATAATACCAGTGATACGCAATCACATGCAAATGTGAATTCTAAGAATTTTCTGGAGAGAAATTTTATAACAGATAATAGCACACAGGTTCACAACGCAAGTTCAATAGTTTCAACAGACGAAAGAAATTTACAGTTGTTATACAACAAGGCAGCTTCTTATGTTCACAAATATAGAGACTATTATCGAGCGGCAGTAACGAACAACACTAGAGAAGTGAGACATACTATAAATAGACAACGTAACACGAGGAAGAACAAGAAAAATGAACGAAGAAGAACAAGGAAAATAATAGGAATAAGAAACAATATGGAAAATACTCAAGATCAGTCTAGAAAAATGCGTATAAAGAAATTGGAACAGATACTATATTCACATTCAGAAAATGAGAAAGATATATATAAACGGGCGACAGAAGTGGAAGATAACATACTAAATATTAAAAGATTTAAAAGAAATCGAGAACTCATAAAGCCACCGTCATTATTAGATCAAGGCATCAGACATGGTGGCAATGCCGATAAAAATATATCTGAATCTAACGACGTATCATCCGTTTCTAGTTTTGAGTATGGCTTATTCAATTGTTATGGTGAATCGATATTGTTAGCACACGAGTTTGAACCTTCCAATCAATGTATTGATATTAGCTATTTACTTAGTGGTAAACATACACAAACAAGTCATCACATTGAAGATAACGGTTATTATTATTATATTTTCTATAGCGATAACGACATCGTGTCCAATGATATTTATGCACTCTTTGATATATATAAGCCAACTTTTCAATACGAGAATGTAACCAAGTCATGTATTAATCAAACCGAATGCTCATTTTCATTAAATGTGTTATCGCCAGATAGGGTGATTGTTGAAATACCGACTAAAGATGGTATAGAACACGATGAAACGGATGATATTAGTATGCTAATTTCTACATGCCGCCCACGAATGGGAGCATATGTCATTTTCCCAATTGCAATAATGTTTTTGATTCTAGGCTGTGCTTTCATATGAATATAAATAGCATGTGTATTTCGATTCAAAGATATCTATTGGATGTACGCCAATTATTGAAATGTTAAAGTATTACTTTATTAAAAAAGCAAATATGATTTTATGTTATGAAGTATTGGTATAAGGCTCAGATAAAGGGGATTCCATTATGTTATTATATTGTGTTACCTGTTGCTATTATATACAATAAATGATTTATTTATAAGCTGAATAAGACTGAAAAAAATCTAGTTTACAAATTTGTGTTGTACACAAATAAGTACACACAACATATAAAATATATATGTGGGTTCCTAAATACCACAAAAAATATATTTTTATGCGAATAACATTTAATATATATTAAATCAATGATACATATATTATAAAATTAAAACTCATATACCAAAAGTATCGAATTTCAAATTAGAAGACATATGCGTTTAGTATTATATTCAATGTACAAATTATAATAAATGTAATGTTTAATTACTATGTTCGACACAATTGTACATGTCATCTGAAATTTATCATTCATATTTTATTTTCCTCTGGTATGAGAACGTGTAAAATAACCCCAATTATTATCGCAATCAACTTTAGTTCTTTCGCGAAAATTTTTTAAAGAGAGTGTTTAAGCATTCGTATTTGCCGCATAAAATTCTACCACAATGTCGCAAGTCAGTATGGGTACGTCACGTCCGGTCATGCGCGATAACCATCGATAAACGAAATATCTTAAAAATTTTTATATCCATAGAAGAATTCTCTCTTCAGTCACGAATGTTAGCAATGCTAATTAGCTCGATCCCCAATGGGTTCGACCAATAGTAATCTTGCGCGCCTATAAAGATCGTCAGAATCACCACCGGCACCGCACGCAGCGCCGTAGTGCGGCAGTCGCCGAGAATACTCGTGACGCTATACGAACCGTTCCTCACTCTTCCTTTCCGTTGCCCTTCGCGAGTGGAACATGTCGCATACTTCTGAACGGCGGTAAGTTCGGTCTTTTCTAGCTTAACAGCGAACTGTTTTCGCGTTTCTTTGTGCTACAGCATCTCTGTACGGCTCTCTTTGTTTCTGATATCGTGCTCCGTAAAATTTCACGCCGTGCGGGTTAAAATACGACTGCGAAAAATAGTGCCGCAATCGGGACGGAACGCACGGGACACAAGACTGACAACATGGCGTGCCATTCGTTTTTGTCACATTGCTCACGGGAGATTAACGGCGATCATGAGCCGTCTCCGTGGCTCGTCCTCTTAACCTCCTCGTCGCGTGGTTGCAACGGCGAAAACCGCGGCGGATTTGTCCGGAGCAGACGGTCCGGACAATTCCGATGTCGAAGTGTGTCTCGATGGCTCCGTTGTAGGGTGAAGCTTTCCCCGTGGCCGCCACTCGACAGGCCAAACACGTTTTTCCATTGCTCCGGAATTACGTAATAAAATAGCGATTTTCGCACAGTTTTCGCCGAAAAATCTATTCGAGCATTACATCTACGACTAGGCGCGTCGCGCATAGCTCCGAAACATGGTACTTCGCACACTTCACTGCGGCTAGAAGCAACACGTTTCGTATATTCTCGGCCACGCTTCCGCGTGAGTCACTGTCAAGTTAGTCGCTTGAGCTAACTGCAATTCGCATGCCGAACCCTGCGCCAAACTGATTTCACTGATCAGTTTCATCATGCTCGTTTGTACAGCGCTCATGCATGTAAATGGCGGTTGAATTATATCGTAATTTGTAAGATTTTTATATATGTTTCTTAAAGATCGATTTAAACTTTTGGTTCTCAAGGTCACGTGACTTTTAAAGTGATTTCATCGTCATATAATCATCGTGACTAATATTATCAGTTCCTCCACAGAGTTGTAATCATGTTATCAATTTTTCCCTGAAAATAGAAACTTGAAAATAGAAAAGTGAAAAGTTTCTTTCTTTGTCCATAAAGTTACATTCTCGCTAAAATTATTGAGTTCATCTGACCTTTTCACTTTTCTATTTCTAAGAAAAGTTATATGATCATTATCCAGAATAAATCCATAATATATCATTTATAATTATTTTTATCTATACTTTTCTTTTTTAATATATTTTTGCAAATTTAAAGTTTGATCTTTTTTGTACTGATATAAGAAAATTTAAATACTATTGATTATGCTTTTTTTATTATAAAAATGTATCACAGTAAGATATATATATATGTTTTTTATTATTATTATATTATATATTATATTATTATTTTTATTTTTTATTATATGTTATTATATATTATATGTTTTTTTAATTGTTTTACAACTTACAAATCTAATGTAATTTATTTATACTTGATATTGATATTTGAAGTTAATAATATATTCTCTATTATTTTAGAAATGATGATCAATGGTCAGGAGATTCAAAAAATGGCCCGAGTGAAAGTGAGCAACCTACGTATGATGGGCCTCCGGGAATGGATCCTGATGGCATCATCGAGTCCAACTGGGACGTTGTGAGTAAATTAACCACTATCTTGTAATTATAATATATCAGAAAATACAGCAGGATTCATATATCATATATATTTTTAACATTTTATAGATATACTATATTATCATATACTTTTGATGTTTTAAAGAATTTCTTATCTTGAGATAACACAAACACAAACACTGTTGAATATACTAGTTAACTTGAAAATGATCCAATAGATATAGTACAGATTATCAGGAAAAGTTTTAAAGAATATTTTTTTACATTGTATGGAGTAATTAGTTGTAAATAAGAGCAATTGTTACTTATTTTAAAAATGTTCTTTGAAATATAATCTGTTATTTTATTACTGATTTTATCATCTTTGATCATCCTTGTTATTAAATACAGTATATATGGAATTATGGAATTATTAAAAGAGAATTATTAATTAGAGAGATTTATACCCACATAGTATAAATATATATGTAAATATAATAATATAATATATATGTACAATAAATAATTGTGTATATGTGTGTGTGTTATAACATTTTCATTGTCTGGAATGATCTGAATAATTTTTTTCTTTAGTTTGTAGAAGGTTGAGAAATTAATATTAATATTTCTCCATCTAAAATGTTAATTATCTTATATTTATATTGATTTTTCTTTTGAGATTCTTATAATTTTTGTCGTAAAGATATTTAGGAAGTTATATAGTCATCATACATATTGTTGCGCCCTTGCGCAAGAAAAATTTTTTTTATTAAACAACCTCCTTGACAACAACAGCTGTCAAACAATCTCTACTCGATTCCTTTGCAGTCCACTTTCAGGAGCGTGGGGATAACATGTCCTCCAAAGACACGGGTGCAGCAATATTCACACATAGTTACACATCCACACACACACATGCATGCATGCACATAGATATCATATACCCAGTTTATAAAATATATGGTTTAATATGAATAGGTTGTCGAAAATTTTGATGAAATGAACTTGAAAGAAGAACTGTTGCGTGGAATATATGCTTATGGTTTTGAAAAGCCATCTGCAATTCAACAACGTGCCATTTTACCATGTATAAGAGGACTTGATGTCATTGCTCAGGCCCAATCTGGTAAGAAACCTTATGTAAACTTGTAGCATGTTGATGTATAAACATACATAGAATACATTATACAATATTTTATATTTTTAACAATTCATAGGTACTGGCAAAACTGCAACATTTTCGATATCGATTCTCCAACAAATCGATACTAGTATTAAAGAATGCCAAGCTTTGATCCTTGCACCAACTCGTGAATTGGCGCAACAAGTAAGTGATTTGTTAAGCATCTGCGTTAGTGAAGAGTTCTATTGGAGTAAAAAAAATATTGGACTATAATATGTTTTTGTTTAGATCCAAAAGGTCGTTATTGCGTTAGGTGATTTTATGCATGCTGAATGCCACGCATGCATCGGTGGCACGAATGTGCGCGAAGATATGCGCAAATTAGACCAGGGTGTCCACGTAGTAGTTGGTACACCCGGCAGAGTTTACGATATGATCAGTCGAAGAGCGTTACGCGCAAGTAGCATCAAACTGTTTGTACTGGATGAAGCTGATGAAATGCTGTCACGAGGATTCAAAGATCAAATCCACGATGTTTTCAAACTATTGCCCAATGAAGTGCAGGTATATGAAATATTTTTTTGAATGTTATAGATTTCTTTGTCTACAATTACTATCTAATAGATAATTTTATTTTAATTATTAGAAAGTATCTTTTTTGGACAAGTCCACAAATCATACAAGACGAAAAAGTTGCGGTATACCTTATAGTAGTCAAGTTAACAAATATATTATAAGATACAGGTGCGTCGTAACAGTGCAATTTTGTCAAATGTATATACTATAGGTTTGACATACGCTGTTACCATCGAATGTGTTTATATCTTTTGTCTGGAAGTAATAGTTGCATAAAATTCAAACAGTTATCATGGCATAGCACTCCTAATAATAATCGTTAATGTCCCAAAAATGGATTAGTCACTCTTAATATCTCTATGATAGCAGCAATAATTTACAATAGCTGTTACAGCATGATGCCATTTTATATTGCACATGTATAGTTATTTATATAACAACTCAGCATATATACCAATACATATACCGATTATTTACTTTTTCCATCAACATATAATATTATTACATTGTATCAACACATGGTTTCTCGCAAACAGCCTTAGCTTTCATATCTCTCATGCAACTTGATTATCTCTTCCAGGTGATTCTGTTATCTGCCACAATGCCGTCAGACGTTTTGGACGTATCAAAATGCTTTATGAGAAATCCTATTCGTATTTTGGTTAAGAAAGAGGAACTCACTTTAGAGGGAATAAAACAATTTTTCGTTTATGTTGAACGTGAAGATTGGAAGTTGGAAACCCTTTGCGATTTGTATGATACTCTGAGTATTACTCAGGCTGTCATCTTCTGCAATACGCGCCGCAAAGTAGATTGGTTGACAGAGAGTATGCATAAACGTGATTTTACCGTTTCGGCTATGCACGGAGATATGGAACAAAAAGAACGAGATCTCATTATGAGGCAGTTTCGCACTGGGTCATCCCGTGTTTTGATCACTACTGATCTTTTGGCGCGTGGTATTGACGTGCAGCAAGTGTCGTTGGTCATTAACTATGACTTACCTTCCAATCGTGAAAATTATATTCACAGGTAAATTATGCATTATCTAATAATAATTTTCATGTTTTAATCGCGATCTTGAAATTAACAAAATATAAATTTATTTGTGCGAAAGTTTTTAGTCACGAAAGAGGAAATAAGATTTCATGAAATATATATAAAATATACAAAATTTATACACACACACATATACACAAGAAATTTCAAATATAGTTATAACTTCAATTTGAACAATCAATGTTGCCATTTGGAGAAAACTGGATATACCGATTCCGATAACATGTTTGAAAATATAAGTTATATATATTTTTTCTGAAAATATTAATATAATATCAAGATAAGAGACTTTTCTCAAGTATATTTTTATCGTGATTTTATCTTCACTAAAATATCAAAACTTTTTATTATCATTATATATATATATTTATGCATATTTACATGTGTGAATTTTGGTAATTTTTTTTGTACGTTACAGAATTGGTCGTGGTGGCCGTTTTGGTCGTAAAGGTGTGGCCATTAACTTCGTAACAGAAGATGATAAAAGGACCCTGAAAGATATTGAACAATTCTACAACACTCACATTGATGAGATGCCAATGAATGTCGCTGATTTGATCTAAGCCCAATTTTATTGGCTATAATTCATTATAATAAAAAAATAATAAAAAGTAAGTGAAATAAGAAGCTCTCAGCTGATCTCTCATGGTGTGTGAGTATATATATATTGAGTGAGTTGATGAACTATATCGCTTATGTAAACGCGACCAAAATATTCCAACATTTTCGTATTCGTTTCGACTTATAATAGTAGATTACGGAAATAGCTATCTGTTGCGCTACAGGAGTTAGTAGTACGACATTATTACTATTAGTGTATTACTACTGTTGCCGCTATCGATATTGCTGCTCTGCTACTACTATTACTATTAATATTATTACTATTATTCCTACCATTATCGCTATTAATACTATTATAAATATTACTATTATTACTATATTATCGGTACTGGCTGGTCGGGATTATTTTTACTTTGATTTTTAACAATAATATATTACAATATAATATATCACGCTACAGGGTGGCAAGAATAGAACTAAAGTGTGAAGAGCGCAACCCGGTGCAATCTGATTATACTTTATCCCTATTATCGCAACAGGTCAAAGGTTTTACTTTGTCCGAACTTGGTTCATATTTTTATTCCGTCACAAGTCCAATGATTGTTATAGAGATGTTGAAGTCTTTCCTTTTGAAACTTTTTAATCCATCTCTTTCTCCCCAAGATATCTCTAATTGGATGATTTGGTCCATGTTCAGCATTTTTTGTTCAATGTTTTTGTCACCGCGACTACAACTTGTTTGTCTAGGCAGAGGTTTAGTTGGGTATTGGAAAGGGTACTTTAATCACAAGCGTTGCCGCAGAAGATGTACATTCAAGCTTAGATAATATGAATTTTTGTATATCCTAAATCCCCCAGGTGCACACCTTCATATTAAATAAAGTGTTTGACCTTTTAAGAGTGTGGTCTTTGTTATTGCAGTCTTCATTGTATTTCTTTTCTTTTCTATTCAATAATCCAATTTCGCAATGAAAACCCTGAATGGACAAACTGTGTACGAGTGAGATTCTTAAGCGCTCCGCTGTTCTTTGTATCACCGTGAGCGGACTCCGCGCCGGGGATAAGTTTTGCGGTTTATACACCGAAAAAGTTCTCACAGTTCTTTTTATTTGTATTTGCAGGCAGTTTTGGGCAGTCCAGATGTGGGCGAGATATTTTTGGAAATAAAGACCAGATTTCCTGATTCAAAATAGAAGTTTTGTAAATCGATTACCTCTCTAAACTCCTGCTTCTCATGAGCTCTAATATTATATATATTTTCTTTATCTTCTTTTTTATATTTTTACATTCTTTTTTATTAATAATTGGCTCTTGGAAATATTTTCTTTAGATTTGTTAATAAAATTCTTTGTAAAAGTATTCTTTATTGCATTATACGCAGATTTTCGTGCACAAAACTTATCAGTGCCAGATTAAATTGAAATATATATTGTGAGAACTTTTGTATCGTGTTTTTATGATTAAAAATATTACGATAAAGATTATATTAAAAAATAATATTAAAAATATTCTATCGTCGTCATTAATCGTAAATTTGCAAAAGTGTTAGTAATAGTTTTCGAAAATTTGAGCAAATGACAAGAGTTATCTGCAAATGCTTCAGATATGCAATATAATTGTAGATTCTGGTTGAATTAACACTGTTGCACGCGTAATCGGAATGCGATTTTATGCCAATGCAGTTCCTTCTCGAATTTCCGAAAACTTATTATTAAAAATTCTGTAAATATTATAAATGGATCTTGACAGAATGGACCATTATGTGTCTATTGTATTTATATATCATATAAATATTATTTATGACTGAGTATGTATATATATATATATATATATATATATATATATATATAAACTGGATATAATAAATGTGTCATTTACTTACATTTATTGTATTATCAATACCATTAATTCAGTTAAGCCAATATATATATTACATATCAAATTATAAAGATTATTGTAAAATTATAGTTTTATGATCATTTGTAGTTTACTAATACTAAGTAAAAATGAATTATGATTAGGAATTGCATAATACACAATTGCGGATATAATTAATGAAGTTATAATCATTTTTATATAAAGTACGTTCAAGTTTATAATGCAACGGTTCTTATATTAAATACGTTTACACATACATTTCAGTAATTTGTATCAGTTGAATCAAAACTTTGATTATTCAATCAACTCAGTGAATATTTAATTTAATTTGATTTTATAATAATATATACGATATATTAATTCAAATAATTTGAAGAGCAGAGTTTGCAGGTTTCACGAGTTATGTATGAAAATTATAAAAAGACATTTTTGCTTTCGTTTTACATCAAAACTTTTCTTTAGTCATTCCAAATTTTAGCTCAATTTATTTCGTAGGCGATCATGCTTATAATCGATTCTCGAAACTTTTGATTAAATAATCGATCTTAAGGGATCGTATCAATATTTTCTATATGTTTTTTTCATAATGGGTTACGATCAGTGAAATATATACTAACTGGAACGAACGTAGCATATGATTCTATTGTTTGCGTGCGAATAGAGAGATTCCCTGGTTTCTCTCTTATCCTTGTCTGACCTATAGTGTCGTCAAAAGTGGGGATAAGGAGGTACAGTCAATGAAAAAGTTAGTCGCTGAAAGTAAAGAGTGAAAGAAGAGCGAGAAATTATAAAAGTTATAAAAAGATTGTAGATAGAAAATTAAAAAAAAAAATAGGATTTGCAACGTCAAACGGACCCTGCTTATAGATATGTATATAGAAACCATAGACATAGTATATCTAGACTGCGTGTTCGAGGAGTGGGGATGTAACTCTCGGAGAGAAGGAAGCACTCTGTTTTTACTGTTCGTTCTCTCTCGCACAGTCCCGATGGAAGGGGTATAGGAGAGGCAGTTGCTGTACAGTAACCACCGCCTCTATTCCCCTTCCACCAGGACTGTGCGAGAGAGAGAACGAACAGTAAAAACAGAGTGTTTCCTTTTCTCCGACAGTTGTACCCCCACTTTTGAAATTTGGGAGAACGCGCAGTCTAGCCAATTTAGCTTTTGATTCGGACTGTACTAGATAAAGACAGTGCTATTTTAGAGATCCAGTGATGTTCTTTTTCTATTCGCGCCTCAGGCCTAGCGTTCGTTCCAATTAGTATATATTTCAGTGGTTACGATAAATGACATACATGCAACTGTTCAGTTAGCAGCAGTCAAGCTAAATGTAGAAGGAAATAAGGTTTGATAGGTTATGTATGTACGTCTGTGCTCTACACGTGTTTACTAAATATTTTTACGTATGTTTTAAGCATATTTTTGCAATCTTTAAAAGTTATAAATTACTAGACATCATGTCTAAACGTCCAGAACGTATGGCACCACCCGAAATGGTAAGTATTTTGTGTGTTATAAATTTATAATTGTGTGTTATAAATTTATAATTTATGATATATTTTTTTTGAGGTTAAGAAATATAACAATTGTTATTCGAATACACATAAATTATATAATAAAACTTTTAATTAAATAATCAAAGTTTTTTTATATAATTACATATGACTGTATAAATTATATATATTAATAAATTAATGGAGAAACTAATTTCATATTTCTATTTTGTGACAGTACTATAATGAAACAGAAGCAAAGAAGTATACCCAAAGGTAAATCTTTATATAATTTTAGTGTTTGTTTATATCTCTTAATAAAATTTATTTATTTGTAGTTCTCGTATGATAGATATTCAGGTACAAATGTGTGAACGTGCTATAGAACTTCTTGTATTACCTGAAGATCAAAGTTGTTTACTCCTGGATATTGGCTGTGGCTCAGGTCTCAGTGGTAGTGTGTTAGAGGAACAGGGACATTCATGGATAGGTGTTGATATTTCTTCTGCTATGCTTGGTAAATATTCATTTAATTTGGAAGATGTTTTCATTAATATAGTTTTTTATAAATAATAATCATATTCTGTTATTCTATGTGATGTTACAATAGTCAATTTTGATTTTGCTTATAATTATGCATAATATAAATATTTTAATTTATATTTATGCATGATATTAATATTAATATTTTATTAATTAATTAATATTTTATAGATGTTGCCAAAGAAAGAGAAACAGATGGCGACTTGATCTTAGGAGATATGGGTAATGGATTACCATTTAGAGCTGGTACATTTGATGGTGCTGTTAGTATCTCTGCGCTGCAATGGTTATGCTATGCAGACAAAACCTCACACAATCCTGTAAAACGTTTATATTGTTTCTTCTCAACATTATTTGCGTGTCTGTCAAGAAGTGCAAGAGCAGTATTGCAGTTCTATCCAGAGAACAGTGACCAAATTGAATTGGTTACTACACAAGCTACAAAGGCTGGTTTTTTTGGTGGTGTGGTTGTAGATTTTCCAAATAGTACAAAAGCAAAGAAAGTATTCTTAGTTTTAATGACTAGTGGTGCTGTTGCTCTCCCAAAAGCGCTAGGTACAGAAAGTGACAATCAGACCATTGCTTTTAATCAATCAAAAAGGTGATTCTTATTTCCTTACTCATTATCTTATAATAAATAATTAGAAATATGCTAATAATTTTATGTATTTTTGATACATTTTACATTATTTTGTAAAAACAAAGGTTCTATATAAATTTTATATTATAGAGAATATATAAAAAAAGCCAGAGGCAAGCCGTTAAAAAAGAGTAGAGAATGGATTATAGAGAAGAAAGAAAGACGGCGACGACAAGGAAAAGAAGTTAGAGACGATTCAAAATATACTGGACGAAAGAGATCTGGACGATTTTAAAATGTATACTTGTTTTAGTGTTAAATGTTAGTTTTTTTAAAGTTATAATAAAATTAATCTTTATTTTATATAACCTAATAATATTAAATGTTTCAATTAACTAAGTCTGAGGGTTGATGATGAATGGATTGTTTATTTCTAAAATTATTTAAATTATTTAAAATTATTTCAATCAAAATATTTTCCACCACTTGCTACAATCTTTTTTGATCTTTCTGGCAATAAGTGAATTCCATAGAAAAAGAAATATCTCTAGAAATAATTTATTTATCAACTTTCGAAATTAATAAACACAATACTTAAAAATGATTTACATATAATAAAATTTTATTTTAATATAATACATTATTTAAATATGCAACATAAACTGTGAAATACTTTCTTGTATTCTACTAGGCAATACTTTTTTTAATTCTTCATAATCTAACCATTGATATTTTACATTATTTGTAATATCTCCATCAATATATTTTGCTAAAAAATAAAATATTTTTGCACCGTATGTTCCTTTTTCTTGAAGATTCTTAGGATATTTGTATTTATAAAATCCAATAGGTGCATTTCCATAAAACTTCACTTGTATTTTAGTACCACATACGTTTTGTAATACTCTTTCTGCTGTCTAAAAAGATAAATTATTAATGATAAAATCATTTTTATTCTTTGCTAAAGAAATATATATATATATATGTGTATATATAATTAATTACAAAAGAAATTTATATTTTTACAAATTAATATTTTGACAAAGAAATTTATAAATATACTTGTCTCATAGTTTCTCCTTCCTGTCTAATACTCTGAGGAGGTATCCAATAATGTTTACCACCTATTTCTTGATGAACTAATAAAAGTAAGTTTTTGTCTAGTTTACGCTTTAATGATGATAATGTATTTTGTTTATCACAACCTGAAAATATGCATACACATAATTATAATCAAGAGAAAAAATTATAGTTATATAAATCACATAATATGTGATATACAAATATAGTAAATACAGAAAATCTTGATATTTTGATAGGAAAATTTAATATTAATATATATTTAATTTGTAATTTGTTTTATAATTCTATTATATATTAATTTTAAAAAATATTTTATAAGATTTTCTATTTCGCTATATTACTAAGAAGACAGTAATATATGTACTTGTAATTCTTGGAGCAAATTTAAAATTGTCTAGTTCTTCTTGATTGCTATCTTCAAAGTCTTGTGCAGTCTGTATTAAAATAGTGTCATCTTTATTATCTATGTTGCTGGTTATACTTATATTTTGCTGATTTTGTTCTCTTTCTCTTTTCAATTCATGATCACATTTTAGACTATTTTCAAATTCAATTTTTTTTAACATATTGTAAAATTTTAATTCTATTTCCTGCATTGACTGTGTTATAATTGGATGACGTTCTAAACAGACAGAACTATATAAATCCCATTTTTTTGTAAGTGGAGCAGTAGCAAATGTTTGAACATTGTAACATTGAATCAAATTGGGACATGTAGTAATAGTATTTTTCGATGTACCTGTATAAAACATACATTATGTAGAATATACATACGATATGTGATTACAAATATATATAATGAAATCCAGAAATTAATAATTAAAGTTAAAAAATTACTTACAACTCGTTAATGTGTGTTCCTTACATTATTTAATAATTCTTTCTTACCTAATAAAATTTGATGTAAATTATATGATCCAGAAAATCTCCAAACTTGTTTAAACATTTTAAACACGTTCTCTGATAATCTAGAATGCAAATCAAATCAATAGAATTTATGATAGAATGGAAAAATCAATTCACAATTACATTGTCAGTTTATTTTGCTTCACGCAATTTATTTAAAAACTGTCTTGGTTAACAAAGTTAGAAATATTAAATGTAAAAAATGTTATGCTTACTAGAGAGAAGCCTTAGACCGGCCACTGGACTGGGTTTCAGGATACGTTTTTTTCAATATGCCCTCTGAGAAAATATATACGAACTACGTTCGTCCCAATGATAAGGACAAAGCATACACGGTTCTTGTCCATTCTACTTTGATAGTACGAAGATAGTAAGGATAGGTACGTAGGTTGAAAAAGACAGATGATCAATCGCTCTCTATCTTTATCTCACCATCGATGAGCGGATTGCGCGTAATAATAGGCACGATGAATCAGCAGCAATCTTATCGGTAAGAATCTTTCACGTAATGCGCTATCCGCAATTCAGGAAAAAATATTTCGAGGCCGCGCGGACAACTTATAGCAATGACACTATAACGTTAATGAGTAGCCATTTTTTATAAATTTTACACTCAATTTTACAATTTTTCATCATATTTTCAATTATGAACATACACACGCATATGTTATAAATATTATAATATGTAATAATTCTTAAATTTTAATTAACACTTTGACGGCCACACTTTTTATAAAACAGTTTGTTCTTACCGCCGGCATATAATGACGAGAACTACTGGCTGCCGCCGGCACTTTTTGTAAGCTACTTATTGTTACAAATTGAAGGCATGCTGTTGCAAATTCAGACATAATTAGTATTTAGTATTTAGTAAGTAAAAAGACGTAATTATTTCAGTTATAAAGTAAAATTTTTATTATTCAACAAGTTTTTTAAAAATTAATATTTCGATTTAGTATGATATTTTTCAAAACATTCTCCAGCATGCAACGGAACGTTACATGAGGAACACATAAATGAAGTTGAGCTTCTTTTTTTCGAAGCTGTGCATACTCTGCATGGTCTTCGTGGATTTTTTATTCTCCCTTTTCCTATAATTCGAACAATTTTGTGTTGTCGCATTTCCGGACACAACCTATTAACTGGATCATATTTTGCAGCTCTTGATATGTATATTGCAGGTTGTCCTAGTTTAAAAGAATAGTTAGTATCATACATGCAAATTATATAATTATTGATCATACCTGATTCTGATTCCTCTGTTTCAGTTGTAGTGTTTAGCCATGAGTTTGCAACACCTAATAAAAATCTTTTAAATTGGATATGATTACCAGAACTTTTTACATAAACTTGATAAGCATTAAATAGGGCAGCATTTATGAAATATAAGACAACTTTCTTCGTCCATTTTTTTGTTTTTAATAAAATTGAATAATAAGATAGGTACTGGTCAGCACAGTCTACACCCTTCATGTACTTGTCATACTCTACTATACAAGTCGGTTTTCTTACGGTCTTTTTCGTCTTAGGATGTGTAATTTCAATCATATTTGCTGCATGCATCGTTGATATCATATATAATAATTTTTTTTTCGTTTGGAACGCCTGTACGAGTATATTGCCTTTCCTTCTAAACTCCGTACTTGATTTATTTAGATTTATGTCTTTCAAACATTGCGGTACACCTCTATTTTTGCTTAATGTTCCGCAGACATTAGTCTCCTTTTTCAATAATTCTTCTGCGAGTGCTACACTATTATAATAATCATCCGTATAGACTTCGTGCCATAAATAGAGGTATGGTGATAGTACAGAAATTATTGTCTCTTGTAATTTTATTCCTTGGGCACAATGTATTTCAAAGTTGCATATGTATCCGGAACGTGCTTCGCACAGCATATGTACTAATATCCCGTATTTCATAATTTTATCTGGATTATATGTACGGAAGGAAAGCCTTTCCCGCCATGGTATAACAACTCCATTCAAAGACAATTCCTTTACAGGCTTATAAATTGTTTGAAATTTGTTTTGAAAATATGTTGTTACTGGTTTAACTTTATCTAATCGGTCTCGACAATTTTTATTGTTACTAAAATGCCAGTATCGCCAAATTTGGCGAAATCGATGTCTGGTCATTACTTTTCCGAAAATTGGAGTGCAGATTAATGGATCGGTTGACCAGTACTCATTTTTTTCTGTCTTTTTTACTAATCCCATTAAAATTATTAAAGCAAAAAATTTTTTCATTTCATCAATATCTGTATCCGTCCACTTTTTATTTTTATTTGCTTCGAAATCATTTTGCTGTTGTTCATGATAGCGATTAGTTTCTCTTACAAATAATTTCATTAAATCATCTCCGAGGAATAGTTCCACAAATGATCGTATGTCGCAATCATCAAGCGATATTTGCAGTCCTGATTCTTTTATACAGTCTCGTATATTGACATTACTGTCTTTGCGTGACCATTCAACTTCCTCTCCATCGGAACTATTATCTTTTTTATCGGAATCAGCCATCATTAATCTCAATATATTTATTATCCTCCTGGCTATAATCTCCCTTTCATTATCTGATTCTTCATCACTGTTATCTGTTATCTGATCGCTAACATTTGATAGGTTATCAGCGTACACTTCGTCGTCACTTTCACACATTTTTAAGGGTATTTCCTTTAAGTTTATAAATATAATTTATAAAAGCCGAATTTTTAAAAGCCGGTTGTTCCACCTTTCGATAAATTTCAGCTTATCTGACAGATTATTATCTATAAGATAAATTTTATCGGGGAGTTTACTAGTTACTTAAACATGAGCGTTGTTCTACAATTATTTATCCTATTGGTAGTTACTTGTGGTTTAAAAGTCATATATCGCGATAATTATTTCCAGAAACGTTTGTTAACAACTTCAAGTGGGTACATGCATAACCTGTCATGACGGATCTGACGGTCATAACCTTTATAATCTAGCGAGATATAATTAGATTAGTTTAAAAAATTTTTATAATAGAATACAAGTAAGATGTAACATTTATGTATATGCAACAAATATATGATAAATGACATTTTAATAATTTAAGCTAATAGATGGCCGAATAAAAAAAAAAGAAAAAGATGGAGAACATCTGAACAGTGCATTTGTGAAATCTAAACAGTCTTAAAAATTCCGTATTATCATATTCGTTAAATAAATCTGGACGAGGACAAACTATACAGGGTGTTTGATAGCTGATCATACAGACGAAAGTTGGAGATAGATTGGGTGTAGCCGAGAAGAAAAGTCATGTACCATAATGTCAAATTGCCAATAGTTATCGAGTTATTAATTAAAACATGTGGGCCAACGAGCGCGTAGAGAGCGGAGAGCGGAGGGCGGCCGCAGTAAGCACGTAGACATTTGATACAGGCGGAGTCAGCGAGTGACGGTAGACGAGCGCGCGCGGCGAGGGGCAACGTAAGCGACAAGAGGCGATCGCGCGCGACGAGGAGCGAGCGAGCTTTTTCTTTACAGCTTTTTCCTTATAGCTCGCTCGCTCCTCGTCGTTCGCGCTCGCTCGCTCTTCGTCGCGCTCGCTCGTCTCTTGTCGCTTGCGCTCGCTCGCTCCTCGTCGCGCGCGTTCGCCTCTTGTTGTTTACGTTGCCCCTCGTCGCGCGCGCTCGCCTACCGTCATTCGCTGACTCCGCCTGTATCAAATGTCTAAGTGCTTACTGCGGTCGCCCTTCGCTCTCTACGCACTCGTTGGCCCACATGTTTTAATTAATAACTCGATAACTATTACCAATTTGATATTATGGTACATGACTTTTCTTCTCGGCTACACCCAATCTATCTCCAACTTTCGTCTGCATGATCAGCTATCACCCTGTATATTATTTGCGAATCACCGCCCTTGTTTCTAAATCAACTTTTTCGTTGTCATCTGTTATCATAAAGAAATTGATTTTCGCACAATTCCGGTTCCTTTTTATCATGTAATAAATAATATTTTGGATAACCTAACCAACGCATCATATGCTTTTTATCCCCACCACATATTTATCTGTCAGATGTGGTTTACACGGTACTGTAGGCAGATTATTCCTACACCTTGGTAAGTTAACTGATAGTTAAATCATATGTTTGGCTTCGTTTAAATTGAAGGAAAAACAAAGATAAACATGTGATTTAACTATCAGTTAATTTACCAAGGAGTTGGAAGAACCTGCCCCTGGAGTACCGTGCAATATATCGCTCAGAATTAGTCACTTAACAAAGACATACATTTTTTTCGAAAGATGGAACAACGCAAATCAGCTATTTAACTATTACTTAAATTACCAAACAGCTTATCTAAAGGTGGAACGACCGGCCCTAACTGAATCAACTCACATATACGTGAAGTCGGCCGATAACCGCTGACTCAGGCTGCGTTTTGATATTCACTGCCAATATTAAAAATACATAGTTTGTGTCATCTATACTATAGATTTTCAGTGCTGGCAATGAATATCGCAGCTCAGTGAACTCACGTATATGTGAGAGTCCGTAATGTTGATTGTGAATGCTATTGGTTGCGTACATTGCGATGTTATTTTTGAGCGAATAACGTTCACGATTTATGTTTATCCTATCTGAGAGACGGTATTGCAAAAACTTCCTAATATTCATCGATGATCAAACTAATGTCCGTATTCATAGTCAGGCTTTATATTTGAGGCTTCCTTAAGCCAGCGGCACACGGTGCTTGTTTTCGTGCTGGATTGCTCGCTGGATGAAAATACTGCGTTCTGATTGGTACATTTCCGAAGATGGATGGAAATATACCAATCAGAACGCAGTATTTTCATCCAGCAAGCAATTCAGCACGAAAACAAGCACCGTGTGCCGCTGGCTTTATATTCATCTTTAGATGCTGCACGGATTATTTTATTTGGTCTGTTCTTTTTAGCTGTACTACTGAACTGGTGCAATAAGTAAAGCCCTAAACACAATGCCAAACAATAGGCAATAAGAATAAAAATAGACCAATCACAATCGACTATAACTATTACAATAATCTATTGTGATTGGTCTATTTTTATTCTTATTGCCTGTTGCCTGGCATTGTGTTTAGGGCTTTAAAGTGAGAAAAAATATAGTTGTCTCATTTTAACTTATTGCACTAGTTCCGCAGTGCAGCTGAAAAGAACAGACCAATTATTGGCTACAGACCTATCTGAAGATAAACTTAAGGAAGCCTTAAATATAAGGCCTGACTATGAATACAGGTGAAAGACAGAGAACGATTGGTCATCTGTTCTCTAATTTATTATCTTTGTATGGAAGTTGAGTGAACAAGAATCGTGCACGCTTTACCGTTACCATCGGGACGGATGTAGTTTGCATATACTTTCTCAGAGGGTACGTTGAAAGAAGCGTCACTTGGAATCCAGCCCAGTGGCCATTCTCAGGCTCTTCTGCTATCAGCAACGAAGAATGCAATGTAGAATTCTAAAGTACATTGATTTCTATTAAAAACGATTATTATTGAATATTTTCTTGAGATAGTTACATATATTATAAGAATTTATCTCAGTTTATGCCTATTCATATGTCATAAATACATATCATATGCTGAAAATTCAGCTCAATTTAGCTCTTATGTTTCTGCATAAGTTACATGAGAAAGGACCAATGGAAAATGATTATCGTGACCGATGATGTAAAGGACGAGAACGACTCGTCGAATTCTCAGTATCGAAAATGGCGGCGAAGAGTGGTGGTCAAGACGAGTGGCCTGCGTTATTTAAGCCGATAATAGGAACTTCACGCTCACTTAATAAAAATGACGTTCTCGGGCTTGCAAAGAATATTCTCAAGAGGTGAGTACAATTCTTCGTCGGTTGCGCATTTACGCGAAAACAGTCACTTCGTCGATGTCAAAGTTGTCCCTCTCCGGTGACAATACGGAAATGGATGCCTGTCATCGTCGAGTACATTCGAACAACTGTCGTATATTTCGCCCGACTATACAACTGACATTCATTTTTACTTTACAGCGAGAATAAGTTTGTTTCTCACGAGGAACAATACGATACTTTCTTCACGGTTGCTGCTGCGTTATCCGCGGATTACATTAGCGCTTGCGCAAGTTCATGTAAGTAATATCGTGTATTCATACGTGAATAAGTGTACAAAAACATTCTTGTAAATAGTGTATAAGCAAGTCTCTTGGTTTAGAATTACAGTTACAGAAGCTATAATGCGTGCTATTTTTTTTTCTCTGTGTGTATTGAACATTATGTATCCTACATATCCTATGTAACTTTGGTTTTAAATAATTTGAAGTACTTTAGAAGTACATTTATTTATAGACTTGTGTACATGAGATAACATTGCATTGAGTCTTACAAAATCTTTTTTAGTTGCCAAGTGTCAAATACCTATTGCTTATCAAGCATGCAAAGTCCTGCTCAATCTCTTTGTGGAGAAACTGCAACAACAACAAGCTCAATCAGATACCACGCAAACTGTTTTAACCACAAAGCAGTTATTGCTTCCGATACGTGCGTTATGTACAGGACAGTCTTTACTTTCATCTGCAGAAGAAGTAGCTCTCACTTCTGCAATAAAGAATGCTAAGGTACCACCTTCCTCAAAACCAGTACCCATAGGAAAAGAAAAAGAATCTTCTCAACAATCTGTAAAAGAATCTATGCGGTCCCGCTGTGATTTATCTACCAGTATTCTTGAGCAGTTGACAATGCCACTGCAAGATTTTTCATCATCCTTAATTCTTGCTAATGAAAGTTCTACAGATGGTACAAATAAAAATACTAATAGTATTACAAGTGAAACCAATTCTGACACTAAGGTTTGTATATATATGATATACAAGTAAATATTTCTTAATTATTTTACAAAGTATTTCTGTTTTACTATTAATCTCTAATAAAATTATTTTATTATGTATTTATAGTTTTAACATTGCTTCTTTAGCTAAAGTAATTCTATGTTAGCAAAACAAGATAATGGAACCAGAGAGACTATGAAGATATATTTTATTGCAGATGATGTTTATTGCCAACAATATAAGTACATTGCAGAATATGGGAGCGGGTGATATTCTATTGGATATGTGTTTAAATCTTCCACATTTGTCGCGCTATACACGAAAGTATCAAGCATATTTATCTAAAAAAGGATTTAGTCTGCCTGCCAATGCATCAGAGGCACATACTATAAGGCACAATCTACACTCGGTTGTTAGCGACATTAATATTGTACATAATGTGATGTCACTTCCAATACTCGAACCTTTAACATCACAGAAATTGGAAAAATTATCATTGTTGACAATGTCTTGTCTGTATTGTTCAATTGCGAATGCAACAGCATCAAGTATAGTTGGCATAACTAATGCAGTGTCACCCAAATGTAGTACAAATACCACTGGAAGTAATCAAGCTAATCAGAGTACGAAAACTAGTGACGAAGAGTATGACACTTTAGCGATTACAGTCGTTGAGAAGAGTCTAGAAATATTTGGACAAGTATCAAATGTTATTAAAAATAGTACACGCGCCGGTGGACATGTGAGTGTTGTGGCAATTTTATTATCCATCTTTCTGGTATTACACAATCCTCTTATCCTCTTAATAATATAATTGATTACTCGTATATTTATTTTCCAGATTCTGCAAAACCATTTACTTATTGGTGTGTGGCTTCTAGTCGCTGGGTTACAAGCACAATTAACTGTGAGCAGTTTTAGTGCTGCTGATAAAGGGAAAGATGAAAAGGGAAAGTCGCCCAGTAAAGCTCGTGACGCGAGTGGACGTGTAAATCTTATGAAAGTGTAATTACATTGTTTTATATACATTATCATATATATATTATTCAAATTATGTATGTACATATATTCTATTATAATTGAAAAAGATATATACATCATAGTCTACGATGTTAGAAGTAAACGAAAATATTTTTATATAACCAGACAACAAGGATTTGGAGTATTGTCAGTGGCATTAGCGTCACATGCACTGAACTTAATGAGTGCGCTTCTCGAGGATGTATCTATTGAGGCTAATTCCGACTTGGTTGTGGCAGTTCCTGAACCAGCTCCATTGGATATCTTGTCGACTGCCACTGCGTTGCAAAGAGCAGTAACTTTTCTACAAGCAGTACCGTTGAATCACTTGCTATTTTACCTGGCTACTATTAGCTACAGGAAGGTACTATACTGCTATTATTTCTCATGTATTTATAACTTTACATTGATACTTATCAAGTGGCAGTGTGATAAATATATACTATGTTGATTATAGGCTTGTACATTGAAGAGAGTACAAAAGCATCCTCTGGAAGGAGATGCATTGAGTCAGTCGGATTCTACTACATACTATGAAGATCTTTTAAGTTGTTCAGAGAATTCCACTGATGAAGGTAATATTATATATTCATCTGATATATCTTACATTTGTATATTTTAGTGCTTGATAAATATCCCGTTTATGAGCAGTTTATTTAAAATGTAATATATTTTGCAATATGATATATTTTATTCTTTAGTTTTCTTCATTAGGAAATTCATGTTTTTTGTTATGCTATCAGTAGTGGAAATGCTAATGAATATAGATGCTTTTTAATATTTAATACTTTTATTTTATAGCATATGTAGAAAATTGTTGGTTTTTGTTAAATTTGTATATAAAAAATGTTTTTTTGTACATCTTGATTATCTGAAATATTTTTGTTATATTTGATGATACAAAAAAATGAAGAGAGTTATATTATTCAAGGGGATAATTATGATGATAGAAACATTTTTCGTAAGACCATTTTTTACGGAAATTTCAAGATCACGTCCATTTTCTTAAAATGGAACCAATCAAGAGAAACGGAAAAGTAAAAAAGGAATCGCTTTTAACACAGATTTTTTTTGAAAGGTGTTCAAAATAATATCCATTGTCTTTGACATATTCTTGAATATGAAAAATGAAAAATATTTTTATATATATAACAGTTTTCCATTATTTCTGGTACGATGGAATTATATGTTTGCAGAATCCGTATTCATATGTTTTGTGTTATTGTAGAAGCATAATTGAAAATCTTATTTTGTAAATATCTCTACAGAAAGAAATCTAATGAGTCTAGTGATAGATTCAGCCAACTTGCATTTTTTGAAAAGCATAAAGTTTTTACTTTTCTGTTTTCCTCGAACATATATATTTCTAATGACAAGAGTCATTTCAGTAGGTTATATTGTTATAGATAACTAAAATTTACTTACTGCTGACTATAAGATCTCCCAAACAAAAATATATGGTTCCATAAAAAAAAAATCTTAACCTTAAAATTTCTGAAAAGAATAGTTGGAAAAAATGTTCCTATTATTATAATTGCTCCTTTGAATAGTGCAACTTTTTCTTCAAACACTTTTTCGTATCATCAGACACGACAAAATATAGGGAACATTCTGTATATTGTTAAAACTGACATGTAGAAGCTAGTTTTGAAGTGGCTATGTATATGCGATGTATATGTCTAATAATGTAACGTGTAATATATAAACTTGGATGCGACATTAAAGTATGCACGTAAATATTTACATGCTGATAAATTTATTAACGTACTGGTATATGTCCGCTATATGTATAGAACAAACTGTTATGTCGGTAGAGGAGGACAGCGAACCTATTTTGGGATTATGGTTTGAAGAAACCATTGCTCCATCGGATGAAACTTCTACAAATACCAACAAGGAAACGAACAATGAAGCAAGCGCGGAACGTACTACTACTACTACCATCGTTCCTGACAATCGCGAACCACATGGTGTAAGTTTTCAGGCATAATTATTTAATCGAATTAATATACATTAAACGCATAACGAATGTATGATACGAGTCTTCTGGTTAATAATTATGAATTATTTTATGTTAACTATTAAGAGTTTCTTTTTTTCCTCACAGTATATTTCACTAGCGACAAAGATATTTCAATTTATGAATAAGTATTTAATTGGAAGCAGAAGTACGTACGTTCGAGAATACGTGGTTAACGGCTTAGTTGAACAACAAATGGTTATATTGGCAGCAATTATAAGAGACTTGGATCATGAAACAGCTAGAACAGAAACAGGTGAGTTTATGTAAAGATATTTTCTCCATTTTGTATTAATTAAGATTTGCGTGACATTGCTATTTCTTCTTTTATTCTTTTATTATTTTTTTATTTTATTTTATTAGTTATGTTCTACATTATAAGTTTAAAATTGTATTTTCAGGCACAATTTCTGCATTTTATGGCGCTACATTGGGCGCCATGTACTCGGAATTTTCTCAAGCTTTAAGTCGTTATACGCACAATCTGCTTGCATGGAATACCCTGAGCGAAGCTCTTCAAAATACTTTGTTACAGCACTTGGGCGTGAGTCCTTGGTCTACAGAAAATAATAGTTCAACCACTTGGCCTCTTCAGGTATATCCACGAACTCTCAGCGTACTGGCACAGGTGTGTTATGATTATTCATTTTAATTATAGTTGCACTACAGCTAATTTTTACACAGCTGACTTATATTTAAAAAAATTTTTGCTATTAGGTACTGTTGCTAAAACCTCAATTAGAAAGAGAAGCTGCATGTATAAGCATATGGCATCGGTTGGTAACAACTATGGTTGAAAATGTGTGTAATCCTCAAGCTACATACGAGGCTGAGAATGAAGGTACACTCTAGAACATTTATCAATATCCGCTTGTATAATTTTTGATATATACAATTATATAATTATTGATTTAACAAACTTGAAGATTTTGTAACGTTATTTTCACAATACTTTATTCTATTGGAATATTAATTATTTATGTATATTTGCAGATTTAAACGTAGAACACGCCCAGCTAGTTCTCTTCTTGTTTCATTCTCTGAATTTGATGCAAAAGAAGTCTGTATTACTTGTAACTGGAAGTGGTGCAGTGCGTTGTAGCGAAGCAGTTAAAACGCCGATGAAAGATTCGCAATTGTTACACCTATCTCGATTATTATTATTACTTGAATATATGATGAAGCATTTATATGATGCGCATCCGGTATTACTCGAACAAGTAAGATACATTTGTTTGTTACGCATGTGTCTGCTACAGCATGTATATAATATTTTCTATGTAAATTTCAAAGTGCATTCGATAATTATCATTATTATCATTCTGCAATACTTTCACTCATTGTGTTCATTTGTCATATATATTTCATTATAATTATGTAATATTTCATTATAATTACCTGATATCTTTGTAATGTGGAATAAATTTATCGAATGCTATATTAAAAATATTGGTCAATATGACTGATGCAAGATAAATGGGCCACCGGTGTGGAAGTGCCACCTGAGTGGTAGTAATCATCTTGTACATTTATTTATTTTATTAATTATGATAATTTAAATTTTTTTATAATGATGATTTATATCGAATTTTTTCTCTGTCTTTATATAGGTACAGTGGAATCTATTCTCTGCTACTAGTTTAGTATATGACACAAAAGATGGAAATAAACAGACTAGCAGAGCTTTTACTCCTTGGGTAGAAATAGAGGATAATTATCGTAAATATGGTTCCCAGGATGAATTTTCAATGAAACCACGATTTTACAATTTATCAAGAACAGATTTTAATAATCAGGATGCACCAAAATTAGATGGATTAGTAAGTATAATGTTCGAATTAATTAGTTATCATAAAGAAAATATGACACAAAAACTTTTTCCCATACAAATTTTGATAAAAACAGATTTTATCACGAAAAATTGAACTTTTCTACTGCAGTAGCTTATTTTAATTTATAATATAAAGACAATTTGCGTAGCTAATTTAATGTTTAAAGAAGTTTAAGAAAAAAATATTTGATGCTAAAATATAGTTTTCTTTTATTCTTATAAGATTCATTTTTCATGATATAGATTTTTCCATATAGAAGTCAAATCTTTTGTTTTTAATAGTCTCTTAAACAATCTTACATGATGTAAAATATTTTACAGGCTTGTAACTTTATTTTGGGCACACCGGATAAAATGAAATATCCTCTCTTAGTCGACGCATTAATCGATATCTTAAATGTGCTTAATCAAACTGATATGCATAAAAAAGGTAGTGCTGATAATAAGGAGAAAATTACATTTACGGGACTATGTGCAATTCACTATTGCTTTTCTATATGCTGGGAGTAAGTATAAAATGTCTTTTGTGATTATATGCGTATTTGTTTTTATCTTGCACTGTTGCTGTATTTTTATTAGATCTAAGAGAAATATGTACATACGAAATGTAATGTCATGTGTATTTATATTAGATTACTACTGATGTTACCCCCGTCAACTCCTTACATGAATAAACTCGCTCTTGGCGAGGAAATACCAGCTGGACCAATGTTACTTCATTCGTTAATATGGGGACCGAGAGCTGCATATAAGACTTTCACAGGTTGGATGAAGGTAAATTAACTTAAAGCTGATCTTCGTTGTTGTTATTTTGCACTAATCGTTGTTTCTCGATAGGACTGTTTGGTAAAACAAGGAATGTACACACAATATGCTGAGAATTTATTGAAAACAGTGTCATCCACTGTAAATTCTCTTAAATATGATGTTACCCTGGCAAAAAATTGTATTGTTTCGCTTAAACCTGAGTATAGCTCTACTGATAAAATAATGCCAAAAGCCTCTTTGCCAAAACTTGGTTCGTTATACATACTGGCTGCGGTCGTAGGAAAGCTACAAGTTCTCATGGATGAGAACATATCTAAAAACTCTTCTGAGAATATCGAGACCAACAAGTATGTAAAAAGTAGTTGCAGTTCATAGGTATATTTTATAGATTGTGCGTTACTTCTATTATGTAATTGTGTGTATCTTTTTATAGGAGTCCACAGAATACGGATTCTACACCATCAAACAGAAGTAAAATGATAATAGAGATTTTACCGCATATTTTATCATTGACAGAAGCAATTCTATTGTCATGCCGGTCTAACATATTGTACCATACATTCGAGTCTACCGAGGAGGATGCGAAGTATGGTACACGAGACTACTTGATTTTGGATAATATTCTGTCAATGGCAGGTGCAAATTGGGGAACAGATTCATCGTTAGTGTCATTTTTGCCGGGTAGCATTAAATCCGCGCTAGATAAGTGGAAGAGCATAGCATTTCCTCTTGTAACTTGGGTAAGTAATTGTAAAATTGTAAAAAAAAGAAGCGTTAAGATGTAAGATTTCTTTGGTATCACGTGTACACATTAGGTTTGTAGGTCAATTTTACATAGTATAAGAAAATATTAATTTTATTTTTGGTTCTATATAGCATACATATGCAAACGATATAATACCAGCAGAAAGTTACATCCTCACTACAGTCAGCTATCATGTCAGCTCCCTGTCTGAGCACCCAACGTTTTCTATTAATCCATCTCTGAAAAACTTGCTACATTGCCTGGTTTCGTTTATAATGGAATATATAACGTAAGTTTCGTGTTTGCGATATTTGTAATTGATTATAATATTTAATATTCATTTAAGTCTCTGCCTCCTGATTCCACTCTTCCTACTTTTCTACTCATTAACGAGATAATTTTTTTTCCAGTGCTGCAACAGTCCCGGAACAACAGTCAGATATACATTCACAAGCAGTGAATATCCTTGTTTCATTATCAATGGACGCCCGCACCGATTATCTTCGAGATATGGCTACAAATACGCTAACCAAATTATTAGGACAGGACAATGATAATGAAGCACGACATTTGCGAGAACACTTGTTCGTGCTAAATCATACTTATAATCTGATAATCGAGTATACTGACACTACAAATGGATCTATTAGGTAAACGCAACACATACACATATATATATATATATATATGTAAACGTCTTATTCTTTTATAGTTTGTCCGTTTTGTTTGTAATGGAGACTTATTAATCGATGAGTGATGTGCTATCGCAATTGTTATACGTAATCATTATATAATTTTTATAGCGTTATTATCGACGAGGAAATATTGAAGCAATGCATCAAATATTGGGAGCGACTTTTGGAAAAACCTCTTGGATGTAAAGCTTTAGACATGTTCTTCGCTAGCGATTCAAATCACAGTCTTGTGTCTGTCTTGTTGTCCATAACGTCATCTCAAGCCTCGCTGCAATTTAGCACGCACATTTTACACTTTTTCAATGTATTATTCAGAACAGGTAAGCCTGAGTAGAGTAATTCACGTATACGTTTTACAAATATTTTTTATATGGAAAAATACCCTTTACTTAAAATATTCATGCATTAGCCGAGAAAACGACTGATGGATCGCTAGATCGTCTTTGCAATTCCGTGGCCAATTTCGCCAATGTCGAAAGTGAGAAACTACAAACTTGGTTCAGACATGTCATATTGGGGGCAACCAGCAAAGTACCGACGAGTACTTCTACAACGAATATTTCAACACCTACAACCGCTGCTACGAGCACGTATGTACTCATATTATACTTTAATTCGGCGAAATATACGTTTACATTTTTATTTACATTAATACGAAACGATCACTTACACTACAGGATGGTGGCTGTTTCTACTACGTCAGAAGATAATCAGAAACCAGATGAAAAGAATAACGCACCTAATAATGAACAGGTTCAATGGGCGATTTCGGTGTCTGACAACACCAACAATATGCCTGTGGCCAATAACGACGAGCAACACTCAATTCACGAGAACAGTCGCTTCTTGCGGGCGCTTACGAATTATATAGTGAAGGATAAGAGGTGAGTTTTCAGAGTTGATATCTATCAACAAGGATCAAGTAAAATTGCACGCTCATTTAAAAACTTATATTTTTTATAGCAATACCAGTGTGGATGTCTCAATAACCATTCTCCAAGCTCTTATACCATTAGCGTATCATATCCTTTCTCCTACAATCGAAGGAAACAGATTCTCAGAATTGATGCATATTATGTCTACCCTGGCCGATGCTGGATCAGAAAAAGGGCATCGATTACTATTCAAAGCTGCGACTGAATGGGTCGAACTTTGGTAGGTTCTTCCAATGGTAGTTCGTAGTTGCAAAGTCTGCATCTTAAGATTAATGTGTCTAGTTAAGATTTCTCCCATAAGAATGAAAATGTATCTGTAATCGACTGTCGAATTGATTCCGTACAGCAAGGAACAAATCATGAATAAGGATCCCCAGACTTTCGACAAGCCATCACCGTACATCGAAGCCGGTTGCTGTATGTTGAATTACATAGCCGATATAGTGGGCGCGATTTGCCCGCAGCAGGTGCAGTCGCAAGATCGAGCGACCAGTCCACCGTGGGAAGGTGCCATACCTAATAACGACGTGAACGACAGCGATTGGGTGGATGAGATTCCGCACGAGGACGACGATAGCGCGGCTGAGGATTCGGATGAGGACAGTCTGTGCAACAAATTGTGCACTTTCACGATTACGCAAAAGGAATTTATGAATCAGCACTGGTATCATTGTCATACGTGTAACATGGTCGATGGAGTCGGCGTTTGCACCGTGTGCGCGCGAGTGTGTCATCGCGGACACGACGTGACGTATGCCAAGTATGGGAACTTCTTCTGCGACTGTGGCGCTAAGGATGACGGATCGTGCCAAGCGTTGACTAAACGCAGCCCGCAAAGTTCGGAGCACCAAGTGGGCAGTAACATACCATACAACAATGTCGGAGCTCCTGTGGAAAACAATCTGCTTCTCACGAGCAGCCTACGCCGAAGAGCGTCTAGCCCTATACATTTGTATGACAAGCACGAAAGAAGTGGACGTGACACTCAGAAACAAGCATGTCTAGCCAAGCAATTGGGTAATTGTTTTATAAGAAACAATATGCACACATTCATAAATATTATTCTGTACTCACTGTTACCTTTGCGTGACGCTTGATTTGTAAATGAACAAGCGCGGTCGGAGTGTTTCTTACACAAGTCTAATAATTAACATTCGATCAATACTTGATCATTAATTGGTATTTAAATGATGAATGTTTATAGAATCTTCTAAGGATTGGATATATTCTCAACTATGGAAAAGTGGATTAGTGTCTTCGTTAGTGGACCTAACACGTGTATTGGTACCCGCAGTGGACGCATCCTGCCAACGTTATTCACCAGTCGGCTGTCATGCACGTGCTCAATTGGCGCTTAAACATTTGCACACACTTGACAAGAAGTTTGAACATACAGATCAACTCATGGTACTTGTTACTTATTATTCTGTAGTGTCAGTAATAATATGTTAACGTCACTCGAGTATCTTTGGATTAAACTTTAGAAACATATCGTCAAGCGTAACTTAATTTTAAGTTGTTGAGTAATTTGATATTTTACATATGTAGCAATAAAATATAGAATCGTTTGAAACCTCTATTTTACATAGACTTACATAACATTTAATAAATATATATTGTTTCCCTATCAGTTACCAACCTTGGGATCTCAGGAAGGTGCGTTTGAAAATGTAAGGATGAATTACTCAGGAGATCAGGGTCAGACGATTAGACAATTGTTGTCTGCTCATATGATACGTCGCGTTGCCATGTGCTGTCTGTCATCTCCGCATGGTAAACGACAGCACTTGGGTGAGTTTGCAAAGAAGTATTCTCTACAGTGTCTTGTTAACTAACGGACAAGGTTGTAATTGTGTGCATGTATTTTCGTTCAAGCAGCTGTTTCGCACGAGAAGGGAAAGATAACAGTGTTGCAACTTAGCGCGTTGCTGAAGCAAGCTGACTCTTCCAAAAGAAAGTTAACTTTGACAAGACTCGCGTCAGCTCCGGTACCTTTCACTGTTCTTTCGGTCACTGGAAACCAGTGGAACGAGGATTTCTTGGCCGTTTGTGGATTTAAGGATTGCCACGTGCTTACGTTTAACAGTTCAGGAACGGTGTCCGATCATTTGGTTTTACATCCTCAACTCGAAAGCGGGAACTTCATCATCAAAGCATTGTGGCTCCCCGGCGCACAGACGCAATTGGCATTAGTCACCGCCGACTTCGTCAAGATTTACGACTTGGGGAAGGACGCGCTGAGTCCTCAGTACTACTTCCTCGTGCCGACGGGAAAGATAAGGGATTGCACCTTCATGCATGCGGAGGATGGTACATTCCACATGCTATTGATGTCCTCCGCCGGATACATTTATAGCCAAGTGATGGATGAGGAGAGTTTAGCCAAGCACGGTGCTTTCTATGTGACAAACACGTTAGACGTCTATCACCCGGAGCTCAAGGACAATGGTCAAGTGGGCAGTGGTGGAGTTTCCATTTATTACTCCCACGCCCTGCAATTGCTGTTCTTCAGTTACGCTTGCGGCAAGAGTTTCATAGCCCCACTGAAGCATATGGACTCCGACATTACCGTAGTGTTCCAAATTAATCTGGCCAACAAGACTAACGGGAACAAATCCAACAATAACCAACCACAACCCTTATGCCAATGGAGCGAGGTAGCGAATCATCCCGGATTGGTTTGCTCGATCATGCAGACTAGCAATAATCCAGTGATACTGATGATCAAGCCCGACACGATCATGATACAAGAGATCAAAGTAGTGCCTGCGAAAGCGAAGATCATGGATATGGTTGCGATTCGGCATCCCAGCTCGAATGCTGAACACCGCACGACTCTGATATTGTTATGCGAAGACGGAAGTCTGAGGATTTATATGGCCGGCATGGAGCAAACCGGTTTTTGGATGTCTTCCACTGTGCAACCGATCAGCACTACCTCCGGCATCAAACCGGCGCGGAAGAAGAAGACTAATAAAATGGGAAAGCCGTCGGGATCGCATGTCACATTTCCCATTGATTTCTTCGAGCATTGTCAAATGATGAACGACGTCGAATTTGGTGGCAATGATCTACTGCAGATCTATAATGTTGCGCAGATCAAGCATCGTTTGAACACCACCGGGATGTACGTGGTCTCCACAAAAGCTATGGGCTTTAACGTGGAGGTTACAAATAACGATGCGATTTTAGTAATGACGGGAGTAAGAGTACTTTTCGGCAATCAGGACATTCAACGGGCACCTCTATATGTCGAAGTAAGTTGAGATGTACGCTCTCATGATACATTCTCTTCAATTACAACAAATTTTCACGATCATCTCTGTAAAGGTATTTGGCAGAAGTATTCGGACTACGTTAACCAGAAGTCGTTGGTTTGACATCCCTTTGACGAGAGAGGAAAGTCTTCAAGCTGATAAAAAATTAACAATCACTTTTGGGCCGTCTCAAGATCCAGAGGGTGTCATTATGGTTGATTCTATAAAAATGTTAGTGACGCTGCAGTGTCGTGTCCTTTTAAAAATAGATGAATGAAGATGTACAGGTATATAGATCTGATATATTTACGTTGGATTAATCGTAAACTTTATTCTTCTATGAAGATATGGTAAGACCAAGGATGCATTCGGCTGGCCTGAAGAGATAGAGGAACCACAACCGACGTCCGCGCCAGTGACAACGATCAACAATGAAGCTGACAACACTATCGTTTCTCCTGCGCCATTGTCCTCAACCGACAAGTATGTCGATAACACATATTAATATTCAATCAATAAGTATGTTAATGTAATTTCTATATACATGACATACGACTAGTTATAATTATCTTATAAAAAGAATATTCTTTAATCCATGCAATGACGACTTTATCAGAACGACAAAGGATAGTTCGGTTAACATAGAAAGGTAAGAGCATATATTATTATCTTCTTAGCGCAAAAATAGTAGGACTAGGTTTGGCAATTAATGCCACCAATTAGTTGGCGATTTTGCCTAATGGTAGTTTTACGAGAGAACAAACATTTGTCTCTAGCTGTACGTCTTTGACTGACAGCATGCAAGATAGATTCTGGTAATAATTTTTCAGAATGTCAGTCCGATGTTATCCTTCTTTCTTTTTAACAAATTGTCCTTACGTGTGAGTTACATCACCAATTGTACTTATTCACGTGAAAATAGAATCTGTTGATTAGCAAGTACGAGGAATATATATATATATCTGTTATAAGAATGCACGATTAATTGACATCGTAACAATTTATGTAACAATATATTTGAACAATTTTTTCAAACTTATAGGATGATATCCAGCATCCTGGAAGTCCTGGAATCCTCGTTTATCTTATCCTCGCACGACGACAATAAACCGTCGCTGAAATCCACGGCTATCGATGTTGCATCGCGACTACTAATATTACCTACACCACCGTCGGTGCAAATGCATACAACAGCCTTGCTAGCGGCTCTTCACAACACTAAGCAGGCTTATCATTTCCATAAGGTACGTAATAATAAATTGTCTATTCAGAATTCTTTACATATACATGTTATCTTACGTTTATCTGTACTTACATTTCTCCGTACATTCTTCAGGATCACGTGTTGTTGTCGCACGTGCTTGAGTCCTTGAAGTCAATGAGGGAGGCTAACGACTCATGCGACATCGATGCGGAGAACTTTTACCGACTTGTGCTTATCGTTCGTGCTATCGCCGTCTCTCGTCCGCATAATCTCGCGAAATTCGCCGAGCAATATGCGAATAAGTCGATCGACGAGAGTAACGGTATGTGTTGCGATCAATGTGTGATGCTTTTTCGCTGCGGATAAAAAAAGATTGTCATGCTGTTTGTTTCTCCAGTGCCTGTCTTCGAGAAAGATCGTCTAGAAAGTCGTTCGCGCACGAAGGCAGACGGAAATCAACATCTGGTTATACAACTGATGGAGATATTGTGGTCCTTGCATGTATCGTATCCGAAGAATATGGCACTTGCGCCGGTGGTCGTGCCAGGACTCACGCACGCTGAGGGAACGGTCCACGCCATCGTGGAGATTATTCACGCCTTTACGATATGCGATGTTGAGAACAACACTCCGATTGCCGCGAAATTATATCTGCAGTTACTGTTGTCCTCCGATACGACAGTCAGTTTTAGCGCTAAGCACGCGATCATCAGAGTACTCAGGCCCAGGTACAGACGCAGGAGAGTGTACATACCAAGCCCGCCGAATTGCAGCACTCCAGGTATAGAGAAGACTTAAAGACTTAAGAAAAAAAAAAGTTAAAGTTTACAACATTGTCGATAAAAGTAGATCGAATTGACCGTATTCGACAGTAATTTTCTTGTCACAATTCAGGCGTAGTTGCTGAAGCTGAAGCTGAAGAGAAGTCGGTTCCATCGCAGGCTTCTCAAGATACGGTGGAGCGCGATGTGGAACAGCAGTTTGACATCGAGGCCGTCGAAGCTGTGGATAGAGCTGTGGATAGAGTGGCGGCTATGCTCGGTGCCGAGGGCAATCAGAACTCGGCAGCCGCAAGAGTGGTGAATCATCCGCTGGAAGCGTTGCTCGGCGCGGGTAATTTCCCGCAACTGCTCGACGTGCCGCCGGATGCTGACGACGAGGCGATGGTGGAGCTCGCGATAGCTCTCAGTTTGCAAGATCACGAGGGCAGCGCCGACCTGCAAGCTCTGCGTCAAGGATTCCAGCAAGGCTTCCCCAATCTGCAGGGGATACAGAGCCTTCAGAATCTGAGCGGTTCTGCGTTGCAGAGCTTGCAGAACTTGGCGACGCAAGGATTGGTGCAAGTTCCGAGCGCTACTCAGGTAATGTCCCTTTGCAACAATGTATATCGCACTTGCGAAACCTCTTCAAACCTTATTGAACGCGTAGTCGCTATCCCCGACGTTCGATAAGCAAATATTTAATATTGCGGACTAGGGACAGGAAGCTGGTCATTATTCCGACACGACTGCGTCCGCGGGAGGCTCCGACGACGAGGGGTCAACCGCCGCGACCGATGGCAGTACTCTACGAACATCTCCTGCCGAGCAAGTGAGTTACACCTTAGCATATGTACTCTGCCTTGGCGCTATTCAGCGAAAGTATGTGGACGTGGATCAACAGAGTCTTAGAACTTGCACATAACGTAGTAACGCTTGGGACACATTTTATGTTAGGGTGGTAGTGGTGGTAGCAAGGGTAGCGAGAGCGGTGGAAGCGATAGCGGAGGCAGCGCCGTTGACAGCATGACAGGGGAGCATAATGTTTCTGGCAGGAGCTCCGCGTACGGAGACAATGCTCCCGACGCTATGCCTCCGATTGGAATTGGAGTCAATCAAGCGCCACGTTCTGAAACTAATACTCTAGATGTTCCCACAACTTTCACTGTAAGTTCAGTGTACTCTGTAGTACAGGTTACGTAGCAGACTTACATATGTTCTTGAAAGCAGGAGAACCGCTGGCGGAGACTGGGCGATACTTGCGTTCCGACGTCTTGATGTATTCTCATGCACAGAAGTTTATTTTTCCCCCATAACGTGTAATGTCCCTTTCTCTTATCTCACTCGAACTCGTTTCATTGTTATTGACTTGAAACCGACTTCGTCCGTAGTCCTGCTGTTACTGCTGGGATCGTAGTAGTGTAATTATGAGGTTCTGGTAATCTACTGTTTCTTTCTTTTTGTTTTTTCTTTTTTTTTTAATGTCAATCTTCTCGCATGTTTAATGCATACAAGAAGGCAGATTTCGAGTTCTTCGAGAATTGTGAGGGATAACTTGTAGCTTAGTTAAGTTCTCAAAGTCACTTCCATGTATCTCTGTACGTTACCTCATCGAATTTATGAGTTTTTATTTGAAGATTATGCTGTGTATATATATATATCACTGTTTCATAAGTTGATCACGATCAAACGATGATTTGTAGGAGTGTACATAGTAATTTGTACATATAGTTATATATTGTGCAATAAAATCATTAACCATAAACATGTCAGTTAATCATAAACATCAGTTTAAAATTGCGCATGACATATATATGTATGGTATGTTTGAAGTACACTGCACTAATATTTTTTTATAAGGAATTGGAATATAGAGATTTCGGTTGTTAGGGCGATTATATTACGACAGAAAAATGCCACTCACTCGAGAGATCAATAATGCCCATCCTCCGTATGATGTACTAGTCAAGGTGGATCTCCCACGGGTGTTCCTTCATCGCATTCTACTGAACCCCCACTAATCTTAATTTTTTTGTTATCGAATCGTCCATCGTAAAAGAACTTGGACCTCCGTTCTCAAAAGTTGCCTTTAACCCACACTGCCACGAAAACATTATTATTAGAAAAGATCAAATCAAGTAGGACTGAACGAATATCTCATCTCAGACATTTTTATCAAAGGTGCTATATAAGACTTCGTTGAATCCCTCTAATGATCGGAGTCTGAATGAAGCAGCAACCGAAGTAAATTGAAGCCAATGGTACGAATTGAGTAAGCAAATTATCAGAGAAGCTGATAATTCGCTTGAGACGCAGACTGCATTTCATTGAGGCTCCGAAAGTTGTAATTATACGTGGAACATCTATTACTAGTTAAGATATCACTCGTAGCTCAATCCAGAGAAAGTTACGACTGAACGATCATATCGCATGCGTTAATAATACTTTTCACTGTAAACTTGTTTCTCATCATGTATATCTAGAATAGTATTATTAACGCATACTCGTTACTTCGCTTAAGAGTTTCGAAGCGAAGAATGGCGGAGTCATCAACGTAAATGAGATAGCAAACAAGGAGATGTACGAGTGTATCTATATTTATGAATTGTTGTTTGTCACCATCATTAGACCACTGAGCAAGAAGAAGGTGCCGAGCAAGAGCAGGGTGTCGAGCAGGAAAATGACACAACCGGCGAGATCACCGTGAAGCTGCATGCTATACGGCTCTTACTGTTGGACAGACTCACGCAATTCGTGCCGAATCTGATAAACGTTCGGGGAGTGCTCGCTATTCCCTTCATGCAGGTACCTCTCCGCAATTTTGCGTATTGCCAACAGGAACGTTGCGCGAATAAACAGCAGAATAATCTTCAACCTGTCTTCACTTACCAGGTTGTGCTGATGTTAACTTCCGACCTCGACGGCCAAGATGAAAGAGACAAAGCATGCGTGGAGCGTCTGTTGCAGATGCTCGTGAAAGAACTCGAGATGGATAAGCCTGATACGAATAACATATGCGAACGTAGCAACAAGAGGGAAGTTCATCTAGTTATCATGCGTGTATTGAGTAAGTAATTAGCTCCGTTTCGTTGCAAGTTTAAGTGAACGTTGTCAGATGAATGACTGATGCTGGTGGTAAATTATCACAGTACCAGTAATATTGTAGCAATAACGATGATTTATTTATGATGAATTTAATAACGATGATAACAATGAGTGACTACATTTCCATCGCAGGCGTCCTTATGTCTCGTTCAAAGTACACCACGAAGACTCCCTCGGACAACCCGAACTTTGTGTCACAAACCACCGCTGCAATACTGAGCAAAGCTGGCATCATCGACTATTGCTTGACATTGTTGCAGGCCTTGCTTGATTACTGGAAAACGTAAGCTTACATGCGCGCGTACATTCACGTATATCGTGTGATATATGACTCTTGTGAAGACAATATAAATATTTTACGGTCAATTTTACCTATTAGAACCACTACGGAGGAACCTGGCACTATGATAGGTGGCCAGTTGCTCAAGGAACATCTTACCACGTCGCCTCCGGACATGTCGCCATTCTTTTTACGTCAGTACGTTAAGGGTCACGCTGGCGATGTATTCGAGCCATACCCTCAACTACTCACGGAGATGGTGTTGAGATTACCATATCAGGTGCACAAGTACGCCGAGAGCACGGTGGTGCAGCCTGTATTTGAACAGGTAAACAACGTAACTTTCTTGTATGTTCTTTCTTGTTTGCAAGGATACATTGTGAATTTATTCATCCGCGCAGCCGTGGTATTTCTACCTCTGCGAGTACATGATGTCATACCAAACGCCGTTTGTCAGGCGGCAAGTACGCAAATTGCTGCTCTTCATTTGCGGCAACAAGGAGAAGTATAGGCAACTGCGAGATCTTCACGCTCTCATATCTCATGTGCAGGTAATTTGAGGGAACTGTTATCGCGCAATTTAGAGCGAAGCGGTGTTGAAAGTTCACAAAGTTATTAAATCTTGGTACCGCTAGTCCGTGCAACAATGCTGCAGCACCGGCGGATACGATCCGTTACATGCACGTCCGCATTCCATCAATCTGCCTTACGACTCGTTGGTGGAACTGATCGAACATCTCAAATGCTGCGTGGAGATCGCCACCAGCCGTACAGGGAATTGGCAGCGATTTTGCCTGAAGCAGAACACCGTCCTGTCGTATCTCTTCTCCATATCGACGCTCTTGGACGAAGGTGTAAGCCCCACGGTGCTGCAATTGCTGCAATGCGCTATTTGCTCAAACAACAAGTCTAAAGAAACCAAGGATACGAGATCAAAAGTAAATCTATTGAAATACACAAGATTCAGGGCCGGTTGTTCCAACTTCTTGGTAGGTTAATTGATAGGTCATATGTTTATCTTTGTTTTTCCTTAAACGAAGACAGACATATGATTTAACTGTCAGTTAACTTACCAAGGAGTTGGAATAACCGGCCCTCAGTCAATCATCACTTTATTATTAAAGAAATGCATACATTTTTGCTGCGTGTTATCGTTTGGGTGTGTTTTGATATTCAATATAAATCTAAATCAGGAATCCAAGTCGGCGACTGGCACGAAAGAGAGGCGGGAACGCGAGAAATCGGAGGATTCCGACACGGAAGCTAAATTTGAAGAGGCACAGTGCTTAACTCTGGTCGAACAGATCCAAAAGCAAGTGCACCCGGCATTGCTGATAAAGTTTATACAGACCTTCCTGTTGGAAACGAACAACACCAACGTGCGTTGGCAAGCGCATTCTCTTATACTGGCAATTTATAAGTGAGTTGTTGGTTTTTACCATTTTGTTCCGCTAGTGTCACTGGTTCGAGAATGTAAAGCGTGTATTTTTCAAACTTCAGAAATTGTGGACCGTCCGATCAGGAGGTTCTGCTGGATCTCCTGTGGCGCCTGTGGCCTCTGCTTCCAGCCTACGGCAGGAAAGCGGCGCAGTTTGTCGATTTGCTCGGTTACTTCTGTTTGAAAACGCCGCACGCTGGCAAGAAGATGCACACATACATGGAGCAAGCGGTTGCCGTGTTGCACGCGCAGAATCAGCTGCTCGCGCGGCACCCCAACGCGAACCTTTACGTAAACCTGGCGCAATTCGTCGAATTGGACGGCTACTACTTGGAGAGCGAGCCTTGCCTCGTGTGTAATAATCCGGAGGTGTCGATGGCGACGATCAAGCTGTCCTCCATCAAAGTGGACTCCAAATTCACAACGACGACACAGATAGTGAAGCTGGTCGGCAGTCACACCATCAGCCGTATCACCCTGCGCATCGGCGATCTAAAGAGGACGAAGATGGTCCGTACCATCAACGTTTACTATAACAATCGCTCGGTACAGGCTGTCGTGGAACTGAAGAATAAACCGGCGATGTGGCACAAAGCGAAGAAGATCACACTCGCTCAGGGGCAAACAGAGGTCAAGATGGAGTTTCCTCTGCCGATAGTGGCCTGTAATCTCATGATCGAGTACGCTGACTTCTACGAGAACATCCAAGCTTCTTCCGAGACGCTGCAGTGTCCACGATGTTCCGCCAGTGTGCCAGCAAACCCCGGTATTTGCGCGAACTGCGGCGAGAACGTGTTTCAGTGTCACAAGTGTCGAGCGATCAACTACGACGAGAAGGATCCGTTCTTGTGTCACGCTTGCGGATTCTGCAAGTACGCCAAGTTCGACTATACTCTGACCGGCAGGCCGTGCTGCGCTGTTGACCCGATTGAGAGCGACGACGACCGAAAGAAAACAGTGGCGACCATTAATACTCTGCTGGAGAAGGCGGACAGAGTGTACAAGACCCTGATATCCAACAAACCGACACTGGAGATGCTGCTCATTAAGATATCCGAGCATCGTCTGGACCGCGGGCTGGAAGACGGCATACAGCTATCTGGCAGCACCCAAGTGAACAGAGCGATCCAGTTGCTGGCGCAGAGATATTGCGGTGAATGCAAGACCTCCTTCGAAGAGCTCAGCAAGATCATCCAACGCGTTCTCGCCTGCCGCAGAGAGCTCGTCGCCTACGACAGGAACCAACGGGGCCAGAGCAGCTCGCAGTCGTCATACAGCATGTCCGTGAGCGACGTCACCAAGGACGAGACGATAGTTTCGCCAGTGGGACGCTGTTACGGTTGCGCGTCTGCCGCTACAGAACACTGTCTCACTCTGTTGCGCGCTCTGGCCACTAATAGCGTCGCCAGAGACGTCCTGTGTAAACAGGGACTGATACAAGAGCTCGTGGAACACAATTTGCGGAAGGGCACGGTGCAAATGCAGGAGGAAGTGCGACAGTTGCTGTGTCTCGTCACGAGGGACAACGCGCAGTCAACCAAGGAGATCTGTTCTCTCCTGACTAGTCGTATCACGCTGACTCTTCGCGGACGAGTCGCCACTCCTGATCTCTCGGTTGCCGTACGCCACGAAATGGCTCTCCTCGCAGCGCTCGTACAGAAAGAGGACTCATGCTGGGAGCAGAAACTGCGATGTGTCATGCAGCTGTTCCTGACCGCTTGCAAAGAGTCCAAGAGTCCCGTCGTCATGGAAAGTATCATACTGCCGTGTTTAAAAATCTTGCAAGGCCTTATTAAACCCGACCAGCCGGTCTCCAAGAAAAATAAAGTGAGTTGTGCGCAAGCGGTCGTCATTTTCCTTCTTGGTGAATTATGTAATGTGTATGACCTAACGTTGTTATTAATTGTTAGGATAAAACCACGGAGTCTCTGGCGACAGTACAGCCACCAGAAGGCATCAGTATTGACGTGGGTAAGTGGATCAGCGGTGATCCCAAGCACTCGTACTCCGAGTGGCTTCACCGCATGCCGGCTAAAAAGACGGAACCATCTACGGCGAAACCTCTTAAGAAGGTTGGTATAAAATATAGATGATAAAAGGCAAGAAGTTAACCACTCATGCAGTGTGAGTGAAATTGTAAAATTGCAATCGCTATATAATAATGCACAATAAATGATAATGGATTGACTGAAATAATTTCATAATTTATTTCAGGATGAGGCTCGAGTGTTGTACTTGATAGAAAAGTACGGGCACAGGTGGCATCAACGCTGCATGCGGCACCAAGGCGTTCAGCCGTTGAAGCTGTCCGACGGTGCCTGGTTGAAGGAAGTACTCTTCAATCCCAGTTCTCGTTTGGCGCGGCAAGTCGCTTGTAACATGATAGAGAGCCTGTGCCAAGGCACAGAGAGGAAGAAGGAAGTTCTAGTTTTGCTGACATGTTACCTGGAGGAGCTGCGTGCCGCGGGCGAGAGTAGCACTGAGTTCCTAACGTTGTATCAGAGCTTAATTAGACAATCACCTTGGAAGCAGTTCTTGGCGGTGCGCGGTGTCATGACTTTGTTGGCGGATCTGTTGACCAGGGAAATAGAGGAGTTACATCGACTGGAAGAGACCACGTTGACCAGTGATCTCGCTCAGGGATATTCTTTAAAAATGCTCACGGAACTTTTAGCAACTTTCCTGGAGCAGGAGAACATCAAGCAGCAGTACAAGGGTCGACTAGTCGGCGCGGTATTGAATGGCTATCTGTCACTCAGAAGACTCGTTGTACAACGTACTAGACTGATCGATGATACGCAAGAGAAATTATTGGAGCTTCTGGAGGAGATGACCACCGGTAACCAAATTGACTAATAATCTTGAAGCTTTCTACGTTTGAACGTTTGTCGGTAATTATACTACGTTCACTGGTTCATACCAATAATACATGTGTCTTCTTACACGTCAGGAACCGAAGAGGAGACAAAGGCGTTTATGGCGATCTGCGTCGAAACCGTACAGAAGCACAATCCCCAAGACGTCCGTACTCCGGTCTTCATATTTGAAAGATTATGTTCGATCATCTACCCGGAGGAGAATGATATCGGAGAGTTCTTTTTGACGCTCGAGAAAGATCCGCAGCAGGAAGATTTCTTGCAGGTGAGTCTGTGTGTCCGTTTTTAGATAGTCCTTGCGCTTACACTGAGGTTACTTATTCGTCTTTACATTTTTACAGGGGAGAATGTTGGGAAATCCTTATAGCAGCCTGGAGCCCGGATTGGGTCCACTTATGAGAGACGTCAAAAACAAAATCTGTCAAGATTGTGAATTAGTCGCGCTTCTGGAAGATGATAACGGCATGGAACTCCTCGTCAATAATAAGATCATCAGCCTGGATCTTCCTGTCAAGGAGGTAGTAGTTCATTCTATAATTCTTTTTATAATAAAGGAGTTACATGTGTGAATGCTAAATTTTAAGAAGCTTAATGATCCTCTGTGAGACAATCGAACAAACTTTCTTCGTTCAGGTTTATAAGAAGATCTGGGTATTGGAAGGTGGCGAGTGCGACGCTATGCGCGTGATCTATCGCATGCGCGGCCTTCTTGGCGATGCGACCGAAGAATTTGTCGAAACGTTAAATGCCAGCAGCGAACAGGAAGTGAATAACGAGGAAGTTTATAAGATGGCAAATGTGCTGGCAGACTGCGGCGGTCTTCAAGTCATGTTGGACAGATTGGCCGCGATACACGATGTGAATCGCGCGAGACCTCTTCTGCAAGTGCTGCTGAAACTGTTTAGATTATGCGTGAAGGTGAAGAAGAACCAAGAGGTTTTGAGCAAGCCTGAATTGGGAGCAGTCACCGTATTCCTGGACGTTCTTCAGCGTTGCCTCGCCACAGAATCTGAAAACTCTCAAGCTAAAATAACTGAACAATTATTGGATGTAAGTGTTGCCCGGCTGCAAGCTTACTCTAGCTAATTCTGTTCTTCATAATTTACCATACCATGCAAATATTTCATATCGCTTTTAGATCATGGAAACGATACTGGCAAATGCCGCTTCGCAGCCGCTCAACGTATTCGAGGCATTTTCGCGCACTCTCGGTGGTCCGGAGCATATTAAGGCGCTTTTATCGTGCACTCAATCCACGGCGGTCAGACAAAGTACCAGCGTGCTTGCTCATCTTGCGAGAGTTTTGGCAGCATTGACTTACGGCAACAAAGAGAAAATGGCACTCTTGTGTGATTACTTCAAGCCGGTGTTAAACTTCTACAAATTCGACTTTGAACATACCCCCGAGGACGAGCAGAAACTAGAGCTCTTCTGTATACTCACTCAGGGCATTGAACGAAATGCAATTGGCAACACGCTGAAAGATTATATCATAAGCATGGGTATAGTGAAGGATGCCCTCGAATATATCACCGTAAGTAAAGCATATTGATTATATCATCGTAAGAAGAATCTAGAGATATGTGTAAGACGATTAACAGTTTTCTCAGCTTCTTTGATCGATTGATTTTCTCTTTCACGTTTACAGGTGCATGCACCATGTGTCAAACCCACGCTCTTACGCACAGACAGCGACGAGCTGAAGGATTTCATATCTAAACCAGCTTTGAAATATATTCTTCGTTTCCTCACAGGTTTAGCCACGGATCATGAGCCGACTCAGGTAAGACAAACGATATATTCCATTTTTATGAACCAATTACATCAACAATTATTCAAATAATAAAATATATAATTATTTTACTCTATTGTTGTGTTACAGTTGGCGGTGTCGCAAGTAACTATTAGCATCTTCCATAGACTGGAGCAAGTGTCTTCGAACGAACACGTAGGCTCGCTGGCGGAGAATCTGCTGGAGGCATTGTGCACAAACAAGCGAGTAGCCGAGCTGATCGAGGAAGCTCGCCAACACACGCGCAGCGAGAAGAAGCGCCTAGCTATGGCGATGCGAGAGAGGCAACTGGGTGCGCTTGGTATGCAAACTAACGACAAGGGACAAGTCACCGCTAGCGGAACGATTCTTCAACAGATGGAGGACCTGGGAGATGAAACTGGATTGATTTGCGTTATCTGTCGCGAGGGATACAAATTTAAGCCGAACATGGTAACAATCATGTTATTTTCTATCTCATTATTTGTAAAGAGCACTTCGTGAAATTAGCAAAATGTGTAATTTTAAACCTAGAAGGAATCTTCAATAATCTCTCAACGAAAAAATATCGGGATGTTAATAAGTTCTAGTATATGTATATGCTCCGATATTTTGATATAGCTAAGATATAACTGATATTCACTATATATAATTAATAATTTATTATGAATATTTTATTGTAAACAGTTTACTACAACACAACTATTTTACTAATTTACTAACATTTGCTAACATAATTTTTTATTATCCCGCTGCAGGTGTTGGGTATCTATACTTTTACCAAGCGCTGCAACGTTGAAGAATTCGAGACAAAACAACGAAAGACCGTTGGCTACACAACCGTCACGCACTTCAACGTCGTCCATGTGGACTGTCACATGTCCGCGGTGCGCTTGGCGCGCGCTCGAGACGAGTGGGAGAGCGCAGCGCTGCAGAACGCCAACACCAAGTGCAACGGACTGCTGCCGTTGTGGGGCCCGCAGGTCCCGGAGTCTGCTTTCGCCAGTTGTTTAGCCAGGCACAATACCTACCTGCAGGAGTGTACTAGTCACCGCGATATATCTTACTCGTCGACCATACACGACTTGAAGTTGCTTCTTTTACGGTTTGCTCAAGAGAAAAGTTTCCACGAGGACACCGGCGGTGGCGGCCCCCAGTCCAATATGCACATAATACCGTATTTAATACACATGGCTTTGTATGTCGTTAACTCGTGAGTATATCCAGATGGCGTCCTGAGAGTATCCAATAATATAAAGGTACATTATTGATATTACGAGTTGATATTTGATTACAGAACGCGATCGGCAGCTAGAGAAGACAAAGCTTTGATGACTTACCTGGAAGTGTCGCCAGGATCAACGTGGCTCGACAGTTGTTACGAGGCGGAGGGGCCGTTGTATCAGTGCACACTTTCGCTGCTCTTACTTACGCCGGATCGATGGAAATTGCATAGATTTGTATATCTCAATCGACTGCTCGTTCTCGCTCATCAACGCTACGTGTCTCCTTCGGCCCCTACGAAGACCCTCATGGAACCAACCGCTAAGGATTACACAGTTTACAAAAACGTTCTAATCTTCTTCGGTCTAGTGGATTGCATCTATGCAAACTTCTTCAAGGTTGTTGCAATTTTCTCTCAACATTTTATTGGCTCCCTGTGTAATTCGTTAAATGAGATTCGTTTGTCTAAGGGCTTTGTCATGCTTTGTCTTTGCAGAAAGTAAATGTTCTGTCCGAGGATCAGTGGCCTTCGGTTTTAGCTGAATACATCAGGCACAACGACGAGGCGATGTTGAAAGCCTCCGAGCGCGTGCTTGCGACGTACCGCGACGAGTTATTACCGTGCACATCATTCGAGGAGTTTTGCGATATTATTGGTAAGTCATCTTAACGTACAAGAAATTAGAGATTTAGCGCAAAAAATGGTTGAATCAAAAGATGTGTAATGTTGACTTCAATTAATGAGAGATGGTTTTTGATTCTCAAGGTTTACTTTTCCCGGTTACGTAAAATATGTAGAATTCAACTGGCTGTAACTTTCGTCAAAATTGGGATAACAAGATGGTTCAAGGAGCATTTAAAAATTTACAGTTTCTGATTTTTAAATATATTTTTAAGTAGAACATTAATTAATTCTTAGAATGCTACAAAAATATAAGTAGGAATTTGTTAAGTGTTAAAATCTTTGATAACGTTTGTTAACTGTTGTTGCTGTGCAGCATAAACAAAACATCACACGGAAATAGCATTTATATTGTTTGAGAGCGTATCTTTCTCTTTAATTTGCATTTCTGCAGACTGCAATATAATCTGTTTTCGCGGAATCATTTAGTGTTGACAAAAATGGTATTTTGATTAGTCGTTTGTAGCGAAAGAATAGACATGCGCGACGTTTATCAAGTAACGAATAAAAAACTCAAGTTCTCTCTTAAAAAGGGACTTATTGTAATTGTTACAAAAATAATTAAATTTCGACATAAGTGTTGAGTAGTCGTCGTCGTTTTTTATTTAATTGGATGTATCTTTGCAAATAATAATAATATTTTGAATTTAATAATTCTGAAAAGCAGAGACTTTAGACTTTAAAATGTTTTTTAAACCATTTCGCTATCATTTTTTACCAAAGTTATACACACACAGCCTCTTGATTTTTGCCCGTATTTTAATATAAAGGGAAAACGCATCTGACAAGTCCGAGTCGTATTACGACTTTAATTATTCAATATGGTTGCAGCTTATTGTGGAGGGACTACTTTCTTTTTAATTGCTAGTCTTTATTTGATTTGATTGTGATATTAAAAATGAATATTTCATATTTTAGGTATATTGGAATATATAAGAAATCCTACCACGTATATCAACGATGTCCTGCGACGCCTTGCTTGAAGATACTGGAAGTTCTCTTTACGTAGCTTATTGCATTGTTGTTACCGGCGAATCAGTTTTCCTTTTTGTTCTTTCGCCCAAACGATATAGTCATTTTCAAGACTTTTATATCGGAAAGAGTTTCGTGTTATATACTACAGATTGATTAAACGTGATATATATTATTCCAGTTTTTCGTGATGAAACCATTTAGGTGTGAAAATTACTTTATGTGATAAGATAATTAATATTAATTACTCATGTTGCATAAATCTTTACTTGTAGACAAATATGTACCTAAATGGAAAAAAATTTGTGCTTTAATAAATTGCGACTAAATAAAGAGCGTTTATATACGTATATATATATATATAATTCTCTAGGATCTTAATTATATATATTATCATAGTGATATGCTTTTAACCGAAATCTTAAATTTCATGAAAATCATTGCTTTGAAGATAATTTCTTTTTTCGTTATCTTTGTCATTAACTTTAACACTTAAGTTATTAGGTGTACAAATTAATTACCAGCCATTTTGAGAATTAAAGTTTATTTACATAGAATCAGATTATGCTCCAGTTAGAAGAGTAATCTCCACTAAATCAACATTTTTTCCACCTTTCAGGGAGGAGTCAGTGGATCTTCATTTGATAAAAAGATGATGGTTTCGAGTCGAAGTTTTTGATGCAATTTTCGATCTCTTCATATATTTTGAAGTGTGAGTCTGCAAGGTGATGTTGAAAGGTCCGGAATAAATGAAAACCCATCAGAGCTAAATCCAATAAATATGTTGGGTGTGGTAAAACCTCTCAGCCCAAAAAATTAAAGGTGCCCTTAGTCGCTTTCGCTGTGCGAGATCTTGCGTTGTTGTACAATGATATAACCGGTCTAAGTCCCTTGCAAGTAAAAGGTCTTTTACGTTCGATTTCTCCAGTCATACACTGAAGTTGATGTTTGTAGCATTCGGCAGTGAAAGTTTCATACAATTTAAGCGGTTCAAAATGTATCGCATCCTTTAAGTCCCACCGAATGCACAAAAGAAATTTTTGGTATGAATATTGCATTTCGCGATCGATGTCAAAGGCTCACCCATGATTTTCGACTTTTTGGATTCTTGTAATACACCCACTTTTCATCTCCCGTCACTATTTTGTGCAAGAAAGTCCTTCCTTTTAAACCGAAAAAGCAAAGACAGAGCCGTATCGTCTTGCTTTGTTGTCCACGGAAAACGCGCGTAAAATCTGATGATTCTCTTTTTGAATTTTTCCTAGCTTTCGCACAGCCGGATAGAAATAGCTTGCTGATTACTTCTAATGCTGAAGCAAGTTCAGATTCGATCTGGCATTTTCTGTCAATCACTGCTTCAAATCGTTATCTTCGGACTTCTTTGGTTGTCCAGCGCGTTTATCGTCTTCGAGATTGAAATTTCCACTCTCGAACTTCCGGAACCACTTTTTGCATGTACCGTAAGATACAGCATTCTCTCCAAATGCAGAACAAATCATTTTCCTTGCTTCGGAGGCATTTTTTTTCAATCGAAACGCGAAAAGTAAGTAGTATTTAATATGTTCTTTATCACACAGGTCGCACGACATCGTGTTCTCTACTCTCACGGTCAAGTTTTTGAGGTTATGTCGATTGAACATCGAGTTTTATAGTTCCATTAGGTTGGTTTATTCGGTACCAACTTGGCGGGAAAAAGTTTCCGCCTGGGTACCTATTATCAGAGAGTAACCTGAGAGCGGCCAATACGACATTTTCTGCGACACCGACTTTCCGCACTGGGAAAGGACGCCATCTGCATCCATTTTGAGAGGGGAACTACGATAGTACATCCACTTTCAGGTCTCGGTGGTAAAATCTGGTGGAAGTCCATGCTACATCCACTTTCAGGCGGTTTATGTCCGTGCTGCAATGACAGTTGCCATCTCTATGCCAGACTATGCCGGTGGTCTAAAAAGAGCGGAGGAGAGAGGGGGAGGAGCAGAAAAAATAAAAGTACGTATTAAATGTTAAATCTTCGAATATATATTGCCGTATCAAAGTCTCTTCTATAATAAACAATTTGACATGTATAGAGACGCATGATGTATCGTTGTCCGCGTCCCGTTCATTTCGTCTTGTTTTTTAATTCAGCATCCCGTCCGCTCCGGACATTCGCTCGTGGTACTGACAGTAGCCGTCGGTGAGCATTCGATCCGCTCGGAGGAGCACGTGTTATTCACGTAATTAACGTGACGAGACTCCGATTATAAATATCCCGCGAATCGACGAAATATTTGAACTTTTAAAAAAAGCATCAAAGAAAATCACGTTAATGTTGTCATGGGTAAAATCTCACCCCGGTATATATTTTCTTATTTTCGAAATAAAAAAAGCCAAACGAATGCAATTAAATGTTATTTATCATCATTGAATATTAAATGAAAAGTAGAAGAGTTATTGTCCGCAGCGGATAATCTCCCTGTATAAAATGTCGAACTGAAACATATTAAAAAGTATTGACATTTTGAATACGTCTGAATTCTATTTTCTGATCCGAAGAAAGGGAAAATAAAAAGTATTAGTTCCCATTAAATTTCACCGCGCTAAATGCGAGATGGCAGTAGTGAATGCTACGCATTAACAAGGATTCAATTCGTTTCAAATATGCCTTGTATTCAATCATAATCGATAATTTTTAAATGCGAACTTTCGTATTGAAAAATATTCACTTCTTCTCCTAATCGTTTTCGGATTCAGAGGCATACAAAATTTTCACGTTCTATTCCCCGTCGCATTAAAAAGTATTCACCCGCGATCCAATCTGAGAGCAGAATTCACGACAAAATCTCGTGAATGCGAAACAATACTTTTAAATACGACATTTTATACAGGACTAATATTTAATAAGAGCGCGACTAAATTCGCATAGGATGAAATTCCATTCTTTAACGCTACCATGACCTTTAATTATTCTCTGAAAACGGCGTCACAACAACTTACACTCTGTATAATTAGTTGCTAACACATTTTCTAATCGTATACATTCCTCTTTAATTAACATAAAGCTAACAAATGTCCGATGCTTCGACAGAGTAATTTTCTTTATTTTCAGTAATCAATAAATAGAGTGCATCAATGTCGCGTACAGTTGAAAGGACTCCTCGCATTTCCCTCGTCGTTCCGAAACCTTCGAGAAAACAAGAGACGCTCAAAGGCAAGTCTCTCTTGCTTCAACCGCCGCCGAGGCCCGCAATGTTTACATCGCGCCGATTGTGTTGATCGGCTCGCGAGCGACGACACTTTTTGCCCTTCGTATTATAATACTCGCGCACCTCATGTATTCGACCTCATTCCATCAGCAGCAGCCGTGCGCGACGCTCTCGTCACTTCCGTCTCGTGTAATTAAAAGAAATATATCTCGTCGGTCCTCGAGATACTCAATCGGCATCGCGTCGGCATCTCATTCATTAGCTGCACGGTCGAATCGCGAGTATCAGCATTAGAAGCATGAGCGAGTGAAATCCGGAGGACTTCAGCAGTCGAGAAGCAGAACGCCGGCAGCGATACGTCACGTTTCCAGGTATGTGGAATCATTTATTACGCGGGAGGTCTCCGATAACGAGAGCGTACGTTCGACGAATTTTCCGGGAATAAGAAGTCGGAATTTCGCGCTCGGCATTCACAATCCGTCATCATCCGACTAGTAATCATCACTTTATGAATTTGCAATTACTCTCGTCAATCTCTGTCTGTCTATCTATTTATTGCGTTGCTGTATACAAAAGATATTGATCCAGACAGAGACGGATAACGGTCCATGGACGTGGATCTCGAATTCATCATGTTCTCAATCAAACATTCTGAATCATTCCCAATTCCTGTGTGAGAATATTGGTCTTGTATAGAATATTCAATGTCATATCGCTTCTTAGACTGCGACCTTTTATGTTTTCGGTCAGCGCTTCTTTCAAGTTTGTTTACTCTTATTACGGGATCTGAATTTAAATGTCCATCCGTAAAAGAATATTTTCGAGAGCACACAACTGTTGTCTCCGCTTCTTATTGTCATTTTCTTTCGTCAGCTCTTTCAAGAGCTCCTATCTAGACATTCAATGTCAATAAAGAAAAAAAATCGTAGCGAATATTCTCCACTCATCCCGACCAACCATTTTTTCTCTACCGCAGCTTACCAACCAAGAACGCTAAATTTTTGTTCCAGACGTTGCCGGAAGCAAGTCCGGCGGACGCGGATCCGGTTCGGGCAGAGCAGGGTCGGCCGGAAGGTAAAGTTTACAAGTTTCCTACACATCTGTGTTCAACTCTTTACGATCTTTGCCTTTGTAACTTGTTCCTCATCAGCTCTCTTGAAAGCTTCAAGTCCCATTTAAATTTTCAATGTTGGAACAAAAATATAAAGATAAAAATTCCGTATCAAAATATATCCGTATTTTCGATTGGTCCCGATCAAAGATATTCTCTCTCTACCGCAGGTTATCAACCGGGAAAATTATTTTTCTGTTTCAGTTGTTGCGGAAAGCAACAGCAATCCGGTGGACGCGGATGCCGCACCGGAGGATCCGGTTCGGGCGAAGCAGAGTCGGCTTGAAGGTAAGTTTACAAGTTTACTATAGTCCTCTGTTTGACCCTTGGCGATCTAGAGCTGGGATATAATTTCCGGCTCGACTTGAATTACGATCGCAGAGGGTAAACTACTCTTTTACTCGCCCGCACTCGTTGGTCAAATCTGATGAGCAAATGTGAATTTTTTGTTACAGAGTTGAAGCGGAACGTGGCCGGCTCTGACTGCAAGTCGTTTCGGTGAGTCAAAATGAAAAGAGAAACAAAATTCTGCATGACGGATGTGGGACTAAAAGATATCGTTCGAGTCAATGCGAATTTCAAATAGATACTTGCATGTGTGTATTTGTGACGTTGAATAAAATACATTGCTCGAAACAATCAGGGGATTACTTGATCGATAGCCTGCATTACATACAAGATTTAAAATACTGAATGATTCTCTTTTGATGTTCAGTCATCTGAATAAGAGAATATTCATATGTACAAACGCGACACCGACATCAGCTGCTTTATTTTTATTTTTCAAGTGGGCCGTAGAATTACTTAACGATTTAATTATTTGACAATATTCAATTGTCCGTATAAAATATATTCATACCTAAATGCCGATATCGTTAGCTACTTTTCTTTTATTTGCAAAACAGGCTGTAGAATTATTTAGCAATATTGTCCATTCATCACAATCCCTATTGTCTCGAGTAGCGTATAATGCGCGTAGAAATTGCGCCAGCGCACGCCGAGCTTGAGGTATCCTCGCTCACGTGCTTTTGAAT